ACACACACACACACACACACACACACACACACACACACACACACACACAGAGATACATGAACTTTTGCTGAGAAAACGATTTATCTATCATGTTTAGATTTTGCTTTGCAATTTGTTGGAAATATAATCTTTTAAAAGGGTGAAATTCAAGCTAGGTAGAATCACAGTAACAACAGCAGTGGCAGCAGTAGCAACAACAACATTAAAACTTTGATTTATGTTCTAGTCAAGACAAGCAACTTTTAATAATCGTTTGGTTACTTTTCTCCTGAAATATACGTAACTCTACCGAAAATCAACTACATTATTCATTATCATCAAACGTACGTGATTTCGCATGGCTCAAGGATATGTATTGCGCCTTGAGTCATATGTGAAACATGTACAAAAGAATGGGAAAAAACACAGTGCTGCTACTGTGTGCTTCTGTTGCTACTGCTTGCTGATACTTGATGTTCGTATACTTGAAAATCCCACAAAATATTAAACATCAATTATTAAATAGACGGGCAGGGGTAAAAAAACGCCAAACCTGGGATCGCTCTTCCGAGTTCCAAATATTTTCGAACCGATTCACTTAAAAAGTTTGTTTGAATTTCTAATGGCATCGATTCAGCTTCGACAGCTTCCAAGTGTTGTTTCACATCATTTTTGATTTTAAAGTCAGATGATCTTGGCACTTTTCCACGCTTCGAACGGATCTTATCCACCTGTCTTGATTCTAAAATGCGAGCATGAAAATATATATATGTGTGCGGTTGTGTTTGTGTGGAAGAAGAAGAAAAAAAACAGAATTTGTTGAATATTCATGCATTTTTCAATATCGATTCATAGTTTGATGCGTTTTAAATACTATTTTATAGTTGTGTGCTTTTGAAATGTTCCCTTTCTATGATCTAGAGAGAAGCGGAGATGAAGAGGGCTAGAGGGGGATTGTACAAAAGGAATGGTTGTTTCATTGTTTTCGGGTTTGTGGAATATATAAAATGCAATATGAGAAGCATTTGGTCGCACCGGTTACAAAAGTTGCAGCTTGAAATAAGCAGAAAGAGAGAGAGAGAGAGAGAGAGAGAGAGAGAGTGAAGCGGTAGAAAACGAGCCTAATAATTAAATATTGATTTGGATTCTAAATGCGAAAATAATAATATTAAATTTGAACACGAAATTGTGTTCACAAGGTGCATTGATGCGTGCCGCACAATAAACATAATGCTGCTGCTGCTGCTGCAAAATACTGGATATCATTGTAATAGCACACCTATGCGCTAACACATACACACAAGCTCTCTCTCTCTCTCTATCGCGCGCGCGTTTAACTTCCATCGTGTGTATCATAACTCTAACCAACTCATTAATTGAATGTTGTACAACATTTCATAAAACATTAGTCAGATAAAGCCACAAATGAATCAAGTCAGTCAATTTGTTGACGCGCGGCTCTAAGACTCTCTCAGTGAATATTTTGTATTTGGGTCGACATCACAATATTGTTTTGTGTGTGCAAACCACAATTGGCCAATCAAACACGCACATATACGTCGCGTTTTGACTCGACTAGTGCATTCGGATTTGTTGTCATGACGTATAGATTTTCAAGTCAACCAACATTTGAATTGTACAATGTAAGCTATGCTGATATCATTACACTCGGCTCTAACCCATTTTACACGGCATTACTATTGTTAACAATTGCAAAATTATATATATGATCTGTGAATGTAACAAACCAATGACAATATTTTTTTTTCTTTTTCGTTTGTCTTCTCTTCTCATTTCTTTTTCGTATCATGGAAGCCGCGCTTTTTTCTGTTGTGGTAAATGGCGTATACACACAAACTTGATCCGGCGCAAAGGCTATTAATTTGTTTATGTAATCTTAGATCGCATCGCGACCAGCTGATCACAAAAACGGATGATGGAAGTGTACATATTTAAGCGAGGAATAAAAACTAAACCAATTACAATTCAATGCTTTGGATCGTCGAGTATGTTTATACTCGATTTCGTCATTAACGTTTACTTAGACCATGGTTTACACACAGAAAATACCGGTTTTTGATCTTCAATATTCCGAATCTATAGACGTTTCAAATTTCCACTTGAATAAATCAGATTTGATTTCCTCTTGATGTGCAAATATTGGAAAATTCAATTTTTTTCTGGTTTTCCTAGCAACAACCATTTGAGAGAGACACACACAAATAAATGCATTTTATAGAACGGAACACAACGTTGGTAGGTTTTGTGTAACAAAAGAAGACACAAAAAAAATAACAACAACAACGAATTTTATGTTTTCTGGGTGTGAAAGCTGTACATATAGATTTATATGTTACTGCTCGGAATGCAGTATGAAGCTATATACACAGCTGCCTGATCAGGCCCTAATTTAAATCAATATTGTGGCAGACACGCCGAATTTCTGGTTAAATTCGAAACACGCGCGTGTGTAGACATTCAACGAAAATTCGAAAATAGTAATATGAATGGTTTGGAGCGAAAATGTAATACAGAAAAGTTGAGCGGAAAAATGTCAAATGAAAAGGGACAGCTATATAGTTCACTATAGTTTACTATACAGTTTACTATAAAGCCATCCCTTTTCCGCTCATTTATCATCGACATTTTTTCGCGCAACTTTTCTGTATTACATTTTCGCTTCAAACCATTCATATTAAAGTGGACTTCGATGTGTGTGTGTGTGCTTTTTTCGGCGTTAAATGCTTAATTCAAAATCACCCACTGCCAATTACTGACTTGGCGTAATTTCAAAGAGGTCATGAATTCCACACACAAAATCAATGCGAATCTCCTTCAAAATCAGTTTGTGCTTTTTTTTCCTTCGTTATTCCTCTCTCTCGCTCTCTCTCTCTCTCTCTCTCTCTCTCTCTCTCTCTCGTTCTTCCATTTTTCTTTTCAACCAAAAAAGCATGATCTACTCATTAAAACTGAACTGAATGGTTCCAAAAATGGAAAGAAAAAATTCATTGAGTTTTCACTTGCAGACAAAAACTAAAATGTTTTCACTTTGTTCAAACAAAAAAAAAATGTTAAAGTTAAATCATTCTCAGGAATCTGGTTGCTACGTAATGCTCCACACAAAAATAAAAAAAATATATACGCTTGTTTGTTTAAAATTGATCAGTTGCAGTGTTGCAAACCTTTTGGCAGACATATGAGCAGAAGAAGCATTAGAATAACAATCTTCATTTTGAATATGATCATTCCAAGCGTAGCACAACACTCCTTATTTTCTTTCTTCTTGTTTTTTTTTCCCTTGCTGCTACTTTATCTCTCACGCTGGCGTCTCGTTGGAAATTAAAACTGTTGCACCTCACTGAATTGAATAAAGCCCGCGAATCGTTTGCCGAATTCCGATGTAGTCGCCGGTGGAAAAAAGGGTGATTTTTGATGTGGTATCGGATGCAAAACCAATAGGCGCTCGTGCAAAAGAGAAAAACACCGTATTTTTCACTGTGGTATCAACCAATTAAAAGAAATCCGATCCATTTATTTCTTGGTTCATGAATTATACGTTTCACCGCCGAAGAGAAAGAAAAAGATGTTTTTTCCTTTTATTTCTGGAAGAAAATTCACTCAGCTCGCTTCAGTTGCTCAAATTCGATATCGAAAATAAAAACCAGCTTTTTTAATACAAAATATATAAAACACCTTCACTTCACTGTCTTTCAATTAAAAATATATATCCATTCAACAGTTCTTTTCGGTTACAGTAATTGAAGTCATTTAATGGAGTTTTTCTTTGTTGTTTCTGTTGGTTTATTTTCGTTTCTTAGCTCGCTACTTCACTCTCTTTGCTTCGTTCCACAAGACTCTTGTGGCTTGTGTCTTGTGTCTTGATTTGTGCTTGGTTGTTGCTGTTGTTTTGTTTTTCTCTCTCTCTCTCTCTCTCTCTCTCTCTCTCTCTCCCTCGTGTCTCTGTTTTATTTTTCGTGCATATATATATATATATACAATATTTTGGGATTCGTACAGCGCGCACGTTGTTTTTTTTCTTCGTTTGTTTCACTTTCTGAATACTCAAGGTGTGCACGCAGCTCGAGCGAGTACTACACAAATAAGAGTCAACAAATTTCAGCAGAGATATAACTGCGAGAGCGATATTGAATGTTGTATTATTATTGTATTACCGAACAGTGTTGCGTTGTTGAATGGTGTATATGTTGATGTTGTTGGTGCTGTTGTTGCGAGCAAACAACGCTTTTGCCGTGTACCGTTTTCCATTGGTATTGAACAATAAAAAAAAAAACCGAATACCATGCAAGTCCAACAACATTAATCGAAATGCATAAAACGAGGAAAAGAGAGACATATGAAAGACAACGACGATGAAGAAAAAAAAAGACAACAAAACCATACAGTAAACTTCGAAACTGATCTCACACAACGTGTGAGATATTTGATCTTGCACAAGCATCACATACATATATTTCACTATGGGCTTCATACAAATATATATATACATATACATATACATAGATAGATATATGTGCAAAAAGATCTATTTGTGTGTGTACTTTTTTTTCTCTCCCTACATGTGGCGTCCGAAAAGGCAACAAGCGCTCCAATGAAAAGAAAAGAAGGAAAAAAAGCAACAAAGATTAACGTAAGAGTACTTTAAACAAATAGTGTATGTAACTTTGTGTCGATTTCATGCCATTTAAAGTGTGTGGAGGAAAAGCAAATGGCATGTATTTTCAGCAGTTCCAGCATCCCCCTCCGTCGGGAAATAACGACTAACCGCACTCAAACTTTATCCACACACGCTGCTGCTGCTGATGCTGTTGTGTTTTTTTCTTTCATTTCGGTGTATTTATGGTTTACAGACACATTACGTTTGTTTTGTTTTTTGTGTGTTGTATTTTGCATATATGCTCTGTGTGTGCTTTATGGGCAGCAAACGATGCTGTCTGCCGGCACCATGGACAACCGACAGAGCTTTATTCACCGCTTTATTTCTTTTTCACAGCACCAACAGCAGCAGCATCAGCAACAGTATCGGCAGCAACTAGTAACCAAAGCAATCGGACACACAATTACGCGTTAAACCAAACCGCTGGTTCAACCAGAAAGAGATTTCCGAACAATTAATTCAGACGCATTGAATTCCCGCAAAAACACACATTGATGAGATAATGAATCATGCATTTGGACTTTGGTGTCTGTCTCTCTCTCTCTGTGTGTGTGCGTGTGTTGTTATTTTTTCCGCTTGCATGTGAAATATGGATTATGCGTAAAATCGCAAGTTCAAAGGAAATATGCTTTTAGCATGAGATTTACGGTTGTTTTTTTTTCTCTCGGAGTAATTATCATATAATTTCTAGCAATCCCACCATCTACACAAATGAAAACCGATATTTCAACGGATCTTCATTCTTTTTCCTTCTCCAATTTCGCTACATTTGGCCGTAGTTTTTGATATGTAATACACATACATAGCAATTAGTCCGTTTTTGATGAGCCTGTCCAAAATCAGAAAATGTCCCTCAACCCAAAACAAAAAAATTCAATGGAATAATTTCAATATAAAAGAATGATACACGTTCAATGGCAACAACTCATACCACTTCATAGACCATTTCAATTGGTTTTAAGTTTCATTGTCTCGCATGATGATTGTTGGGCTGTTGCTTTTTACCATTGCCATTACTGTCTAGTTACGAGAAGCTGTAATTAAATGGGATATACTGATAATTAAACCAAATTTAACTAAAACTCATAATTAAACTGACTCCCCCATAAATCAAAATTGGAAAGGATAAAATTGTAAGACTATGATCGTTATAGGGTTTGAAGAGAAAAAAAAACAGTACATTAGCGAAAAAACGGAGGGGAAAATATCATTTGCAAGAAATTGGAATCGATTTGTCACACAAATATCTGTTGCAACGGTGGAACGAAAAAGGGGAAAAAAACTATTAACAAGCAGCAACTAAATGTTTGCCACAACATTTAAAAACCAAACGCGCGATTAGATTGTGTGTTGATTGATCGATGGGATCATTAATACCAATGTCTAAATATGCGACGTTAATCTATTTTAAATTTTGAGTTTCGTGTCATAAATATTCCTTTCCATTGTATTGTATAACACAGTGTTGTAGCCTGTAAGTTGTTACGCTGTGCGTCGAACTCATAAGTTCTGTCTGTGTGCTGCATGCATTTCTTGCTGTACACGAAAAATCAGACAAAAATCACCCGTTTTTTCTCTCTCTCCCTCTTTCTCTGGTGCTTATTGCAGCATTTCCATTAGATAATTGCTATGTATCGTCAAATACTTGCAATTCTAATTCTTCGACTTCTCATTTATAATTTTTTTTCTGCTGGGAGTAAAAGTCTGTCAAAAAAATTATGTAAAAAAATATCACTGCAACAAATTTGCATTTGCAAACCAATTCATTTTGAAAGAAGAATTTTTCGTCGGTATTTCAGTCAAAGTGGTTGAAAATTAAAATCGAATGTTGATAAAACGTCAGCAATGCTCAAACGTCAATGAACAATGATTTCATTCTTTTCAAATCCAAAGTGTCACTTGCATTTGCTGCTGGTGGTTGCAACATGAGCTCTGAGATAACTCTGTACAATTTTATTTTCTTCGTTCGTGCGATCTGTTTGTGAAAAATAATGGGGAGGCTACGTCATCAAGAAATGCGAAAAGAACTGAAAAAATTCAAAGTATACATCCAGCAAATCAGTTCACCGGCCGAATTTTGGTTGCAAATACCGAGTCCGCATGGATTGGCGAATTTGTGTGCGGCTCAAAATCAAAATGTACACCGCAAAACAGTAACCAAGGATCACAATCAATATTTGGTAAGAGGTATTGTCATCGCATGGAATATGTGTCAAAATGTTACGAATTAATCATATGGATTGGTCAGAAAATTGATGATAAATACATGTCTCACATTGAATAAATATTTTGATTGCAGACAATGAGACGGTGTTTGCATGGAAGTGTCATTTAGCATTCATCGCACCGACAAACTCGCACACCACCACCGCTTGGTCACTGTCGGCCAATGATAAATTCATCGAATACACTAAACGTTTTGATGAGCTAGCCATTTCGATACCGTGTTTGTCTAGCGCTACATCGATTTCGACGGCTGTCATTTTGTGGGGCCTGCGACAGCATCGTATGAATGCACTTGATGCGACCGAAGATGATTGGGAGAATCTAAATTTAATGTTGATTTTCCAAGGTGTTGCCCGATCAATCACCGATATTGAAATCATACAACATTTGGCACGTGTTCCACAGGATTTTGTCGCATATCCAAGCGTACAATTGACAGACGATAAAATTGTCCAATTTGAAAATCACACGAGATATTCGAATAGAAAATGGCAACCGGTTGAACCAAGCACGACAAAGGAATTTGTTGGTACGAACCATTTTCATTTTTTTCCCTATTTTTATTCTTGTCCAACTCGAATTTTTTTATTTCGAGAGAATCAAAATCGGTTTTCCTCATTAGACATTTCGGCTTTTATTTCCATTAGGAATGCCCGTGTTCATTGACAATCAGATGATGATCTTTGTGCAAGAGTCGCATCATCAAAAACGCATTGCCGAAATGACATACGAAATAAAGAAAAAGTACTCGAAACGAGAAAAACGACTAATCACAAATTGGAGACGTGGCGAAATGTGCATCGCCGATGGCACTTACTATCGAGCTGAGATCCGGACCGTCTTCCCAAGAGAGCAATCATGTTTGGTAATGCACATGCCATTTTGAATTTGACTCGAAAATCATTCGATTTTGATTTCATTCGAATTTTAATGCTTATCATTTACTTCATAGGTGTATTTCGTTGACTTTGGCGTCGAGGATACGATTGATTTCAAGGATTTGTGGCGGTGTACATTATTCAAAAATGTGCCGATTCAAGTGCGAAAATGTCATGTGCAGAAAATCAAACTTCCGTCAAAGAAGGGAAAAATATGTCCATCGAGAGCTGTGCACAAATTCACAATTGACATGATTCGCGGCAAAACTTGTTCATTCTACATTCATGACAATTTGGACTCAACACGAATTGACTCCATTCCTTGTACTGTGCGACCGTTGAATGAACCACTTGACTTGGCATCAGAGCTGGTTAGTTATCACATGGTGGGAATCACATCGGATTTCAAGCGAACAGACAAATTCGATGAGGAAAAACGCAAACGCACCGAATGCGATGATAAGGTTCTGATGCCAAGCACGGAATTAGAATCATTCGATGATTTTAAATGGTTTTATGAGCGTAAAAAGGCTGTAATTCCATTACGGAAGTCAACTGACTCTGCTGAAGATAACCGGAAGTTCGAAGTGTTTGATCATTCACGTCAAATGGAGGAACCTCGTGAAAAAAACAAAACAGTAACGATAGTTGAAAAGCAAATCGAGAGCCAACCACACCCATTGGTGGATAAAATCACCAAACATTTTCATCTATCGACACCAAAAGAGCTGGCCTTTTATTGTCAACCGCTGTTTGTGATCGACCCGATTACGATTTTAGTGGTTCCAATCAATGCAGCCCCCAGATTTATTGACATGGACACAAAACCAACCAACAATCCACTTCTGCCAGGTACATACACGTTTACCAGGTTTGAAATAAGTGATACAGAGAATATTGATTCGGTTATTCGTGCAAATATGACTTTTTTTTGGCGGCAAATGAGAAAAACATAACCAATTTTTCTCTTATTCAAGAAGAGAAACATGAACACCACCCATTTATTATCAGAAGAAAGAAATGCTTCTCTTTTTTGTATTTTCCTTCAGAAAAAAACATATTTGCTGGCGCCAAATATTTCAACCCTGAATTTGAATTCAATATTTTCCATGTGTCAATTAATTACTTGAAGTAATTTACTTCTTTCCATTTTTCCATCAGAAGTGAATTTAATCCATTGAACCCATTTCAGAAAACGCCCCGTGCATAGCACTCTTGGACAAAAAATGGCATCGTGGCATTGTGTGGGAACAACTCTCAACAGATGAATACACCATTTTATGTGCTGACACGCTGAAATTGATCGAAGTGAAGAGAGATTTTGTTCAAGTCTGTCCTCCCGATTTACTCCACACAAAATTGGAATGCATGAAAGTGCGTTTCAGCGAAATGATGTCACATCCACGTTTACGCTCACAAGATCTGTGCCATCAACTATCGAAGGCTCTTTTAGATAAGAAATTGTGTCTATTTGTAAGAATCGTTCGAGTACACAGCGATGAAGTGCCTGAAATCAAATTAAACCTCAATGAACATTCAAAGAAAAGCATTTGTACCGAATTGGTTGATCAGAAATATTACAAACAATTGAAGCGTTGAACCTCAATCAGAAGCATTTCTTTTTCGTTCGCATTTTGATTCTGGAAATATGTGCGGTTGCGACGAAGACAACAAAAAGACAACAAACTCGAAAAAAAATTTTTAAATGATTTTTATATCCAGAGTAGAAATTGATGTGCGCCTTCAGCCAAACCTAAAGTGAATAAAAAAAATTAATCAGCTATGACAATTCATATACCATTTAATTTCAAATGAAATGAAAAAAAAATATTGGAAATTCATTGGCATGAAAAAGTGCATTAAATGAGTCGACGAATGTTCGGGTGATAATTGAAATGGTTTGTTTTGACCTGCAAAACGGGCAATATTATGAAAACAATAAAAATCGAGTTCAATATATTGCATGGAATGTCATTTTTATACAACTGTCAAACGTTTATGTGTGTGTTGTGCATCCGTTTCGTTGAATTTTGTTGTGCGCTCGATAGGGGCAAACAAGACAGTTACTTAGCGGTACTTTAGCAATGCTAACTGAAACAAAAAAAAAAGGTTAAGTTCTCAAGTTTATTATCGAGTACATTTCAATGTATTATATAAACTCGAAACGATTCAATTGTTCGGAATCAAATGGCTCTGAAAACAATTGATTTTATTCGAAAAGTGTACATATGGAAATCAACCACTCGTTTTTGCGTCAATTGTGTGAAAAGATATACAATTGAATTTCCAGCCGATTTGCATTGAATTCTCTGCCCGTGTACTTTGCTCGTGTGTTTGACATTCACATGCCAATACTTAACACTGAGTACAAACTGTCTGTCTACAGTCTGTAGTAATGTTGTTATTTTCATCTGGAATGTCGTACACAAACACACACGCATGCACTCGCAATTGCATATACGTACACACAATCACAACACGAATCTTATGTGAATGAAATTGTTGTATACACAATACCAACACAAAGCATTAATCAAAAAAAAGCAGCAGCGAACGAACGAACGAAGAGAGAAGAGATGTTGAAAACGAATAATGGAAGTCAATGTGAACAAGGGTTTCAAACAATAGTGCTGAACATTGCGAGGAACTGGTTCCGTTTTCGCAAAATATCTATTGAATATTTACAAAAAAGGTGTACAATTTTTGCCATTTATCGTCTTAATAGTTATGGTTTAATGGATGGTGCGGTGGAAATTTGTGTACAAAAATGTGCCTCAAATCAATGACAAACAAGAAATATTTTGAGAAAAATGTTGAACAAAAATACACTGAACTTATATGACAGATGCCATCTTGTTGAATTTTTTTTTCCGTAATATATTTAATTTGTATGTGGTCTGTTTGGTCTTGTTTTTTTTCTTTCTTTCTTTCGTTGTTGTTTTTTTTATTCAGTTTCTCTGTATGAACGTACTTTTATTCACATTTATCGATCGATTTTGAGATCAATGGCAAAAGGCATCACGAAAACTCTCCATAAAATGGCTCATCGTTGCGACGAACCCAAATGCAACGAGAGAAAAAAAAACGAGAATAATAAGATGAAAAAAAAGACACAAAGATAAATTTTTGTTGGGAGCCTCATAAAATATGTAGCGGAAAGACAGTGTAATTTGTTTATTGACACAAATTCTTTTTTTTAATTTTAGATTTCATACGATTTCCCACTGCTGATCATTTGAAGGAAGAGAAGACGAAAAAATAAAATTAATAAAAAGCAATACACACAGGCGAAAGAGAGAAAGAGAGAGAGAGAGAGAGAGAGAGAGAGAGAGAGAGAGAGAGAGAGATAGAGAGGTACATTTATCGATATTACCTTCAAAAAATATCACAGCAATAATTCAATGACTGACTAATTTGTTTTTTCATTCTTTCTCTTTTCCACCTTCACTCTCTATCCTCTTTTATTTCCACTAATTGAAGATACCGAACGAAGAAAACAGAAACAAAATAACAACAAAAATGAAATTGCTTGTAGTGTATTGCATCGAAAGTTGCTTCTAAGGTGTAGACGGTGTCTGTGGCTGCAAAAAATACGAGGAAAAAAACACAGAAGAAGAATCTGTATTGTGCAAGCACTAATCACATACACACAAACACAGTTCTGCTTCTTTTTCTTGTTTATGTGCTGCTGAATTGAAGACGAAGGCGATAGAAACAACGTAGCGCAACAGGAACAAAAAAAGCCGTGACTTTTTTCTTAGTGTTTTTTTTTTCATTTTGGTCAAAGAGAAAAACCAAACTCACACGAAATGGATTCACAAATACAGTGTCCCGTTTGTACACTCTATCTGCATGTTGGAATGAATTTACAAGAGCACCTGAACACCCATCCAAAGGATCAGGTGATTTCGGCCCTAGTAAATATGACACTGTTACAGCAACGTGCCAACGATGAAAATTCCAATAATTTCGAATGTAGTCGATACGAACCGTTGGCAACCAGTGATGATCTCAATGCGTCGTCTACGGACAAAACGCTTCCAAAAGCATTTCAAAATCAACAGCAATCCATTACATATTTTGCACCCATCTCACAGCAAACATCACAATTGATGATTGTGAATGGTACACAGGTGTTTCATGATCAGCGGTAAGTTGCTATTAAATTTGTTGTAAACAAAATCCATGCCACAATTACATCATCGATAAAACTAAGTCATTTGTCTGTCACTAATCTAATGTAGTATAATCTATGTGACTAAGAGGCAATCACTGTATTGGTGCACCATGAAATATCAATTGAGTTGTAATGTGAATTGGTTTTTTTTGTTCGTCTCTTCTCTTCTTCAATTTCAGCCATCGGCGAGCCATTCAGAGTTGTTCGACGCCAATTTCACATCGGACCGGCAGCGGCACCACCGTGCCGCCACTCTCGATTCCTGCACGAACATTTCGACTGATTCCAGCTAAACAAGCAATACCACCACCGCCACCATATCATGCATCCGTTCGGAATGCAATACATCGCAATGAAATTAATCAAATCACCACACAAATTCAGCAAAGCTGTTCAACAAATGTGTTCAATGTGTCGGCATCGTCGAGTAGTAGCACATTAACAACCAATATAAATGCAATCAATGCATCGAGCAGTGCGGTGTATGTGAATCGAAATTCGGTAAAACGTATGGAGAATGATGATACCATCGCTGCTGCTATCACCGCCACAGAGCCCAGCGAATCAGATGCAATGAATACAGACGTGGAAGAGGCTACGGCCAATGATTATCATTTATATCCCGACGAAGCCGAATCCGTTGCAAGAGATAACAATGATGAGAACGATGATCATGATGATGATGATGATGCCATTGAATTGATCAATCACAATGGAACACCAAGTGGGCAAACTGATAAAATTACTGAACAACCGAAACAACGACCAATGCAGCATAAAGACACTAATGAGCCGGCACCAGAACAGGCCAACAAAGAGAGGCGAAATTTCAAAGAGGAAACCATTGAAACGATCGTTGCCGATGTAGAAAATACTGGCGAAAAGAAAACTAGAGGTCTCAAAGTGTTGAGTAACGTTCAGGTCTCACCAAATGCTATACTTAATGTTTCACTGAATTCGACGAATAGCGACACAATTCCATTGAATAATATGATCATTGTCAGTTCAATACCATCCACATCGACAGCAACTACCTCACAGGTAATACCAACACAATTGGTGAGAACAAAATCGTTGCTAAAAAGCTTACAAGAATCACGTTCACTACCATCGGATGCGAAAAATCCAAAATATACCAAAGTTACTGTTGATGTGAGTACTCAATCGGTAACAAACCTATTTTACTTGTGAATATTATGGAAAAGAATCAATTTTTTTTAAATTCTCTTCTCTATTGTAGATTGCCCCAACAAGTTTAGAAAAACAAAAACACACCGACATTGATATTGATCTCCAACTGGTTGATCCACTTGCATTGGACGAACGAAACACCAGGTTAGTTCACTGGATTTACGGCCGTTTCTCCGTTTATTCACCGCGATTCTATTTTATGATTTGAGTTTAATTTTGCTTTTCTTGTTATTTCCACACCTCAAATTCTACTGAATTTTGAATGAGACTAACAATTGACGTCATTCTATTTTGTGCGCCTTTATTTTCATTGAACATTTAGTGACGAGTGTTTTGTAAAACCGTGTTCGAGCAAAGCGACTAGCGTAATCCGTTTAGCATCTCAAAAATCCCCAAAACCGTCATCATCATCGTCATCATCCACATCAATATCATCTGCGCCATCATCATCATCATCACCATCAGTGTCAACAACGGAAAGTATACGACCATCAACAAATCGGCAATCGGTGAAAAAATTGGTTGTGAAACTGAAGAAGCCATTTATTCCAGTTATCGAAGAAGAAGCTAATTTGCATCCGCCTGGTGAGTAGTTTATGGCAATCGTAAAATAAATTATAATCAACAGATATATTTGCATTTGAATGCATTTAAAATGCATCAACATTCTGGTATTTGAAATGATAACGATTTTAATTTTTTTTCTGCTTGTTTGTTTCATTGTTGTTATTCCTTGGCTTAGATGAACATTTCGATAATCGTACGGGGCACAATACGTTCGAAGGCATGAATAAAAATGAAAATGAAGTATTGCTTGAATGTTCTGAAGATGTACCATTTAGTCCATTGCGTCAATCGTACACGCCACTTCCAGTGAATCAATTGAATGGCAACGATGACGATTGTGATGGTGATGATGATTTGATAACGCCCGATTGCATTCCATCGGCCCGAAATTATGATTCGGAAAATGAACTCCATATTATCGATATCAAATTGAATAATCATCAATTGCTTGATGCACACGATGACGATCAACCATCCGATGAAAATGAAAATGTTAATATGTCGATTGGCAAAGAAGATGTAGTTCTTTTCACTATTAACACGACCAACGATGGTGAGTTTGTTTGTTGGACTTTTTTTTTAAAAATGAAATTGGTAAAGATAGAAAAAGAATAGGAAAAATGTAGAAGAAACAGAAGAAATCTCATCGAAAAATCAATATTTGTTGGGTCATCCAAATTGGTGTCATCTTTAATTTTGGGCGAAAAAAATGAAAAACTTCAATGAACATTAAAAAAAAAAAAATTTTTTGTTTCATTATGCAGAAGAGCATATGGATGTAACGGAGGAGACTGATACCACAGCGGTGAAAATGTATTTAGAAAAATCATCGGCCACAACAACCAGTTCCGAATGTACATCGTACGCATCATCATCGTCAGTGTCAAATCTGGAGCCAAGCTCATCGCAAAATGAATTCCATAGCATTGCTGGCACAAGCCGAATGGAATACGGTCTGACTACATTCCTTGATTACAACGAACAACGTAACTTTCCTCTTTCCCTATTCAAAATTCCACACATATACATACATGCATTTCTTGATTTTTCGTTAACTTTTATGTGTGTTCTTCTTTCCGTGTTTTTTGTTTTGTTTTATTTTGTGTGAACGCTTTTAATTTCCTTGTGTATTTTTTTCCCTTCTCTCTCTCTCGCTGTTGTGCTTTTGCACGCATGCATTTTTTCGGTAATTAAACGACGTGTTGTTATTTGGTTTGCAGGTTTGCGTGTACGATTGTCACCCATACCATTTATAGCCGACAACAATACATGGAATCAAACGTTCAGTTCATCGTATGCGTCAGCATGTGAGGAAAATTACAAGCATTCCTCGTGCATGGATATGGATGGTTGTAAAACCAATTCCGTTAATGCACGCGCACCATCAACCGATAGTCTGAATATTCGAACCGATGAAAAGATGCCGGCAAAGGGTGAAATATCCGAACAGGAGAGTAATGGTGACGTCGAAGGTTTATGGAGCCATCAGGTGAGTTAATTGAGTTTTATGCATCGTGTTGCTCTCCATTTTTCCAAATGAGAAAAAAATATGGCATTACAGCGGAATGGTTTGGTTTTTTTTTTCTTCTCTCCCCTTTGCGCGCGATATAGGTATATTCAACGGAGAACGATAACATGCCAAGATACACCAATTCGTATGACACAACCGTAGCACGTGAAAGTTGGAGTTTAAGTAATGAACAAAATCTAACGCATGAAATGGAAAATATGTCAACAATTTTAATGAAATTGTAAGATCAAATATTTGAAGTGCTTTTGATGCAAACGACACACCTCACCTTCCACCTGATTAATGTCGGAATATTTTCTCTCTTTTTTTCGATTTTTTTCTTTCTCTTCTCCAAAAACATTGCCATCAGCAGCAGTTCGTTGGAACAATCGGATCGTAATATGGATATAAAGCCATTTGTTGGCAATAGCATTTGCACGGAAAAGGATATGCTGAAAGCAAAATCATTATCAAAAGCGCGAAAATATCGTTGTCCGATTTGTGCGCAAGTGTTTACATCGTTGAAGGAGAAACGGGCGCATTTGATTCAAATTCATGAGTATCAGCAGGGTGTGTCGGTGACAAAAACGGTCGCAAAAGCAATGAAATTTACAAAAATCAAAAAACCCACCGAAACAATAACCAGTGCCAGTTGTTCGACGCTGGACACAACGACAGAAACATCATCAACATCGCCTGTGATCGAGTGCAAGAAAGAGCGTTCGGATATAATGCGACCGTTCACCAGTCTCAATAACTATCTGTTAAGTTACAATTGGTCGACATTAAAATCACGGCCAACGGATCCCGGTACAAAGGACGAAAATAAAAAGCTATTTGAAATCCTTGACAGTGGCATCAACTATGTGTGCAAGGTGTGTGAAGAGCAATTCAACAGTATTCGAGCATATGATATGCATATGACAACCCATCCAGCTGAATGTTATACATGCGGCCGGACATTTAAGCGTTGGGTTAATTTCAGTATTCATTTAAAACGACATTTGAATATCCGTGAACATCGTTGCATCCATTGTCCGAAACGGTTTGTGTTGCGTCAAAGTATGATTGAACACATGCGAATCCATAGCAATGAGGCACCGTTAAAATGTAGCCTATGCATGAAACGCTTTAAGCGTTTCTCCAATTTGATACAGCATCGAAATCGGCATCATTTGAAATTGCGGCCACAGGCAAAGGATTTCATTTGTTCATGCGGCGAAGTGTTTCATTCACAGGCAAAAATTGCATGGCATCGTGAAACCCATGATGTCAAACCAAAATGTTGTCCGTATTGTCGTGAAAGGTTCATGCATAAAAATAGCCTGGTACGACACATTCGACTGTCGCACACCGAACGTTTCCATTTATTCAAACGGGATTCGGTCGAATGTCCGTACTGTAAAAAGAAATATATAAAATCTAGTCTCAAGATGCATATGGAACAGCATAAAACATCACGAACCACATACGAATGCACGATTTGTAATAAGACACTGACAACGAAATGGAATTTAAAGCAACACAAATGGATCCATGCCAGCCGATCGTCAAAACCATTCAAATGCAGCATGTGCACGAAGGCATTTATACGCGAAAGTGAATACATTTCACACATGAACACGCACAAAGCAATTAAACCGTATACATGCGATCATTGCGGTTGTCAATTTGCACGCAAATACAATTGGTTACGGCACACGCGCGAACATGAAACCCTCAAGAAATTCCGTTGTGATACATGCGGAAAGGATTTCCATCGTGCATACTATTTGAAGGAACACATTCGTATTCACAGCGGTGAACGTCCTTTCGAATGTGTCATTTGCGGCAAAACGTCGACAACAAAAACCAATCACAATAAACATGTGAAAATTCATCATGCTCGGGATCCACTCACCGCTGAAGCATAAACAACAACAACAACAACACACAAACAAACAATTTACACATAATAATCTCAAACCCGAACACAACACATTTAAACTATCGCATAAATCGCATTTTCGACATGGTTTTTTCGCTCACCATTTACAAAATTATATAGACATACGGAAACATCAACAACAACAAAAAAAAAACTCTATTTGTATTGTGTTTGTTTATTTCAACTACGAAACGTTTTTTTTTTTAATTTTCTTCGCCAAAATTTAATATTGAAAAAAAAGATAGATAAACAATAATAACGGTGCAATTTCAACGTTCTGCGTATTTGATGTAAAAACAAAATATAAGACAAACAAACACATTAATTATTATTGAGGTGATTACATCCATGATTTAATGGACATTTTAATGCAACAATACAATTATTATGCAATTGAAATGTAAAAGGAAAATATTCCGATTCTTTTTTCTTCTCAGCTAAATGAATGTTTTTGAATTTTTATGTTAAAATCGATTTAAAATATTTCATATGTTGGTTAATCCTTGATACAATTGGCTGTTGTAGACGGCATAAATACCCGGGCAACGCCAGCAGCAATCACAGAACAAAATCGGCGATTTTTCTCCAAATGTTAAGTTTCTGCGCTAAATTTTTTCAACTCAAAACATTTTTCCACATGATGTTTGCCACATTTTCCAAAAATACACATCATTTTCTGTTCTGAATGTGTGCAAACGATTTTGCCCCCCGTTGTTATTGACATAATATGTTGTAAATTGAGATGCTCAATTGTTCAACCGCAAAATGCATACACGAATGAGAAAAAAAAAATTTGCAAATTAATAGCCTCAAAAGTGGGCTATATTTGCGTTTGTACTGTGTAAATTTGTTGGTTTTCTGAGCCACCACCATCGCCGCCACCCGGCGGTAATTTCAATATTCAATTTTAATTAAAATAATTGATTGAAATGATTATTATTCACGTCATTTGATATGAAAGCGGCGGCAAACTGAAGTTCAATTAGTTTAGGAAACTAAATCTATTTAAACCAAAAATGCGCTATTCATTTTATGATGCTCAGTATGCACACATCGCAGGAAGGAAGAGAAAAGCGGTTATGTACTGAGCGTTCTCATTTTTTTTTTTTTTAGTTGGGGTTCAGCTGGAGCTTTTCCACTTGTTCCACTCAGTTTGGACCTCAAGTAAAGCGTCTGTTTGGCTGATTGTCACAGCCACTAATCGATGTTTCTTTCAAATTCAATTTTTATACCCATTTTTTTTGGCAAGTGTTTTTGTGTTCAATCAAAATTGAACTTTTTTTTTCGAAAAAAAAATTAAACTGATTTACTTTGAACTTAAATTTAAATCGAAACTGTTTCCTACAAATAAAATTCAATATCGATCGGATAAGTAGAGAAAAAAAAAGAACATACCGATGCATCTAAACAACAATTTAAGTACGATTTCTTAGACAAACAAGAAGAAAAACAGAAGAAAAAAAAAATCCAATACATCGCATATTTATTATATTTATATCATAAAATGCTACTATCCTGATCGTTTTATAGACATTTAAGGCTAGACTTTTAATGTGCAATAGGCTATTTTACTTTTAGAATAAATTAAAGAAGGAAGGAAGGAAGAAGACGAAGAAAATCAACTGATAAACCGAACGATGTTAATAAAGACCATTGAGACAAATTAAGGATTTTTAGTTATAGACGGACAAAATAAAACGAGAAATAACAAGAAAAAAAAACACACACACACACTCACGAAGCAAAAATAATTTCGAGCAATAAAAAGTTTAAAATGTTTCAAATTTGATTTGTACTGTTTCACTGTTTGTTCAATTTTTTCTTCTTTAATTTCTTGGACTGTTTCAGGTTCGTTATGTGCATTAGTGCAATTGGGGCAATCTTTTTTCTCCATTGTTTCCGCTTAACAGCGCAATTACCCTTATTAGTAAACATCGCTAAGCGATTGCGACTTATGGTGAAAACACAGCATTTTTCCACTTCAAACCCATTCGCTTTTTTTTTTGTTCGCCTTGCCGTTTTACAAGGGAATGTCCATGAATCACTCGGAACGTACTCAAAAAGGAATCCACCGCGAGCAAGATTTAAAATACTTCTGCGAATAAATTATTACGTGCACTTGATGGGGAGCAAAATACACGCTTGATGGGAAGTGATTTTTTGCCGCTGCCAAGTTTTTCTTTCTAATTAATTTTTCGTGTGCTTCATTGTATGATGAAGGTTTAATGGAAATTTTTATTTTTAAACGCGCGCGCGCGCGTGTGTGTGTGTGTGTGTGTGTGTTTGTGCCACGGAAAAATTGGTAAAATCAACAGGTTCATTAAACAATGTGTGATTTAAATTGTAAAGCACTGCGTTAACATTTCATACACAAACACATACACGCTCATAAAACTAAGTTCATAAAAGCTGAAATGAACTGTAGATTTAATTTAACAAATATAATTTCATTTCATTTGTTGAACAAGTGGCATACCAAACTGGGCGGAATTATTACACAAATACACCCCAGTGACAATATGTTTGGATCAACTATCCAACATATATAATTTTTAATTAAATAGGTTATCATATGCAAACATCGAATCGTTGAATCATTTGAGGAAAAAAGGCTGACATATCATCAAACGCTTCATTTGATAAAGACATAAGCATTTTTTGTTGTGTAATTTCTAAATATGTTCCCGAATATTTGGAATTCCAATTGAATTTCCGTGTGTTTTTCGAATGCACAATTCCTACTGTCCCATTCATTTTGCCAGCAGGGTCAACTACATATATATCACATTTTATCGATAAAATGGATTAATGATTAAAATTTCATTACAAGCGATTTACATTTTTTTTTATCGAATGCTATTTCCACACCATTATCATATTCTCTCTCTCAGAATTAATTCCGCGCCTGCTTTTTGATTACGTGTTTTGTATGAAAGTGAGTGGAATAAATGGCAATTTTCGACGGTGCGTTCACCGGTACAAGTAAGAGAAGTGAATGTTGATAATTTTTTTTTGCTCCCATTGAAATTGTTAGTTAATTTGAACGAAATGGGAAAAATCACGTGCTTTTCTTTTCAAGTGGCCCTTTGCCGAGCGAATATGAGATGAGTGAAGATTTTTCATCTCATGTAGTTTATCGGCATGGTATCAGGCAAGAATGAGTGAGCGAATGCACCCACTTCATTTGACTTCTTCTGGATGCGTTGGAGCAGGCACACGTTTAACACTATGTACCACGACACACACACACGCACATCCACTTGAACTACTTAAACTTTCACTCCTCTTGATCTTACTAATAGGACGCAAAAAGATAGCCTTCTTTTTGCTTAATCTAATTTTTGAGAGAGAGAAAGAAAAAGAGAATTAGATAGGAAGAGGAGCAGCAAGAGAAATTCTTGTCGCATGTTTTTTTCTTCTCCTTTTAATGCAATAAATTATGTTTGATACTAGCTTAACTTTGTAAATTCGACTAAGTTCTGATGAATAATGACGGAAACAAGAGCAATTGCATACACATCCTACGTGCTTCGAACGCAAATGTAAATTAACTTGCGTATAAGACACGCTCTTTCTATCTCTGTGTATGTCTCTCTCTCTCTCTCTCCCCCCCCCCCCCCCCCTTCTGTCTCGATGTTGTTTCTGTTGCTTCTGTTTTTTTTTGCCTCGCGTCCGTTGTTGTTGATCCACTGTAGCAAAAAGCGATTACATGCAATTCATATGGACTAATACTGTTACATCATTTACGACGCACCCCATACAGATATAGTTTTCAATGTTGTTCAGTGATCCGAGTCGGTCGTGCGTACGTATGTTCGAATTGACTTCGTCAATCTAGTGGCATTAAATGCAAAAATACAGCGAAAACAAAAATACGACCAAAAATTGTACCAAAACAGACACACACAACAAAAGTCAACGCAAATGAAAGGCATACGTAACGCGCATAAACCGTGATAACGTTAGAAAATGTTTAGGATTCAGCGTTCGAATTATACACTCGGATATTTACTATGGTTGAAAACCATACGCAACCAGAAAAATGGTTTGACCCAACCGGAATACTAGATTCGAGTCGCTCTGATTCATTTTTGATGTGAATTGATATATGGCAAAATGGTTTTGTTTTCTTTTTCGTCGGAGGGATTTTACTTTCGGACCATACACACTCACCATATTTAAAAAAAAAATGGCTATGCGAGAGCAAAGCATCGATGGCTTTTCGTGTTTCACCAATTCGTTTTTTCCCACGTAAAGTTGGGCATAACACACTCAACACTGTTTGAGTCAACAGCGTTAAATTGTTAACAAGAGTCAAAAATGCCATTTCGTGGAAATTGTATTCAATATCGTTCAAATTTAGCACACACACCCTTCAAATCGAATATCAAATATCAAATGAAGAAGGAAAAAAAATACATCGAACATTAAGAATTGCGTCCAATTTTCTGTCGTATCAGCAGGTCTTCAACATATCTAGCACCTGGTGTTGATATGAAAATCAGTTGAAGGATTTTTTTTCATCGCACTCGCACACGCTTCAAGCATTGGAAAAATCGTTGGTTCAACGTCGTCGTCGTTTTCGTCGTAGTTACGCAACGGCAACAATGATGGAGCACATTTGCCCAATAAATAAAAGAAAAGCTCGATTAATTCATGCCTTCCTTCCGTTAACTTGTCCCGAACGCGCACGCTGAAAGGATTGGGAAAACTTCAAAAAAGTGTGATTTATACACTTTTTCAGATTTGAATTAGTTTCGTTTGTGATTTTTTGTTTAAGCTTTTCTCGTTCTTTTTTTTTGTTCTACTGATTCCTTTTGTTTTCTCCTTCTTCTCAGTTGGTCCTTTGTCTTTCAGTTGTAGCTCTACACGATATTTGCGTCGGGTTCGTCATTTCCACTTACTACATCTCATTTTCAAAGAGAAAAGGAAAAAATGGATACTTTTTCCCTCTCCATATCCATGTGTTGTATTTTAAAATGAATCTCTCTCGCATATGTTGCACAATTCACTTATAAAGTTAATTAAGTTTAGCAATTTGGCCACACTGTTGTGTGTATATGTGTTTGGAACGTGTTCGCGCGCCCGTCCACACCATTTTAGTTACAAATTTATGCTCATTGTCTATCGCATCGCACAAATCTCCGCACAGTGATTTAAATGTTTCGCCAACCGCCTGTCTTTCCCTTCCCGGCTGAAAGAATGCTGAAGTGAATTAAATGCGCTCCCCCCTGCTCGTAATACGGTTTAAGTAATGAAATTATCACAATAATGGTACTCATTTAAAGCCTTGATACTGTTGTTGCTGATATTGTTGCTGTTGCTGCTCATCACTTGCATCGACACCTAACGAACGAACACTCTGCGAATACGTGACACATAGCCAAAAGAGTCAAAGAGTCAAGACCTCCACTGCCTCCAATATGCATGGCAAATGTAAAACCATAAAATAAAAACCAGCGAAAGAGAATGAATAAAAAAAACTTGGCACGAGCAGAGAGGAAAAAATAGTTACAACACACAACGCGTACATCTATTTGAAAATAACAAAAGTTATAGAGATAAAAATGGGATTTGGTATGAAATCGAATTCAGGGCAGGATATGAAAAGCTTTGACTTAAAACTTCTTCGCATTGTGTGGCACTAGGCACATGATTACGATGGCGACGACAACTGCAACGGTAGCGTGGTGGGTGAGTTCGTGTGTGTGTGTGTGTGTGTGTGTGTATTGCGGACGGAACGGGGGAAGGGATGGTCATTACAATAAGTCCATTTTTATTTCTCTTTCTTGGTTGGGTTTTGTTTGCCCGTTCATTTGTTTGTTAGTTCGAGAAACAAATGACAACACAATTTTCGCTACGAACAATTCAAAACATGAACGGCGAGAGAAGACAGAGAGAAAACGAGAGAGAAAGCGTAGCAACTGTAATTAATTTGATTACCTACGTCCAGTGCATCCATCGAGAGAAAGGGATGCCAATGTCTGAATCGGAAATTTTCTCTTTCAAATTTCTCGTCATCTGGTCGGCGTCTCTTTGGCTCGTATTTACAACATTTGGACGAGAAACTGCTACTATCTCTACACCGCCGTGTGTGTGTGTGTGCTCACTTTCTTCTATCTGCCTCTCTATCTATCTCCTTTCTTTCGGTTCTTTTGTTCACTCTCGCTCACTTGTTCGTCGAAAAACTTTCGACGTCTCGCTGAAAACACTAAAAACAATATTCCACACAGGAATGAATGATGCTCCTATTTTTTGTTATTGTTGTTGTCTTTTCTCTCACTCTTTCGCTCTACCGCTCTAGCGTCGATTTTGTTGGATGTTGTCGACAACCGCATGAACAAGAAAATGTTTTGAAATGTTAAACAGTAAAGTTTTAACATTTTGTCAGTTCTCCTGGGTGCCAAACATAATATAATTGCTAAATTCAATTTCAACTTCAGCTCAGTTCGTTCGTTTTGGTTCTATTTTTGCGCCATCATCATCATAACAGGCGAGCAATTGGGGCGGATGTTTCGAATGAAAAATGACAATTTACATTGTTTTGTATATACTTTTGTGTCTATCACTCCTCCTCGTGCCCCAAAATGAACGACGAAAAACGCTCACAACCAAATTACAGTTTTATTTATTCATGCGATCATCAAGCATGATTATTAAAAAACCATCAATGGCTTCTTCTTCAGAAATAAACAAAAAATTGTATCTTCCTGCTATTTCGGTTGAGCGTTGCGTTGGAATGGGAATGGCAATGAGATGAGCCAGGCAGCAGCAGCAGCAGCAGCAGCAGCAACCAACCTGCGGCTTTTCCAACAAACAAGAAGTCCAATGATGAAATCCCAATGTCAAAATGCTAGTTTTGAATTACTTTTTAGTTCGTCTTCAAACGGTTTATTTTTGGTTAGTTGGATGGTTCTTTTGTTGAATTTCAAAGCCGGGGATTTATATTCTCCGTTTCAGCATCAACATTTTAGAGAAAGTTTTCTATTCTCTTTTTTTTTCATGAATGTTCATGGACAACATTTTTGCCAACGAACTTAACTTAAAAGCTTCCACATTTTCGCTTGATACAAATATAAAGTACCGTCCGAAATATGAATGCAACGATGTTGACGATTTTTATGGCTCTTGGTCAGTTGTATAAACTGATGTTTTTTTTACTCAAATGAAAAATTCACGCCTCCATATTTGCCTTGTTACAACCATTGATGACAACACATCTCGAGAGAGAGAGAGAGAGAGAGAGAGAGAGAGAGAGAGAGAGAGAGAGAAAAAGCATCAAACTGAAACGAACACGTTCATCAAATGCAATGCAAACATTGGCAGCAAGCCTGATTGTGTTTGCTTTAGTTTCAATGGTCATCGTTACGCTACTCTTTCACTCTCTGTCTCGCTCTCTCGCTCTCTGAAATGAATTTGGAGACCGATTAATTGTTTTTGCCTCTCCGCGGCGGTCTTCCTTCTAATGACTTTCCTCTTTTTTTTGGGCTACCCTCGGACTTTTTTGTTCGCTTTCTTTCTGTTGGAAATTGAAACAACAACACCATTATGATTACGATTCCGTGAATATTGGGACAGAACAGCAGCATCAGCGCATCAGAATCAAAAGCAGCATCAAGCAAGGAAGACGCATGTGAAATGGGCACGGAGGCAATAATGAAATACCATGAAATACCATTCGCATCGGATATCCAAACAAAAGAAAGCGTACACCATTTTTGTGCGAAACAATCAGAGAAAAAAACCTATAATAATAATATTGCGTATAGAGAGCGAAACAACATCGTGCTCGCACGGCTGCCGTTGATATTTTTCGCAAACATTCTTTTGTTAGAGCAAAATAATAACAATAAATAGACGCGTTGCGGCTTGCAACCACAAATGAAAATTAATTTTTGCTATTATTCCTTCTCTACCTCCCTCTCTCTCTCTCTCTCTCTCGCTGTCTATATCACATAATAAAATTACTGCAATTTTTTTCGTTGTGGCTTTTGGTTTGGTTTCGGGATGAGGATGCTAAAATTACTTGTGGCTTAAGCGTATTCACACTTAATTCATTGCATACTCACACGCACACATTACAAAAGCTTTTATAGCCATAGCGAAAAATGTGTATGATGGTTTTTTATTCTATTAAAAATGTCACGTGAAAAATTCATCAAATTTTTTAGTGGATTGTTCCGGCAACGGAGGAAAAACGAAAATACTTTTCAATGTTTTATCACTTTCAAACAATCTCCGTATCACGTCATCGTCAACAACAGCAATGTGGAGCAAAGATTTTACGGTAAAGTGTTTCGGAAATGTACGTTAATATTCTTACATTATTTGCATCTCATCATAGTTAACAAGCTCTTTCCGTGCATAATGTATAGGAAATTGAAAATGTCGTGCCCAAGAAACGGAATTTTTGCCGCTTCTACTGCTGCTGCCGCTTCTGCTCCTGCTCCTGCTTCTGATGCTTTTCAGGTGCGAAACCATAATTTTTTATAAAAGGAAAGCGGTTGGTTTCGCTCCGATTCTCATTGAGTGTGGGTAATCTTTCGAATTGCTTAAGTGAAAATACGGTGCGCACACCTCTACGTCCATTCGCCCTTGTCACTTGAGTGTGCAAAGCGAACAAAGATCAAACAGAAAAGCGCATTCCGCATGGTGTGTATGTGTTGAAAAGCGTTCAAAAACAGAAATTGTATGTAGGACAGGTTGGCAAGTGTTGCTTGGGTGTTTTTGGGTTACAAAACAAAAATACGGTACGAAAAGAATTTTTGGATTGTGTGTCAGTCAGCAGAAAAATATATGAAGTCTATGGAGCGAATCCAAAATTCAGGCATCATCACTATTAAACTGAATCGACATAACTATATCGCTGTGTTAAATGAAATGAAACGAAACGGAAAAATTGTCATCGGCGCCCAATTCGAATTTGGTGTGCATGTGTGTGTGTGTGTGCGTGTGCTCAATCAATTTCCTCTGTCGATGTTCGCCATGTTCGGTCATGCTTTCAAATGGCCAAATTACCACAAATATCACAATAGAGCCACTAAATATGAATGGGAAAACAGTTTGTATTTTATGATTTTTCCCGAATTTCCGACTACATCAATGTCCGTTGTTATTTGTATGTCGGTTATAAATTCCATCGGTACAGCACACATTACATGGCACATCAAACGAAATGTTGTGTTGTTCTAGGGCTCGGGCTGGTTTTTTGATGCGGCCGTATCATGGAAACGAACACACATACACATACACACACACACACGCGCGCGCGAGAAAGAGAGTGATGAAGCGAAAAACGAGAGAGAATGAGATAGAGAACAACGTGCTGCTGTTCGACAAGTAATCAAATAATCAACGCGTGTATACATATACATATTAACGTATAACAAACTCACGGGATATGCACATGGTATATTCTATTGTGCACACAATAAGTTTTAACGTGCACGCGTACAAGATTTTCCTTTTGCCCCAGTATCACGAGCTTAAATCTCAAAATGAAGAGCAAGTTGAATTGATGCTTTTCATTTCACCCACTTAGTTTGGCTGCTGTCTCTGTCGTTCGTTTGTTCACTGGTTCGTTTGTACGTGCGTTTGCTCTCGCGCGAGTCAGCTCTTTATCATGCCAATTCGGATGGATGTTTACAGGGACGGCGGCAATGACACATGTGTGTGTGAGAGAGAGAGAGAGAGAGAGATAGAAAGAACGCAAGAGAGATTGCCGGAGAGATGTGTGTTGGATGTGGTTCTCGATGTGTTATACGAAAGAATTTTCTGTTACAGCACACGAGCTACTGTGCGCAAACAGTATTCATCGGTCGGTTAGTATGCATTGTTAGGTCTATTGTGTAGCATCACTTTGCTTGCAGCGCTGCTTTGGATGGTGAATTTTCCACATCTCCTCCGTTTTTGGCATCATCTTCTCGCGCCAGCCAGCCAGCTAGCTAGCTAGCTATTCGGTTATGTTCGCTGTGTACACTTGTGTAGTATAATCAATTGTCGGTGGGAAGATTTTCACTTTCAGTCATTTTTTGGCAAGTGAGAGCGAGCGAGAGATGATGAAACAAATTTCATTCGACAACAACGATAAACAACACAAAAACCAACAAAACTAACACACATTGTGTTGCTAGTAGTTCTAGTGTGTGCATCGAGTTGACAAAGCATTATTACATTGAATCTCATATACATACATTTAATGAATATTTTACAGCTCAACTATTTGTGGCATTTTCGAAGTAATTTAAAGAGTTTTTGGATGTGCATGTGCGTGTGCTTTTCTGAGAGTGAATAAAAAAGTGATGTGAGATAAGTACCCGCTCACGCGTGAAACTAGTCAACGCTTAATTTGCCGCTCGATTTGTATTCGGTGTGTGTTTGTTATTTGCGTATGACCTTAGCAGAAAAACGATTTGACACTTTTAATAAGTTTCGCAATAGAACTTTTTTTTTTGTGGCTAATGAACAAGTGACACGTATTCAGTGTAAAGAAAAAAAGCTGGAGAAAACCTGAGAAACTGAAACATAAAACAAAATCAATTTTGTTATTTTTTTAAATTTCTATCACTTTGGTTTGTTTTTAAATCGTCGTGTTACTGTTGCCGCAGCACAGTTCAGCAGTACCAAGCAAAAAACATAACAACAACACATCAATGAAAAAGAAAAGTGTTCAAAATAAATGTACAGAGTGAAAGAGAGTGAGAGAAGACATTTCAAATTTTTCACATGGAACAAAGTGCAAAGTTGACATTTTTCTAAGTTTTATGGTGCTTCAGCTGCTTCATTTTTTATGTTGAGCTTTGCACACACACACACACACACACACACAGAGAGAGAGAGAGAGAGAGAGAGAGAGAGAGAAAAAAAAACCTAAAAAAAATTCCCTCAATACAAAAGCCAACGACGTCAAAGATATACACGCACATCTCGAACGGATATATCCACAAAATATACATACAACACATTGTGCGGGGGGAGTGTAAAACGAGAAGCAGATAGACAATCAAAATTCCTCGAGATAAGAGAAACGGGCAAACGAACGAAAAGATAGAGATTCTGTGTCCCATCTGCTTGGTTGCTTGATATTTTTTATTTGATTTTTTGTCAGGAGTTGCACTTGTGTGTCGTTTTTCGGCCTGTTTCATGCTGCTACGCACACGAGACAACGACGACGTCGACGACGACCATCACCATCACCACCACCACGGCGGAGAATGAGTGAATGAGTGAAAGCGAGCGAGCAAGCAAATGGTAAGATAAAAAATGGTTATTTACTGAAAAATCAAAGCTTTCAGCAAAAATTTATGGGAGCACTCGGTCAATAAAATCATTACATCGGTCGGTCGGTGGATTCCGAAACGTTTCATTTTAATTGAAATGACATTTTGCACGCAAAACTGCTAGCTACAGCTCCCTGCAGTGTATGTGCGTGCCGATGTGTGTACACTGTACAGTGACTATATCGAAAATACCGAGCAGAAAAACAAAATTCGACAAAGATACATGCTTTGCTAACAGTTTTGATTTTATTTCGTTATGTTTTTTTACTCTCTCTCTCTCTCTCTCTCTCTTTCTCTCTCGTTTTTTTTTCTTCTTTCTTCTCTGCTAAATAACACTTTTTTTCTCTGTATACATCAAAATGTAAATGTCCTAGATGTATACATGTGCGAAAAACACCACGACAGTTATTTCATTTTTACATTCAATTGAATCGTCAACAACAAAAATATAAAAGAAGCACACACAAGAAGAGACACGAAATAAATAAAGAGCAAGGAAAAGACAGCATCATTTTCGAAAGTGACTATAGTAATACGAAAAACGTCAGAAAATAAACGACAACGACGACGACGAACGACAGCAGCATCAGTAGCAGCAGCAGCATCATCATCGACGTCGTCAACGACACGAACGACCAACAACAACAGCACACAACGAAATAAAAACAGAAAAATAAAGCAAAATCATCTATTTTATTTTAAATTTGCTTAGGGTAAGTGTAAACTGGACTGACAAATCGAAAGCATATTCATTGTTTAGTGTGCAGCCGCATCACTCAGTTGCAATGGTTGGCAAGCGAATAAATGAGACAAATAAAAGCCGATAAAAAAAACATTCTCTCTCTCGCTTGCCCACCGAATAAATATGTTTTATTTTTCTCTCTCATACACATATGTTATGTTTGCCATAAAATTCGGGCACCCATGATGTTTGGCCGTTCGAATCGTATTAGCGGGAGAACAATGGGGCCATGCGTTTCACACATATACATGCACATAAAAACATTGCACACATGTAGGCAAACACATACATTTTATATGTGTATCAAAACAGCAGATGAGAGAAAAAAGAAAATCCAACAAATGAAAACTGTTTTTGCAACTGATTTATGTGGTTTTATGGATTTTAGTGCATTTAATATCAAACAATTCCCAATGTTCGTTGCATCTGCATACAATGAATGTGTTTATTTTGACACAACTGTAGGAAAAGTTTGCTTTTCACTTTTCTCTCTCTCTCTCTCTCTCTCACTCGCTCGCTCGCTCGCTCCACGTCTCGTTGCGTTCATGTTTTGTACATTTTGAATCTTTTTTGGCTTAGTTCTTTTCTGTTTGTTTGTTTGTGTGTGTGTGTACTGTGTATGGATATTATTGTGCTGTTGCTGCACGTTTTATTTTATTTACACTCCTCCTTTATGAATATGTTTGCTTTGTATTTTGTAGTGGCATGGCAAATGTTAGCATCAATTTTTGCGTGAAAGCTCTTAAAAACAACACCAACAACAACGAAGTACAAAACAAAAAGAAGAAGAAAAAAAAATTGAAAAGGAGACACAAAAAATACCGAGACACGAAGTGTAATGCCTGAATGAAAAGAAGTAAACAGTCAACTACACATCGCTTGATGGTTTCTTTGGTTTTTGTATCGTTTCAGTCTGTTTTTTTTTTCTTCTTCACATGCAAACATACACGCATACAAACAACGACATAATGATGCAAAATAAACATTATTACGCAAGAAGTCTTCAAAGCGTTTTGATGGCATCTATCGCCATACCATTTCAATTCATTTCATTTTTATTCACTCTCATCTCTCACCCTCTTACTTCTCCCTCAACGTACGCGTTTCGCGTTTTTCTCCAGTTTTAGCTTGTAAAGGGTTTTTCTAATTATTCGAAAATTTCAACATATCAATCAGTTAAATCCCCACGCCTCCCACCTCTCGCGTTTCTTGACTCAATTTGGCTCGACTTGGGTTGCCCTGACTTGTCGGTACACGCAATGTTAAAGCAATATGCATGTGATGTCGATGAGAGACGTTATCTGCGATGAGAGCAAAGCGTTTACAGCGAACGAGATAAAGATGCCATGAAATGTTAAAGTTTTATTTATCCGTTTGGTTTTCTATGCTATTGCTGTTGTTTTTTTTTCTTTTCGTCTTCATTTTGGTGATTTTCTTATTTAAAATGCTCTTATGTGGATGTATGTGCTAGTGTGTGTGTGTGTGTACTACTAGTGGAAAAATACTCATACATATGTAATGCCATTGGCTTTTCTTATTCGGTCGTTTTGCTTCCTATCTTGCAGCGCTATTATGTGATGTATGGCGTTGGCGACAACAAAAGAATGTAATATGTGCTGATTCGCCTTTCGTTTTTCGTTCAATTCGGATGTTTTCGTTCTTCATCCCATGCCATTCTTTAGATTCTCTCGCTTGGTCGCTCTAACTCATTCACTCTCGCTCTCTCGCACTCTCTCGCTCTCTCATTTTATTTCGATCGAGCACTGCGATGCTCTTTCCAGCTCGAAAACCGTTTGTTGTACCATACTATGGATGTATGGTGAGTGCGCTGTATTTTTATGTGAAGTCATCATTTTTTTTAGACATGTTTGTAGCCAAAAACCAGAACACCAAACCAAACCGAGAGCCAAGCCAAATGGAACACATCCGAAATGGATTGAAGTAAACCTTGGGAAATGGTGTATCGAACCGATTCGAAATCGAATCGTCGAATCACATCGAACATCGGCATTAGGTAGATAGAAGCAGAAAAAAAGAGAATAAAATAGCTCCGACAATACACAATAATATTTACATTCTCAAATACACACAATGCACATCGATAGACTGGCTCAGCGAATGAGCGAGTGAGCGAGAGCAAGTAAATTTTCAGGCATTTCTAATCATATAGCTGCACTATTAAGTTCACTTAATTTTCTACATATAAATGAACGAATAACGAGGCAATACCTATAAACCAAATCTACGCCAAATATTCATCTATCTAATATTTCCGTTTTCCACTCCCACATGTATATGTACTCTGTGTTTTTTTCTCATTCTATTTGTGCACGATTCTCATCATCGTCGTCGCTGTTGCTGTCGTTATATCGACTATTGTTGGATGCTATCGCTAGTTATGTTTGCTTGGTGCAATATGTGTGTATGTATATGCTCCCGTTGTCATTATCAAATCCTTCACGAAACGACGACTCATGCTGGATTTTCAAATCCATTTCAACATCTAACGATGGAGGGAGAGAGAGAGAGAGAGAGAGTGAGTTGTAGAAAAAAAAAACGAGAATTTAATATCAAATATCCCCTCAACATCCGAGTCACCATAGGACTAATTGAAAGCGGTTTTGTTGACGTTGTTGTGATTGTTATTGCACATACAGAGTACATTCAGTGCGAACGAAAGAGAGGAATACAAACAGATAGAAAGAGTGTTTGTGTTCGCATATATGTATGTGAATGTAAACCATGCGGTGTGTATGGGTTGCGTGTTTTCTGAGCAACATTTTCACTTACTTGAACTTATATGCATCAATATTATGCCATCAACTTTCTATTCATTGCTTTGGTTCGTACAGCTTAAGAGTCAAAATCAAATTTTCTTCGCATTTCACATTTCTCGCCCCCGTTTCATTTTCTCTTTCACTATCACACACTCTCATTCATTCTTTCGTTCTCAAATATTTTTTTTAGCTCCCACTTTAGCGTGATGTGTGTGTGTGTGTGTACTTATAATAGATTTTAATTTCATTTGAAGATGCTTTAGCCTATCTATGAATAAAGCTTGTGAGCCTATTCGTATTCTCTATTCAAAAAAATAAACCATAAGCCAATGATGAATATATCCTTCTTTAATGCCATAAATCTTTTGATGCTGCAACGCACTATACAATTCTTACTAGTGCATATTAGTTGACACACTTTTCAAAGAAGAGAAAAGAAATATATATTTTTTCTAATATTAATTTGTCCACTGCAGTGTACAACTTTTCGCACAAGTTCGTTAGTTGCCATCAAAAGTGGAAAAAGAAGTTGAAAAAAAAGAAGAAAAACGCGCCAAGCCACTTTGATTCCCAGTCTTTCACAACATTTATCCGGCCAACGACTTATGGACTTCTTCTTCCTCATTCTGATTTCGTTTTTTTTTCTCCCTTTAAGAATGCCAAACTTTTTTTCTTCTTTTCTTTGCTCCCGATTCAAGACATCGAAATGTAGACATTAATAGCGACAAATACGCTTGTTTGCAGGCCTCGTTTTGGGGCCATTGCATAAGAATTTTCTCGCTTATTGAGGTGAATATGATACTAAACCAAATTATGAAAATGGCCCAAATACCGATTTTTTTTTTCTTCTCATCTTTAAAGAAGCATACAAAAAAAAGTCGTGTATTTTTCTTTTTCGGTCAAACAATCTAATAAGCTAAATGTGTTTTTCAGGAAAACACCAACAACACATAAAGTATCAGAATATTGTCGAATATGCCATTTTCCCCCCTGACTCACTCACTCTCTCTCTCTCTATCTCTTTCTCGTTGTGACGGAAATATAATCGGCAACGTATCATATCGCAGCATATCGCATTTAATAAGGTTGGATAAGGTTATTCGAAAAGTTAGTGGTCGGGTGTGTTTTCTGCCTGCAGGCTCTCTTGCTTGCTCGCTCTCTCCATAATTTCGGGGTGTTTCATGACCTCGCATCGAAAATTGGCCAACTAACTTCAAACGCCAAGTAACCTAATATTGCTTCACGCCATATAATATACATTTTATGTGTTATGTTGTTTTGTGTGTGTGTGTGTGTGCATGTGTCTGTTATTAAAATTTATTCGAAATGTACATAATTTTCGAAGTGGCATGAATTATCATCTTCAACTGCAATTCAATAGATTAATAGCAGTATATGAACAACAACAGCAACGAAAAAACGACAGTGTTTTTTTTTGTATCGTTATGTTTGCAACAACGTGAATTTCATTTATTCTCTGTCGCGCTCCCTCTTGCGCTCACTCTCGTCCTCTCATTGAGTCGACAGTTATTCGCTATTACATTTATTATCTTATTACAGTGTTTTTTGCTCTCTCTCTCTCTCTCTCTCTCTCTCTCTCTTCTCTCATTTTAATACTCTCCATTTTTGTCTTTCTCTATCTCTCTACAGGAACAAATATGTGTATAACATTTGTATAAATCATGGAACTTTCCGTCGCAGTCACATTTATGATTTCCGTTGCAATTGGTAAGCTGAAAATTCATTTTTTTTTCTCTCGAAAATATTAACAAAACAGCATATGCTCTTTCATATGGAGCAGCGAGAGCCTGTGCACAGTGAACAATATCATATGTTGTATGTCAGATACACCGTATGCCATTAGCGTAAAATTATTCGGGTAAAGGACAAAGGAAAAAAAAGTAAAAGAGAAATCCGGGTTATTATTGAAATGTGGGAACCAATCCCACTGTTTATGCATTGAAATGGAGCATCCATTCGAAAATATAACGAACGAGGAACAGAAAAACTCCCCTGAAACTGAACGGAATGGAACATAATTCGCAAGTCATCGAAGATGGCGTAACGGTTCAGGATGTTGACAGAGGCTGTCATCAATATTCATGGTATGGTTGGGTTGTCATCGTTGTGAAATCTGCACCTCCGGGTGCTTTGGCAAACTCCAAAGGAATGTTGTCAATAAAACATATACATAAAAAGCTCCATGAAAAACTTCTAAGCAAATATTTCAGAGTATCGCTGCTCGCATCTCGCATTCTCTGCGAATGGTTGTACTATGCTTATGATTTAAATATATTCCCGACGGTTTACATGTACTCACTTTATCTCTGAAAATGCAATCACCATTGATACTCCTTTTTTTAAAGCTTCTGGCTGTCTACGATTCGAAACACTGTCATCAGACAAACACACATAACACACGGTTGAAGAATGTGCACACACACACACATACACATACCAGAAGGGCAAAAAAATCACCCAGAATACTGGTGGACTGTTCGTCGATGTGCTTGTTCATGTTTGGTGTTTCATATGCCTGAAATGAATGAAAATCACTGAGTTAAGCCGAATAAATACTCAAAAACTTCGACGAATCGTTTCCATCTTTTCCCAAAACGGAGGCAAAAATTGAGAGATACTTGCTAAAGTCGTTTTAAGCACCACCATCAATCGAATGTTACGCTTTAGCGACGAAATATATTGAGATACACTTTTGTACCACTGTGTGTGCGTTTCCCATGAAGACGGCTCAAATTCGGAATATTGAACGAAGGGCGATAGGGCGGTGGGGAGTGGGGCCACGAAGGATATTATAGATTACTTACGCTAAAGTTGGCACATCCGAAATGATTCGGTGCGAAAGTTCGGCACAAATATGCGATGATTTATCTTTGGTGATTGTTTATTCGCATTGATATTTCTCCCTCCCTCTTCCCGCACTCCCCATATCGTTCACTGGTGTGGGCTCTTCATCGATTGTGATACGGACAGATAGGATGGGAAGAAAAATTCTCAAGTGACATGTTAACCGTTTTCGATATTTTGGGGTAGTTTTTGGCTTTATTATTGCACTTTAAGCGCACATAAATATATCGCCAAAGCTGTTGTTGTTATTTGAAATGGTTGTTTGGCGATGACTTTTTTTATTTCATTCTTCTCTGTTTCTTTATTTCTTCTTCTCTCTCTCTCTCACACACACACACTTTCTCATCATATACGCTCATCGCTTTTCGCGTTGGGGTAGTTGGTGTTGTTTTTGGTCCATCGTTAGCATCAGAATCCGATCCAGTACATCAGCCGATAAGCAGTTTGGCCGATACATCGTACCCAAAGCAAAATCAATACTTTGATTCAACGAATATGGCATATGTATTAGAGTTAAGCAATTCAAAGACCAATCAAAATGACGGTGGCGATGGTGGTGGCGGTGGTGATGGCGATGACGATGACGACGATGAGGACGACAATAGGAATAGTAATGATAGCGATAACATTAGAAGTAACCAAAAATATGTGAACGTTTCGAGTAGAGACCGCAATTTTTATAATAATAACAATAACCAAAATATCGGCGACGATGCCGATAAAATGAATAATGCCCTGAATCGGGGACCATTTTTTGATGTTAGCGCATCAAAGAATGTCACTGCGCTCGTAGGGAAAACAGCAAATCTCAATTGCCGGATCAAAAACTTGGGGAACAAAACAGTAAGTAAACACGTTTATTTGCTCGTTTTTACGATTTTAGCCATTTCCACGCGAAGAGAGAGAGAGAGAGAGCGGCAGAGTTTTAAACGATAGCATCGCTTGCTTGCGCGTCTTTCTCTCTCTCTCTCTCTCTCTCTGCATTTGTCCCTTTTTCTCTATCGCTCACACTGCTCTTAAACTTACTTCTTTGCAAAATTTATTGGCACATCATCATTACATTTACTTCTTATTTTCTTTTTCTCTTCTTCATATCATTCTCGGCTCTCTCTCTCTCTCCCACTCTCTCGCACTCTTTCACACTTTGTGTATCTTTCGTACTTTGTATCTATATCTCTTAAAACATCTCATTCACTTGCTCGAATCGCTTTCATGTGCGTACTTATTTCCCGGGCGCCCGATCCATGTTATTGAATTAAAGAAGTGCTTCTTGAACTATGCTGATTTGCAATGCTTGAAACGCACTACGGCGAATCAACTTTTCTGTTCTGTGCATAAGTTGTGCGATAATCGCGCAATGTTTTTAAAGTCTTTCCACTCTCTGTTTCTCTCTCTTGCTCACTTTTTCACTCTATCTATGTCTCGATGTCGTTTGCTCGCTGCTTTTTGTCTTTTTGTCACATCAGTTGTGCGTCTAATCATGGCGCAACGTATGCGCTAAATGAGAGGAAATAAATATTTTTGAACATGAAAAAGCCTAATCCGGTATTATATATCACATCAAACAGCTCCCCATGGACGATTTTTCCTGAGCAAAAGCATTTTTGGCCACCTTCAAATAAATGACAACAACATCAACAGCACGAGCGACCGTATGAACAGAAAAAATTCATTTCCTTCGGATGGCGTTGCCATCGAGAAGAACCGAAAATTTTTACTCCAGCCCATGGAAACCCTATTTCTTTGGAAAACATAATACGACTCAAAAAAAAACACGAACGAACGAACGAACGAAAAAAACAGTAGCAGAAATCAGAATCTCTTGCCTGTCGCTATTTCACATTCTCGATTTGCTCCCCTGTTGTTCCACGAATTATTTCGCTTTGTATTCTGAATTCACAAGTTTATTACGGTTTTAACATCCTTTTTCGCTTGAGCCATTCACGAAAATCATGGCTTGTTTTGCCGAGTGGTTCCGGGCCATTCGCCTCGTAATTCATTCACTCCACACTTGCAAATATATAATCGATTTGTGCTTGAGCATGCTGAGCTCTTATGCTCTCTCTCTCTCTCTCTCTCTCTCTCTCTTTCTAACCGAGTCCAAGGGACTCGTGGGCCCATAGAGGGAGAAGCAGAGCTAAAGCTGAGCTGAGCTGAACAGAGCAAAAAAGAGCTTTTGAGATATAAAAACCCACACACATACACACAGAGCAGTAACAGCATCAGCATCAGCATCAGCAACAGAAACACTTTTACGCTTTTATTCTATGTCACGTAATGTAACATTTGTCTCTCACCGATTTATAGGTAACTTGGATACGGCACCGAGATCTACATTTACTTACCGTTGATAAAACCACATACACGTCAGACAACCGTTTTGTGTGTGTGAATAATAAACAAATTGGCGATTGGTCCCTGCAGGTTTGTATATGCTCTAAAATGAAAGAAAGCACAACAACAGCGACAGCAGTAAAAAAAAAAACAAAACACCAAAAAAAAGAGAATACAAAATACAAGTGCAACCGTGTGTCAAAATAAATACTAGGGCTGACTTCGATGTAAAATGTTCAGATTTTGATTTCACTCACACCATTTTAGATCGTATACTCTTAAATTCATGCTTGAATGCTGGCGGGCACTGTGTGTACCATGTACCTGCCGCAAGCAAGTGACTTGCGCAACGTTCTAGTTGTGTCAACAAAATGGTGGGAAAATCAAATCAAAATGTGAATTATAAATTTCACGTCGCACAAAATTGCCATTTCTCCCACTCAACTCGGACACATTGCCACTCTCGGAATGGGTATTTCGAACAGACAAGAGTTTTAAAAACTAGCAATAACAACAAAGTAACTGAAATTGTTTACATTATGATGAGAAAATTAAACGAGTTATTTGCAAATTTGCTAAAATTAACCGAAACTATATACACGAGATACTTTATAACAATGCAGATGGAATTGAAATAACAACCGAGACTCTGTGTTCGTATGTTTAAAGATTTTTCCATGAAATTTGATAAGCTCATCGTTCATATTTCATGAAAAATCAAAATGAGTTTATGGCATTTTTTTTTTCTCTGTGTTTGATATTCATTTTTCTTCTGCTGCTTTCTCTCATTCTCGATTTCTGTATTTTATCGTTTCAGATCCGAAATGTGAATAAAAACGACTCAGACATATACGAGTGTCAGGTACGCCTACCTATCATATTGTCAATATATTTGTGCTGTGGCTTTTGAATGATTCTGGTTCAGATGAGCGTAAATGCGTACGTGAATGTGCGTAAATGTGTGTATATGTGTGCATTTTATTTTCATTTCGTGTAACAGCTTTCCGCTAGATAAACATGGAACCCATTGTCCCTCGTTAATATGTGACATAATTTATTGTGTTTCAATCTACTATTCTATGTGATAATTATTCAAATTGATGTTCAAAACACCTCATGCATTAACATTTTCTACTCTTTCGATCTCACTCTGTCTCTTTATGTTTGCCACAAACGCACACACTCACACACACACACTCCCGTTGTGCCATCATCATTTTTGCCATTCGATTTTCCGCATCAGGTTTCGACGACGCCGCCCGTGGGATTTTCAATGATTTTATCAGTCGTTGGTATGTACGATGCATGTATTTTAATCTAAGGCTCCATAGTCAAGCATAATAATATACCGTCAATTGCGTAGTACATTCACTTTATTGGTTCTCGAGTGTAACTTGTCATTGATTGAATTTTCTGTTGTTTTCTGGTTTCCGTGTTTTCTTTTTTGTTGTTGTCGTTTTTTCTTCTGTTTCAGCTTTTGAGTGTTCCCCAATCCATTTTCGTTGATCGAAAAAAGATTTTCCTCCATTTTATATTTTATGCCGTTCAATTTTCTATTTTCAATCCGATCCGAACCGCCCTCTTCAAACTGGCGAACAATTTTGTTTGAACTCTCATAATCGGTTTTTAAATAAGCCCTTTCACTCTTTCTGTCGGTGCGATAGGGCTGTTGACAGAAAACAAGATAATTTAAAACAAAAGTTTGCCGCATAATGGAACTGCGATTTTATTAGTGACTTTGAAACTTTTTTTTCTCACGCGCGCCTCGCTCATAGCGTGATAAAAAAAAATCCATACACCTACACAGTTTTATGCAAAAAAAACACACAACTTGAGGATAGAAAACAGGGAAAAAACTCTTTTGATACACAAAGAAGAGAAAGAGTAAAAGCTTTGTTCTCATTAGAAAAAAAACCGCTCAAAGTATGCTTTTTCCTGTTGTTGTCGTCCTCATCAGATGTGCTTTCGTTGTGTTGGTGTTCTTTCTTCTTCTCGTTTTTCTTTTCACTTTTACGTCAAAACAATTTTTCACTCCTGTGATTCGGATGCTTTCTCCGTTTTCTGTTTTAGTAACTTCTCCTCTCTGACTGTTATGTTTTTCTTTTTATTTTATTTGTATTCTTTTTTCTTTCGTCTGCTTTTATTTTTATTCAACATTGTGTGTATAAATACGGTTTCATATACACAATCTCTCTAATGCGAATCGCAAAAATAGAACCGGTGACGACGATTCTGGGCGGGCAGGATTTGTACATCGACATCCTATCGACCATTAATCTAACTTGTATTGTAAGGCATTTACCTGAACCGCCAAGCGCTATTTTATGGAGCCATAAAAATCAGGTATGTAAAAGCAAGCCGTTTGGAATATATGAATAGCAAAAGAGAGCGATAGAACGAAGCACAGAGAGAAGATATATGAGTGTTAAAGTGTATACGTATGTACGCAAAGTATGTTCGCGTACTTACTTGCTTGCTCGGTCGTCCTCTTCATCCTCTCTCTCTCTCGTCTACTCACATACACATCTGCATTACAAACCACGCGAAAATACACTTATTTCACGTGTTGAAATTGCCAAAAAGCCGAGTTGTTTCAAACTGTAATGAATGGCACAATGAATATGATTCAGGGTTTTCTGCGATTTTCTACGGTTACACATTCACGCAGAGAAGTGTGTTGCTGCTGCCGCTGTCGCTGCTTCAGCTGCTACTTCTTCTTCGATGGTGGTGATGCTATTTCATTGCTCTTCGTATCTAGTGCGGACCGCACGCGCTACCGCTCACGCTCATTTTCATTCACACAAGCGTGTGAGAGGAATCAGTGAGAATGCAAATGGGACCTATATTCAGGCGTTATACATGCACAAAAGGTAGTGTTAACAAAGAAGGCACAACGCAAGCAAGCAAGCAAGCACAAAATAAATATAACAATTTTATTTAAAACGAAACATGGGAGAAATTTGCCCAAATGGGAAACATTAACTTCTGAATACAGCTCTTCGTTTTCTCGCCCGGTTTATTTTCGCATTTTTTTTTGCTGATAATCACCTGTAAATAAAATGTTTTCATGCATTTTTACATACTATTTACATACAGTGCATAAAATATATTCATTATTCTTTCTCTTCTATCTCTCTGTATTTTTTTTCCTTTGGTGATATTTTATTTTTCGTTCATGTGACGAAATTTTTTTCTTCTTTCATTCTGCTGTTGTTTCTGTTGCTCTACATGCAAATTCGTCGTCATGGTTTTCGAAAGAGAACTTCACACACTGTACCACAATAACCGGAATCGTTATAAATTAGTTCTCAATAAAATTGTTCAGTTTCTCGTTGTTACGGCCCACATTGCATTGATGCGGTGGCAACAGTAACAGCATCCACACCGAAACAAAAGTGATTGAGTGTACGTGTATGTGTCTTATTCGATGCGGTGAAACCATAGAAAAACCATTTTCCTATTCGTATCATGTCCCTTTGAAGTTGTTCGGCTTTTGTAGCAACTTTTTTTTTCTGCACAAAAAAGCGGAAATTCCATTATATTATTCCCAGCACACAGATCAAACAATTTCAATATATATTTCAATAGCTGCAAGCAATGCTTTAACACATTCATTTTCAATGGGATAATTGCAGGAATTGCCACGTTAAGCCATATTAGCTCATCGTTGTCGTTATCGTCGTCGTCGATGCCGTTTTTTCATTTTTCTTTTCACTTTTAATATATCCGTTCATAATAATAATGATTGGTTTAAATGTATCTTTTCATCTCAATCTACCAAAAGCGATAACGCGAGAGGGGGAGAGAGAGAGAGAGAAAAAAGAGCGGCACGTGACGTTGGTGGTGGTGTCGCCGGGAAACCAGAGGGGGACGATTGTTATTATGCAAATAATAAATGATGCAGGTGATGAATTATCGCATTGAAAAGGTGATTGCGGTCACCGCAATGTTGTGCCGAGCTCGTTATTAAAATGAAAATTGCGATAAATGAAAATGTGGATTTGTATGTGTGAGAGAAAGAGAGGCGGCGTATCGAAATATTTTCGATTGGCCCACACTTCACTCACCCACCCACTCTCTATCTGCCTCCCCAAGTTGAAAAAGTGTATTTTAATTAACGGGAAAAACGACATGTAATTTAATTGCATCCAGTTCATTGTATTTTTTTTGTCTCATACCGATACGATCCGTTGATTATTGATTACATAGAATGTGTTTGTTTATTTTATCAAATGGAAATAATAGGTGGCATTTGATATTTAATTTGATTGTGAAAGCTTTCTTTTGCTCTCTTTTGCTCACTCTCTTTTTGATGAAAACCAAATGGAGAAAATAACAACAACTTTTCTCTTTGTGGTGAATTCCTTTATCCTTTTATTACATGACACACATACACAAACGCAGGAGATTAATTACGATTCACCAAGAGGCGGTGTATCAGTTATAACCGAGAAAGGTGAAGGTATGTACGATGCATATATTTTAATCTTTTATTTTAATCTAAGGCCCTCATAGTCAAGCATATTAATATACCGTCAATTGCTTAGCACATTCACTTTATTGGATCTCAAGTGTAACTTGCCATTGATTGAATTTTCTGTTATTTTTGGTTTCCGTTCTTTTTTTTGTGTTGTCGTTTTTTTTTGTAATTCAGTTACTACGTCGTATCTCCTCATACAAAAGGCGAGAATATCCGATTCGGGGAAATATACTTGTATGCCGACCCACGCAAATCCAAGCACGGTCAACGTTCACGTTTTAAACGGTATGTAGTATATCAAAAACCATTAATATCCACAACCACACACACAGACATAGAAAAAAAGCTCTCATACGTTGCTCATTTTCATGGCGACGGGATCCCATAAAAAATACAAGAGATGAGACGGTAATTTTTCAAAATCTACCGACAAGAAACAAAATGAACACTAAACACATTATGAGAATTGCTTTCGGGTGGATGATTATGGGGAGGTGGGTACTGTTGGTTTCAGGGAGAATGTCTTGTTTGTGCGTGTGCTACATGAGTTGAAGCTGTGCGAGGTGAATTTTGAGTGTGAAGAAGTTCAAAATGGAAAAAAGAAGAAGCCAAACTCATGCCGCATCACATACACACACACACCCCCAACCAATGTGATTACGTGGCAATATTTTACAGCACAACAACAACAAACTTTCATTTTTTATATATATATATATTCTCTCTCCTGTGTGATGTGTTTAGGTGAGGAACCAGCTGCCATTTCTTTTTCCATCCAACAGGGCGCTAAAACACACTTGCAAAGCACCAACATCTTAATTTTCATTTTGACTTTCATTGTTATCGTGCATTTGAACAGTGATGCAGTCATTTCAGCATAAACATCAAATCCAATCTGCTGCTGCTACACTGCGCTGCTGACAAAATATTATGTGTTTCTTTATGTTCTATTTTGTTTTTTTTTGTCGTTGTTGTTCCTTTGTCTCGGGTATGTTCGTTATAACATACATACATTTTTCGATAGAGAGTCAAATATCTCGCAATTCGGTTATTTTTCTCTTACTCTTTCTCTCTCTCTCTCTCTCTGGTTTTTATAATATTATTTTTGGTGCTTACTCTTTTGCGATTTTATTTTCTTTCGGTCGAAATTCTTTTGTGTTGAAATCATCAAGTCTGTTTCAATCCGGTTTGGATTTTATTTGAATATAATATGCTACATAATTGACTATACAATATATACATATAGACATGTACGGAAATGACGATGAGAGAAAGAAAAGCACATAACAATAATACACACACTCAACAACAACAACAACAAAACACAAACGTTACCCTTTGTAAAGATATTTCTGTTTGTTTGTAGTGAAAATGTTTTCCGTTGTTTTTCTTTGACTTTTTCTTCGTGAATCCAAAACAACAACAAAAAATATGTTGAGAAAACGAAAAACCAAAAAAAAATGATAGAAATACGCTTGGAATGGCATATTCCAAACTGTTATAAATAATACATGTATAAATATATTTTGACTGTGAGGTAGTGTTTTTGTTTCAAATCAAATCTATTATAATGTTGAGAACAGAAACCACAGCGATTTACGCTGGAACTTGAAAATTGAACAAAGAAAAAAAAATTGTGAAACAAAAAAAAATAATCGAGATTTAATGAAACAATTTTCATTAGATTAAACTATTGTTTATGAACACTTGGCAACCATCAACAAAACAAAACCCATTGTACACACAACATTTGCTCCATTTTGTTTCAAACCATTCGAGCTTTCGAGTGATAGAGACTATCCAACGATGCGATCCAAAATGAGCGAGAAAAAAAAGAAAAACAAAATGTAATTTTAGCTCAAGTGTGTACGAAATTTTATTCGAAATACCGTTTGATTGAATAATAATGTGAACTATGTCCAATATGATTTACAATAATCAATTTAAGTATATAAATATCGAAAGATAATTGAAAACCGAACGACAACCCAATGAACACGGAGAATAGATAGAGAGAAAGAGAGAGAATCAGAGAAAATAAGGTATTATATTTAGCTGTTGTGTGTGTGTATCAAATTGAAAGTCTATCTATTGTTATACACATTGAACCTCTCTATTTGTCCGAAACCATGATCCGATACACATCTCAATGCAATACAATATACAACATTATCAAACTAAATGTGAAAGACAAGTGTCAAAAATACCTCGAAACCATTTCTGGACACCAACACACAGTTGCACACTTGTGTGTTCATCGGTGCTATCATATCTCGACTATTAGTCACTTAACTGGTTTCAATCGAAGCGAATTTGTCAACGTTATTGCGAATAATTGTCACAAAAATGGTTTAACATCAAGACGAATTGATTTGCGTGTGTGTTTTTTGTTGTTTGTTTTCAAATGCGAATTCAATTTCAGATTTCGAATGGGAATGTGTTTTGAGGTATTTTTGCGCGGCAAAATTAGTTTCGTTAAAAGGGCACTTACGAGGAAATTAATCGATTCCGTATTGGATATAGATGTTATCGATAGATTGTACGGGTGATATATCCCTATATCCGAATTCATCAAACAACCAACACCACCAATGCTTTTGAATCGAGCGTGTATCACACATTTTATTGTGGCAATCAAAACAGCTACCGGGGGAGGGTGACATGTCTATCAGAGCTATAAATGATGACAAAGAGAATTATTCAGCTCACGCACTCTCTCACACCACTCTCAACTATTTCACTCCATCTCTAAATCCGGCCTAATAATTAATATGTTTTATCACAATTTTGCCTAATGAAAAACTAATGAATATTTATTTATTATTGTGATTTCCTTCGAACACAAAATGAAATTATTATCATCTAGTTTGGCCGTATCCGGTCGTTGTGGTAATTTTGCTTTTGGCATCTTTGCTGACACCCGTGGGAATACATAAAATGGTGTGTGTGTGTGTGTGTGTATGATGTTCTCTTTAGCATCATTGCAGCCATAAGACATTTGTTTCGCTAGATTGAATGTTATTGAATTCTATAGATAAATATACACGAACACACAAAAGGGACAAATGAGAGAGCCGAAGCACACAAAACTGCTACTATGAATATAATATTTGAGGAAAACACAGAGAATATAGAAGACATTTCTTCCGCACTATGGACCAACGCTCATTCCGTTTATGGAAAATATTTGCATACAGTACCAAAAGTCTTCCTAACTATCATCAATCAAACTACACACAAAAACACAACAACAACAACAAATAAACAAACGAGAGAAGAAGAAGAAAAATCAAGTTTTGCTTGGATAATTTCATTAATTTGTTGCAAAATACATCGAACGACCACTTTCCACTTTTCGAACTTATTTCGCCTTTCACCCAGTTTTCGCAGTAACAAACAACAACAATAAGAGAATAAAAGTTTTTTGTTCGGTCTTCCTTTCATCCATAATTTTGCGTTTTGTTCGTTCGTTCCATTTGGCTGAAATCATCGCTTTTCCAATACGATCCAAAATGCGATATATTATACTGGCCCATACGGTAAAAATCGTTAAGACGTTGTTTTGTTATTTAAATTCAAATGGGGATAACAAGTTAACACCAAAAAAGGTCTATAGTGTACGGCATAAACTTAACTAACATAATTTAGGCAATCAAGAGGTCATCGTGAGTCAGTTTCTGAGGTTTTTTTTCGTCATCATAATTTCGTCGTTGAACAATGATACAAACACACCTAGCCAAAATGATAAGGAAGATGAAGAAGAAGAAATAGACAAAACCAACAAGTAAATTTAAATATTTAAAAAAAATACGTAGAAAATAAATGAAATGAAAAACGAAAATGATGCAACAACACAACCAAAAAAAATGATAAATACTTTGACATAATTTTTGGGCTCATTCATTCAAAACAAAACCAAAAAAAAACATTTAGTTTCAATTAATTCTAACTACATTCAAATTCTATGTCTTACAATGTCACGTGTAAGCAAAAAAAGGGAAGCCAATGAAAAGTAAATAAAACGAAATAAAAATGGATATAGATGAACTATTTTATGGGAGGTATTTACAGTTCGTTCGCAAGTGTGTCCAACATTAGCTGTATCTCTCTAGGGATTTGGTCCAAGCATTGTATCTTAACTTGGTTTTTTGTTTCGTTTTTCTTTCGTTTTTATTTTTCTTATCTTTTTTTCTTGCCCACTTTGCGAACCACTTACTTTAAAACATTCGAATAAGAGGACAGGCTAAAAAAAGGAATGAAAATGATAAGTGAAGCATGCAATAAAGTACACAGTTACAGAAAATCTGAATCAAAATGGTGGTTTTCATTGGAGAATTTTCAGCAGCAGCATCAGCAACAATGGCACTGGCATTAGCTTAGCACCCAGCAGGCCGTCTATTGTATGTAAGAGGAAGCTCGTCTCAAGTTTCTGTTGGAAAAGTGAAGAGCAAAAAAGGTCTTCACACCGTTTTTGGTTTTGAAGCCACAGGCACGCACACACACACACACACACACAGAGAGAGAGAGAGAGAGAGAGAGAGAGAGAGAGAGAGAGAAGAGGGTAAGAAACCGGATACTCAACCTTTGCATACAACGTTTCTTTTGTTATCACTTTCTCTCTTCGGTGTGTCAGCATCTCCGGCACATGGCAACAAATAAGGTAATGTACTGATTGCAAAAAAGAAATCATAGTTAAATCATTGACTTAAATATCTCGAATTTATTGTTTTAAATCATTTTTACTCTATTTTTCGGCTCTCTCCATTCATGACACTTTTTTTGCGTCCCACATCATTCATTACATCCCCGAAGGTATTGAATTCAAGCTTCAACAACATACAATTTTTATTAGGTTTCTCAGTTTTTCTTTCATCTTCCGACATAGCAACATTTCCACTTGTAAAAAGGGAAAATCTTGAGATATTTTCATCATTTCGGAGTGTTAAAGTGTTACACGCCTTTCTGTTGTTAACTGGACAATGGAAAAAATGATGTAACATCTTTGCGAAAAATGACGTCGATTTCTGTCGGTAGAAATGAAGAAAAAAAAATGTGGAAGGTTCTTCTTCAATTGTTGAGAATATTCCAAGTGAACAGACACTATAAGAGAGATTTAAATTTCCACTCTCTTTCATTCAACGTTTCAATTGTTAATGAAATCATCATGCTTCAAGCTTTGATTGTGTTCTTAAAAGCTCAATAAGTCTCTATTCTAAGAGTCTAAAATGAAATTCGTTTCTATTCGACAAATGAAAATTTTAATTGATTTTCCGCCAATTCGTTAGTACAATTGTGCGCTGCTATAACGAGAACGGGATAACATTGGTAAGTTGTGTATTTTCCCGAGAAACACGAATATTTGATTGATAATTTATATTCAGTGCACAATTTGACCCGATTTAGCTAGAAAACACATATTTTCAAACGCAGCATTACTACACAATTGCATCTGGTGCTGCGTTGCATTTTTCATTACTCATCGCTTCTGCGTTTTTCCGATTAATATCGCATGAGCTTTGTGCTACTCAATTATGAGTGAAAGCGCAATCGCATATTTAAATTACTCAAACATCTGTGGCAATTATATTCAATAATTGTAGATGGATTTCGTTGCATTAACATTTGGGTCAGAAACATGTTTATAATATAAGAGCGTAGGTAAATAAATTGAATGCTATTTCACATATATGTAAATTTTGATGCCGTACTGTGATCAAGTTCAAGTGTGCTAAAAGTTCGATTCAAATTGTCTCTTGCCAATTCAATTTGCCAATAGTATTTCGGGAATTCCAACCAAGAGTTGAAGTTTCTTTTTCATCTGAATGGAAATCATAGCTCCCATAGGGCATAAAAAGCCAGAGGGAATAGAACGTAAGTAATTTTAGAAGGAATAAATCTCATCGCTAAAGAACATCTAAACTGAGTCCACTGCGAACAACGTCTCTTTTACGCTAACAGCAATTTGTACACGAACGAGTCAGTGTGACAGTTGGCGTGAGCGAGACAAAGTTTGACAGCAAACAATTTGGCTATGTCGGTTTAAATGTTCTTTCCAATTTTATGTCAAAAAGCAAAAATTTATTTTTTAAGATGGTGTTCACATTAAATCCTATTTACTCTTCGATAATTGATGAACTACCGTTTATAATTGGTTCAGGCCCAATTCAAGTAGAAGTAGAGCTAATTTTAGAGTCGCAAAGATTCGAGCTAATTCTTAAAGTTTATACTAAGGCTGCTTACTAAGTTTGTTTCAAACGGAGGAAATTCGGTGAAAATTTGGTTAAAATTCAGCCATAAATTTATACTAAGCAGCCCAAGTTGGTTTCAAACATGGGAAATTCGACGAAAATTTAACTAGATACATTGAAACCTCTTCGACACTTTCTTCATATATAAACGGTGAAATTAGTTTTGAAACTGAATTTTGCGGTTTATTGGCTTGATTTTCAAATTATATACCTCTTGTAGAATATAGCGAACAAATGTTTCGTTGAGCATCATGGTTGGCTTAGAACCTGTATACTACCCCTTCACATAGAGATTAAGCTTGTGTCATACCATCGATGGAATAAGTTGTTTGTTTTGTTCTATCTCAATATTGATAGCATTGCAAAGTAAAAGAAACACATCCAGGAAGAAACACATACTTGATTGATTCAATTATTTCTATTTATTGTTTTAAATCATTTTATTACAATGTTGTTTTATTGACGACATCATTTTGTTTTTAAATTTATCCTACAATATAATTTTAACTCCCAAAAGATCGAAAGTATTGAAACCAAGCTTTTTTTTTCTTCCCATCACCATCATATAATTCTTCATATTAAACTTTTTTTTTCTCTCGCTATTTTACCTCTGTAAAGTGGTGAAAATTCCCTTTGATTTGGTGTGCTTAATGTATATTTCTGTTGATTGTGTGAGTATTATTCTATTTTTTGGTTGTTTCATATTGTTTCTTTATTTTGTTTGTTAGCATTTGTGTATCCTTCTTCTTTTAATTGTCCAAGATTTGATTATTATCGTTTAGTTATTGAGTTTATTTACAAATGACGAACGTTAAAAATGTTACTTCATTCAGACACTATGACATGATAAAACCGAAAATATAACACATTCATTCGGAATGGTTGGCTTAGAATGGTTGGGTTGCTGTCGAAGATTGATGAGAAACGGAAAAAACACAACTATAAGATAAACGCAACGATGCGCACACTTTTTCGCATTTAGTTCTAATATATCCGGTTGTGTTACCGATATACACATTTAATCATTGAGGATGATAGTACGGCGAAAAAAAAAGTGGGCGACATATATCTATAGAGAAAGAGGAAGAGAAATGTAGATAGAAAGAAAGAGAGAGAGAGAGAGAGAGAGCACAGACAAATAGAAAGTTAGACAGCGAATGCTCAAAATATTTTGCGACAAAAGTGACATGATACACCATCTACACCAAGAGTTAGTATGATGAGCATTAAAGTTGTTTATACTTGACGGAAACAATGTGTCATTGCGTTGAAAATTATGAGAAAATGTCGGTGTGATAAATGACGGTGGATGTGCTTTTGATTTATTTGAAATTATATTGAATGTGAAGACGACTCAGATTCCATGAGACAAACTATATATACACGAAGAAAATATGATGAACCAAAGTCATACAGATGTATGAAATGTACATGAGCTGAAGCTGGATATTGTATGACATTCTGCAAGAGAATTATGGTGACATGTCTTCGTCATATTTTCTCTCTCTCTCTCTCTCTCTCTCCGACTCTCGTTCTCGGTGAACACATTTAATGGAGATAAAAGTGCCAAAGCATTTGTTGAGCTGCCTGCCTACAGTTAAAGCTAGACGCCTTCACGGTTCTGCAAGCATGCAATTCGAAACCGTTCCGATACATGGGATATCGCACATCATTCGAACGAATGAGGAAGAGAAGTAGAGAAAGGGAGGCAGGGATAGAGAGAAAAAAATCTCTCATTGGAGAGTGTCGGACCACCTTAAAATTCAGCGAAAGTATGGCATGGTAGATGGACTACATGCTATGCACACTGTGCGAATATCAGAAGTATCTCGGCTTGATGCCCAACTTGTAGGAGTGAAGCCATCTCTCTACAAACAAACAATAAAAACAACAACAAAAAAAACTACTTTTATCACTGCAAATCTTAATTTTCCCCCTTTCACATTTCACTGCACTGCGTTGTGTTTGATCGTTCACTAATTAAATTCCTACGTCGAGATGGGAAATTCAATATAGCAATATGCGATTGGACAATATAAACAAATTTGAAGGATGAACACAACAATGAAGAAAAAAATAAATAATACAAACAACAAAGTGTTGGCCATTTTTCTCTACAGTAAAAATTTGTTTCCCTCTGGATTAAAATACACGTTGGCTTAAAGCGGGTGCGTTTTGTTTCCGTTCACGTTACGTGTCTGTGTATGTGTTGTGTGTACGTGTTATTAAAATAAAACAACAACGAAAAAAAAAATCGTTCTCATCTGTTCTACGTTATCTATTTAGTTGCTGCTGCTTTTGCTTGCTGTTCTTTTTCTAGTTTTTTTTTTTTGAAACCATGTAGTGAGAGTGTATTTTACTAAATTTTGTGTCGGAATAAAAATGGATTTTCATTTTCTTCTCTATGGCTTTAACATTTATATGATCTACACTATTTTTTGTTTGTTTGATAGTGGTGCTTCTTGTTGTGTGGAGTCACACGCGAACACACACACACGCACACACATTTTGTGTGACAGTTTGATTTGTGTTATGTTATTTATTTATTATGTTTTCATGCAATTCAAAACACTCAAAAACTGAAGAAATATGTAAAAGACATTGTTGTTGTTGCTCCGCTTGCACAGCTTTTATGACAGAAAACCATATGATTTGAGCTAAAGCTGCGTATTAATTTTACCAGAATGCTTTTGCTGTGTTTGTGTGTTTCTTTTTATTCAGTTAAAAATTAAGGCACATCATTTTTTTTAAAAAAAACTCAACACTTTTTCTCTTTGATCTGCTTCTAAAGATGCGTTCTTCTCTTTTTTTAGAGGGGCAGAGATTGGAATGGTTTTCCACTAATGGGAGTGTGTGTGTGTGTGTGTGTGTGTGTGTGTGTGTTTGTATAAGAGAGAAAAGAGACTGATGAATGATTCTGGCGCCAAGTTTAATATTGACGTTGAATTGTTGGGTTTTCTTCTTCTACTTGAAGAATGGAAATGAAAATGATTTGATTATTTATTAAAATATAAAAATGCCTTCTTGTTCTGCTTCTTTATCTTCCACAAATGTGCCTATTTTCTTGATGTCTGAGGGTAAAACGAAATGTTGTTTTCTTATGGTTTGTTCTTCTCTTCTTTTTTTTCTCGGGTTTTTAGTGTATGATTGAATTCAAGAAACAAAGGCACAATAAATTCAACAAATATAATTTTCATTTGTTTTCTTCCGCTTCGTCTTTTTCATAAACTTCTTAATCATTTTTTTTTTTCTGCTTCCATAATTTTTCATCTATATTTCATATATTTTACTAACTAAACAAATTTGTTCTGTGCCAATCATCTGACTACATTTAGATATTTGATCGATTTCAGTTGGTTTTCTTTTTTTTTTTTTCTTTTTTGGCATCCGTAAAGTTTTGTTTTTTTTTGTTCTAAATTTAAAATTTGTTCAAGAACATTCATCTGAATTCTATTGGATTATACACACAATGGTGACTTAATGGAAGGATAAAAAGTATTCCGTACATTGCAAATGGGTAAAAATTATTTCATTCAAAATGTCAAAATGGGTCGTAGAAATTTTGATACATTACAATTGGAATGGTGGCAAAAAGGTTGATAGATTTGATCGAACATGTTCACATGCGCGTTTGAATAGCCCGGTGGCACATGGCCGTTTGAATGACCTGGTGTCGTATCACATTGACAGTGACACTTTCATCACATTCCAATCGTTCTGAACGTTTCAAGCACAACATTACATTTGATTCAGATAGTAATGAACCAAGAGTGACTCTTGGTCCAAGACAACAACGACCCTTTTTTCTCAATTCAATTGAAAAATTCCGAAAGAATTTCAATTGATTTTCGAGTCGAACATTTAGACTATTTGATCGAAGAAAAAAATGACAAGAAACAGAAAAAACAAGGAGAATTTCTACATTTTCTATCGGTTGCCATCAAATAAGAATGAATGATGGAGAAGATGATTTTTTTCTTTGTCAACCGCCATCATTGTGTTAAATTTCAGTTTAGTTCTTTTTCTCAGTTCCTGTTGAGCTTCGCATTCAATATTGATTCAGTTCACCTTGACTCATTTCAAATGTTCAACGGAATAATAATTAGGTCAACGGCATATATTTGTGGTACAAATGTATAAAAATGACAGTGCGCACAAAGTTGTTAACAATGCATGGAATTGGTTGGAAAATTGGGAGAATGTGGGAAAAAAATGTTTCAAGTGGAAACGGGAATGAGCTATTTTCGAAAACTTTTAAGCCTCAACACGATCAATCGTTTTGTTATATATATAAAAAAAAATATGGGGTTGCCTATAAAACGTTCTTTTGTCTTCATTTTATTACAACACCCATCATGAATCTCCTTGAAAATGTTCAACTTTTCTTGTCTTTTTTTCTTCTGGTTATTTGGTAAAATGAGAAAAAAGGAACACTTTCTATTATAATGTAGTGAGTATGACAAATATTGATAACACTTGAAATTTCATCTCCATAAAAACACAGTGGAACGAGAGCAAATGAATGAATGATTTGTACTTTTGATTTCATAAATTTACGAACATTTATGTTAAAACGTTTCATTTTTTTTTTGTTCTTTTCTTTTCTATTCTTGTGAAATGTTCGATATAACGGAAAGTGTGTGAGTATACAACTTTTTGGTTGTTTTTCGCTTGGTTTTTTATTGTTGTTTTTTTTTTCATCCATTTCTAATATAACAAATATCCTAAACGATAATTTAACAGCAATTAATAATAGTAAAAATTGTTAATATCAATCGCAAATAAAGAAGTCTATGATCTGCTGTGTATTTGTGTATGTGAGCAGTATGGATATTTAATTTTTTTGATGTTTGTTTTATTCTTGTTATAGTTTTTGGTCGATAAAAAGGAGATCAATCAACAGGCTGACACATCATGTGCGAAAGTTCCGTTCGGAAGATTGACTAATATAATAAGTTAATTTTATATATATTTTTATAATAAAATCAATTTAATGTATTTGTTTTGTCCATAATTTGTTTCAACGAAAAACTGGGAAGTAGATTTTTTGTTTGTTATTTTTTTTCTTTGTTTGTTTTTCATCGTAAAAAAGATTAAATATATATATAATATCTGGTTGTGGTTGTTATGTTTTTTTTTGGTTTGCTTAGAGCATTTTTGTCATGTAAAATTCTAGAATTTGCTAATCCATTCGTTTTGATCGGAATGTTGATTTTCTTTGTTTTGGTTGTTTTTTTTTTTTGTTTAAATTGTTTTCATTTGGTTTGTTATTGTTGGTTTTGACACATTTCCTAAAATTCGGATGCGCGTAAATCGCTAAAATAGCTGGCATTTGATGCGGTCGGTGAATCGGTTGAGCCGAGGCTTTCTGCATAGCTTAATGGTGTATTATTAGCTTGCATGCTAAAATGTGGTCCCTCCAGTGAATCGCCCATTTCCCATGGTTGCGGGCTCAATGTATCGGCTTCCGATTCAAATAAACCGATCTCAATCGGGCTACCGGAAACATTAAAGAATATCTCCGAAAAGCGTCCAATCTCCGTTGAACCGAATGCTGCTGAAAAGGCGGGTAACGGTATCGTATCCGTCTGATTAGCGAACGTGTCCAAATAAATAAAATAAAACACGTTAAGAGATAGAACGAGGGGGAGAAAGATGGGAATGTATGAGAATTGTTGTTCTATTTGTGTTTGTAATCTAAATGCAATTTACCTTGAGCTCTCTGATTTCACTGAAATCCATGTTTGATTTCTTTTCCTTTCGTTTCCGTCGTTTTTCCACCGAATGCTCCTTCGTCCCCATATTGTTTGCCTGTTTCGAATCGAATAACAGACATAAAATACACAATTTCATACAAATCGGAAATGGTGTGTAATTGGTAATTTTCATGGCATACAATTTATTTACCTTTTTACTCTTGACAACTTTTTTGTTTGTATTGTGTTTGGCCGGTGATTTGATTGTGGTATTTATTGATGACGGTGGTTCATGCTTTTTTATCCCATTTCCATCAAACGGAATGCTTGGTTCACTATTTGAACCAGCATCACCATTCGATTGGGTTTCGATTCGTATTGTATCGACGGCTGCCGTTGGCGATGCTGCTGTTGCCGACGACGACGATGACGGTGACAATGTTGTTGATGCTGCTGCTGCTGCTGTTGTTGTTGTTGCCGTGGTTATTTGTGGCGTGGATGTGGTTGTTGTTTGTTGCCATTCCGACTCATTTGTCGCTTGTTGATTGCTGCCTTCTTTACAATTACTTTTCTGGCTATTGTTTGTGGCGCCGTTCACATTATTGTTGTTGTCCGTGTCACCATTATTCATCATGCAATCATTATTTGTGTACTGAGATGAGGATGTAATCGAATCAGGTGTCTCCGAATAGTCCGTATAATAATCGAAATTCTCGAATGGCTCATGATGGAGTGGATGCTGCTGTGGCTGTTGCTGCTGTTCAATCCGTTCGCTCTCATTCATCTAATCAAATCGATATACAACGATAAGTTTCAATCATATTTTATAGCATGCAATTTGGCCAAAAACAAAGCATAAAAAACGAGAAAAAAAAACACGCAATCATCAATCAGAGATACGATGCGCACTGATTGCTTTTCATTATTCAGCATTCGATTCGTCTTCGACTGCTGTTGTTGCTGCGGTTGCTGTTGCCGCCACTGGGCTGTTGTTGTTTTTGTCGTCGTCGAGCTTCTTTTTATCCACTAAACTTGAAGCATGTATGCATAGCAACGGCGACGAACGGCATTTCGGGTGTACAAAACATGTGCGCGCTCGGCAACCGTATACAAAATAGTAAATATATCAACAAGTGGTTTCGAACGAAAAAGCCTTGTCTCTATGCGCTAATACATAATAATTCGATTTTTATTTATGTATTGAATTGTTTCGCAGGGCGAAATGTATCCATGCAAACATATCGGACATTTGATATTGAGTGGCTTTTTTTCCCTCTCGTTCTTTGTTTCAAAGCGAACGAGCAAATTGCTCGTGCGCATTCCAATGCCTACAAACGCGTACAGCAAAGTGAACGACAAACAAGACTTCGACAAAAAATAATAATAATAAAATTTTATTTCCGTACATTTTATTATTATTATTTTTTGTTGACCATACGAACGAAGCCACCAACGTCACAAACAATGTGATAAAAATTGCGTCATGGACATTGCGAGTCAAAGCAATTTTGCATACGTATGCCGCCCACTTTAGTTTTTCCATCGTCGTGGTCGTTGCTGTTGTTGTTGTGTACGTTTATGGAAAATTGCTCAAATTGTTTTACTTCCAGAGAAAAATTGTCTTTACTTTGATCGTCAACGTCGTCGTCGTCGTCGTCGTCGTCGTCGTGACAGAACGAACAAACAATGCGACAGCAATTTTTATTGAAAATATATTTGAAAGTGTGTTGAATACAAAGTAGAAATAGTTGGTTGGCGTTTGTCGTGGCCTCATTTTTTTATACGCATGATCAAAATATATAGATTGATGCGACGCAAACAGCCAACGTTAACGTCATTTATCAAATCAAGAATGCATCCCAAACGAGTCAAACGCAATAGACGATTTTTGAAATATGAAATGAGAACATCAGCAGCGGCAACAGCTGCAGTTTTTTTTTCAAACAGCTCTAATGCAATGCAATGATTTTCATTTACAACATATATACATCAGCGATCGGAGTCATTTGCCAATCACCATAAGTGGAAAATTCAATTTTGAATGACTCACAAAAATCGATTTGTCAAATTGAATTGGCCGTCACACTCACCTGTGTTTCGAGGCGTCGATTCATTGCGACCAGTTTAGATAAGCTGCGATCACGATGCATTTTGGATGATTTGTCCTCTTTCACCAGTTGACCTATTTAAAGCGAATATATTACAAAACATATACAGTTTTAACAAATAATTTTCCGTTTGCGTTGTAACATTTGGTGTTATTATGAGATGAATGAGTTGGGTTGGGGATGGTATAGAAGAGGGTTGTCATGTGGTTCTATACTAAATGTTGCACAATCGATAATGCTGTGGAACAAATGTGTCGGATGCACGAGAGAGAGGAAGGAGGAAGAGAGAGAGAGAGAGAGAGAGAGAGAGAGAGAGAGAGAGGAAGAAAGGGAAAGAGAAACATAGAAATTGCAAGCTCAATGCTACGCCCTGTGGCTTTGTGGCATGCTCCATATCGTTCTAAAAATGGTAAATCGATATGTTACGCGCGCGATGATGTATGTATTTGTAATGTGTATACATTAAAAATGCTCGCGCAGCCACTTGTTGAATTTCAAGCGCGACACAAATTGTGTGTGTGAATGTGTTTTGTTTTTGCAATAACGAAACAAAGATGTTTGTGGCGCACACAACTCACACACACACACACACGCTCAGAAAAAAAAATTCAAATGAAAAATGAAAGAAAAAATTCGATGGAGAAAAAGAGAGAGAGAGAGAGAGAGAGAGAGAGTCATTGTTACCATTGGGTGCACCTGCTGCGTATTGATTTCCATTGGCGTTGATATGGTGCGGGTATTCATTGTAATTGGGATTATTGTTGTTGTTCATCGCATGATGATATTGGTAATAGTGATGATTCGATTCATTGATTGTTTCGCTGCTTCTATTATGGGGTGGTGGTGGTGGATGATTTCCATACGGCCATGCCGCTGGATGTTGATGGTGATGATGTTGTTGTCCAAATGGTCGTGCCTTTGGGTGTGAATCGTACATACGATGATTTGAATGCGGTGGAATTCGCATGTGTGGATGATGTGTGGCCGAATCGTGTATGAATGATGACGGCGGCGGCGGCGGCGGCGTCGGTTGTGGTGGCTGATGACTATTTCTTGGATCTGTTGGCGTTGAAATGTTACTATTACTGGCTAAAGGGTCTATACAACGAGACGATATGCCTGCCGCACTACTACCACCACCATTCAATGATGACATGTAATCGGTACGACCATTGTCACCATTTGGGAAGCATTGTTGTGTATCGCACATTTGGTAGCCTCCGAATCGTGATCGATAAGCTGGTGTTGTGGGTACAGCCGTCGATTCATATGGCGATTCAAAATTACCCGAATATGTGGATTGAAAACAATTTTGCACCATATTCCCTTTATACGAATCATAATGCATACCACTCGCGGGTACATTTCGATTGCCATACTGGGGATGAGACGACGGATGATGAGGCGGCATCCCATTCCAACTGATATGCTGATTGTGTCCATAAACATTATTATAATTATTATTGTAGCCTACTTTCATCATGCCCGCTTTGTAACGGTATTCATGGTTATGCTGTTGCGAATGATGATACACCATGCCATTGTAGCCGCCGTTACAGTATTCCATTATATTTTACGATACGACGATGTATGTGGTGGTGCTGATGGTGCTGATGGTATGTGTATGATTAGTTATGACTATATTCCGTGTTTTTCACACTTTTTATGGATGATAACACCTGGCTATGTTGATCCTTTGACGGACTATGACTTTGTTTCAAGTTCGCTGTGGTCACATTTAATTGATCCATGAGCCCAGGGTTTAGCTTCTGGAAAAAAAGACAACAAACACATATTTTTTTGTTTTTGTTAACGACATTTTGTTTGTTTTTTCTTTCGCTTCGCTTTGCTTCAAGCATATTCGGATCGATCAATATTTAGTATGCATTGTGTTCATTCCCGACCGATTTTCGCGACAACAAACAGAAAGAAAAACGAAGTAACAATGTCAAAGTGAAAAGTGAGTGGATAAATTAGTTGCAATATATCCGTTTTCCCCTTTTCTTTGCTTAGCTTCTCTTCAAATGGATTTCATTTGTCTTTCATCCATTGCCTTGCAAGCGTTATTATCATTTGACGTCAAGCTTTCGTAATTATTTTTCAAGAAGCTCCGATGAAGGAGTACACATCATGTTTTATGAATACATAGTGCTCTTCTTTTTCTTTCTTTCATTCACTGCAGCAAACATATACATGTATATGTAATGCTTAGCCGTTATTGAAGTTTCGCAAATCGGTAAATTGGCTCTTGTACTTTTTTTACCCTCTTTATTTTGAGGTCACAACACGACGCAAAGAGTATGTATGCTAACGAATTCCGTATCCCGATTTGGAATGAAAGCTTTTTTCCATTGATTTTTGGGAGGAATTTCAATGTTTCGGTTGCTAAAGCTTTTTTCTTTCGTTCATGTAGTTATAGGTTACAGGTTTTTTTTTTCTACATAATCAATCTCGTCCCCATCGCTTACTTACGCTTTAATTATGGAAAATGGCAATTACACACGAGAGACAGAACGAGAGAGAGAGAGAGAAAGAGAGAGAGAGTTTTTTGTTCGTTCATACTGAACTGGGCAGATTACAAAAATGCACGAAATATATTTATTTTGCATGAGACCTGAATTAATATCGATTCATAACGGCGGATAAAAAACACATACGCAAAGTCCAATGCGTAGTATATAGCACTCATTGAATGATAAAATATCTTTTCTTCAATCAAAACCATCTTGTTTACGGTTTTGTTGGGTCGCCTCGCCTTGAACCATCGCACAGCGATTTATATTGTATATTGTTGTCGGTGATTTGGTGATGGTGATGGTGAACATGTACTTTATGTACGCGACATTGTATGCGTGTATGTGCCTAGTTGGTGCTGTTACTCGGATACGGAGCAGCAGCAGCAGCAGCAGTAAGCGAGAGAGAGTGAGTGAGTATTTGAATGGTTAGCGTGCGGCTACACGTTTTGACAACTGGCGAGCTGTTTGAAGCTTAATGTTATATATAGAGGGATGAATGCATACCAACGCATGGAAAAAGACACACGCAAAACGAACGAGAATGGGAGCATGAGGGGGAGGTAGTGAAGCAAAAGAGCCGCCCGAACCGAATGGAGAAAAGCAGCAAGGAAAACACACAACAACGGGAACGGATGGATAGATGGATGGCTACATACATACGAACGAACGTGAAAACTGTTCAGTATGCTTATGTTGACTTGTTCTCCGAAAACTTTTGAAGACGTAGCTTTATCCTTTATTTATTGATCGTTTTTCGCGCTGTCGACGTACATTTCACACTAAATATTGTACGCATACATAGATATATGGATTTTTTTTTCTTTCTGTTCGTTTGTTTCGTAAAATATACTTGTTTTCTCTTGCTCGCCACTGTGTATACCGTAAGCATACACACACTGATTTAGCGCATCTTGCGTTTTTTTTATACATATCACTTTTTAGACTAAATTTAGTGTTTGTGTGTGTACTTTTCCATGCAGCATTTTTCCTTTTCTCATATTCCGATTTTAAATCTGGAATTTCGTTCAAAATAAGTTGCCTTATCATTGAAAGGAAAAAAAATTGGTATGCATGTATGCATATTGATGCATGTGTAGCTAGCCAAAGTCCTCAAATGCTCTCGTTCACTTTTCCATTGAAGTTTTCACCATTGAATTATGTTAAGTGCTTCGTTTTCATTTTGCCTCAATTCAAAATCATGGATTGCATAGCGCGGGCCCAAGAGGGAGAGGGTGGTCCGTCAAAGTGCATATTACAGGAAAATCAATTTTCAAACGAAGCGAAAACAACAACAAAATATAGAGAGAAACAACCACGTACACATATTTTAGACATTGGCTTAAATTACATGACGGTTTGGGTCACTTCGAACTAAATGCAACAACAGATCGAATATGTACACACATATGTGACCACACACATATATACAAACTGAACGAACGAATGAACGAACGACAGAATAAGAAATTGTTTTGTTAAGAGACGTTTACCATACTGAATGCGTCAATAGTTCATGAAACCGAAACCGTAAAACTGCAAAATGTTCTTTCCACGTTTTTAGTTGCGCTTATTTTCTATTTCTTTCTCTCTTTGTTTTTCGTTTATTTTCTCGATTGCCTTAACTTGTTTGATGACTACATAAACATTGGGTTAAAAAGTGACCAATCGAAAGAAAAAGAAAAGTTCTCGTTTCGTTTTTTTTTTCAAATTTCTCAATCACAAGATGTCAAATCCCAACCAAATAAGGAAGTTGGACAATTGTCCGAAGATTGCACGAATTGTAAACACAATTGAATCGATTCCAATGCGATTAATGTCGATTATCAATGAAAATATGGAACACTAACCGGTTCATAGATGAATTTGGAAGTTCACTGATTACACTGTTTATTTCACCTCAAATACGACTATGTTTATTTGCCACTCTCTTTTCCTACAAATTTCACCACCACAAACTGTAATCCGCTTTATTGAAAACGCACTGAACTGATTGTTTTTCGTTTTGTCTTTTATCCAATGAATTTATTTTGAATTTGGTTTTTTTTGTGTCTTTCCTTGGATATTTATTCGACCTTTAAACATAAAAAATACTCAACGCAATAATGTATCTAAATATGTTGCCCACCAAATGTAGACTGATATTCTGGCGCGAGATATTTTCCCGTTTCTTTTCGCCGTTTTCTTATAGATTTTCCTGCCACACACGAGTTTCTCTATGGTGGTGCTGGTGTGTATGTGTGTGTGTGGATTCGATTACTGGAGTGTTTCATACACACACTTTTTACCTTTCACTTCTCTCTTCTTCTCTCGCTCAGTTCCTCATTTTCTCTCGCTTTGAATGTTGTGCGAAAAACGTTGACAACTTACATGATAAAAGCTCAATGTTCCAGTTTTGTACGGCGCAGCTGTCGTACATATACATACCATCATATTGAAGAGACCATGCAAAGCTAGGCGAACACGTACGAACGGAACGGAACAGAATGAAACGACGACCGAGCAACACACACATCACATAGACGAGTGTATATAACAGAGTGTTTTGTTGGATAAAGGGCGAAATGTTTGTGTTGTTGTTGTTGTTGTTGTTGTTGGATCCGCGTTGGAATGCGAGCAAGATCGTTCAGACGTCCTGAACCACTACAACAACATCAATAACAACAAAAGAGAATGAACCAAAAGAAGAAAACGACGACGTTAATGATGAAAAAAAGAATGAACCACCTAAACAAGGCTGGTGGTGTTGTGTGTGTATGTGTGTGATGGGTGAGGCCAACAAGGACATTTCGCAACCTAAATTTCAATCATTACGAAATTCATTCCATTTGTTTTATCCCAATATGCCGCGGCATATCAGTCTGAATATTTTAACGAATCGCATTTTGAACTATTGACAAAGCAAACGAAAACAATGCAAATCAATCGAATCAACGTACGGTGTGATTCCGACGATGAATCGTGTTGATTGCGACACCGAGCGCGTTTATATAATTCAATTTTGACAGCATACACACAAAGACAGAATAGAGCAAACGAACAATATACAATAGCAGCAACAACAACAACAAATGGAAACGTCATGTATTCAGTGTCGAACTGTCAAGTCAGCTGTACCGTGTGTGTATGCACACACATAGTCATAATAGTACGCAATAATTTCTGTTTATTTTCTCACTAAGCACTTATTTCTTTTCCCTAATCGTCTCTCGCCAAATGAAATCGAAGCAGCGAATAATAAACGTACAATGAGCCGGTCGGGAACATGAGTTTCATAATCAATTTTTTGAAGAATTTTCTACACAACATGCTACAATTATTGTCATTTGGTAAGAAAACCATCAAGAACACACTGAGCATTTATGTGAAATTCAATCGTGACACATTGTCGGTTGATCTTGATCCACATTGGGTTATACGAGAAGTGAAAGAATTTGTTGCACCACAGCTCGGTTTGCAGCCGAACGAGGTGAAAATCATATTTGCTGGCAAAGAACTCAGCGATACAACGAAATTAGAGGTAAATGTTGTATGGTTTACTAGAATTTGGTTTGATTCTCTTGCCATTTAAATGCGTTTTTCTGTTATTAAATTGTGATTTATTTTTTTTCTCGCTGAGATGTGAAATTACTTTGATGTGCTTATTAAACATTTGCAATTCATCAATTAGGAATGTGATTTGGGTCAACAAAGTATTTTACATGCTGTCAAAGCGCGGTCTCAGCCAATTTCGAAGCGTTCGCTGAATGTGCCAACGAATTCGTCCATCGAAGAGGAGCCAAACGAAGAACATGACGCAACAAAACCATTGTCGCAAACGCTAACCGATCTGCAATTCTCCGATGTGACACACGACAATAGAACTGATAAAGGTGAATTTTGTGACACGTTCTATCGTGCTAATCTAGGCATGTTTTTTTTCATTTGCTTTAAATGACTCCTTTTTCTTTTTCAGAAAAACGGAATGAAGGCGAGGAAATGAAGGCACGATTCTTCCTCTACTGTTCGCATTGTAACGATTTATGCCCGGGTAAATTGCGTGTTCGTTGTTCTTTATGCAAAGGTGGTGCGTTTACTGTGTACAAAGATCCAGAAGGTTGGGACGATGTTTTGTTGCCAAATCGAATACCAGGTCTGTGTGAAACCAACGAAATTTCATGTACACGAGACAATGGCGAGCTACCATTTGCGGAATTTTATTTTAAATGCGCCAAACATACGTCAATGGGTGAAAAAGACTTTGGCGCACCACTCAGTTTGATTAAACGTAATGTCAAACAAATACCGTGCCTATCATGCACCGATGTGTGCGATCCAATTCTAGTTTTCCCGTGTCATGCGGGCCATGTTACCTGTTTGGATTGCTTTCGACAGTACTGTTTAACAAGACTAATGGAACGACAATTCATTTCACACGATGACATTGGCTATACACTACCGTGTCCAGCTGGCTGTGAAAATTCGTTCATCATCGAAATTCATCACTTTAAATTACTGACAAAAGAGCAATACGATCGATATCAACGATTTGCAACGGAAGAATATGTCCTGAAAGCGGGTGGTGTATTGTGTCCGCAACCAGATTGCGGAATGGGCTTCATTGTCGATCCAGATTGCAAAAAAATTACCTGCTCGAATGGCTGTGGTGTGAGTAGAATTAATTGGAATAGACATTTAGGAAAATATGATAAAATAACTGTTTGTCTGGTTTCAGTTTGTGTTTTGCCGAGACTGTCTACAAGGTTATCACATTGGCGATTGCATTCCAGACGATGGAACGAATGCCACATCGAATCATTCACAGTATTCCTTTGATCCCCTGGTAAGATATGCATCAATTTGATTCATAAAATTAAAAATTGAACAATTTTCTTACATTTCGACGATTTGAATGGGTTTTTTCCTCCCAGCGAGCTACTGAAGCAAGATGGGACGATGCATCGAGAGTCACCATTAAAGTCATATCGAAACCGTGTCCAAAATGTCGAACGCCAACGGAACGTGATGGCGGTTGTATGCATATCGTGTGCACAAGATCTGGTTGTTCATTCGAATGGTGTTGGGTATGCCAAGCCGAATGGACCAGAGATTGTATGGCTCAGCATTGGTTCTAATAGCCTATTGCGGACATATTGGTTCGCCTAAGCCAATAACATTTAGGTGTTAGATAGGAAAACATTTTTTATTTGCGAAAAACGAAGCAATATTTTTATGATTGTTTTGATAGAAAATAAATTGAAGATTCACTCCAATTTTTTTTTTTTTTATTAAATAAACCAAAAAATAATTCGTTCATTTTAAAACCAAAACTTCATATTCGGCAAAGCTGAGCTCTTCTCCGTTGAATGGGATGTATAAGCAGCCATGGCTTACTTGCACTTTGCCAGGCGTTTGAGTACCTTCATGCAAGCAACGACCCATATACAAATTTTCTCCGTCAACAGTACGACCAATAACTATGGCACCTTTGGGTATTTCACCGTTGGACGCAAATTCCCATACGAAATCTCCCGATCGTAATACTTCGAATTCGGATTTTGGAATCTCTTCACCATCAAACGACACAAAGGCCACTTGTTTTTCGGGTATCACCTTAGCAGGAAGCAAGTCGTTCTCATGAAATGCACGACCAACGTAAATAGTACAACCGTCAGCATCACGGCCAGCACGAATTGCGTGCTGTTTTGGGAACGTACTGGTTTCATCAACCGATTGCCATCCGTAACCTTATAAGATAAAAATAGATGAGCCATGAAATGGGGAGGTAGAAAAATGGGAATCTTATGATCAAGTCGATATGATTCATGCAAGATAAGCAAAGCAACGTACAACTATGCCTTTTGACTTTTTCAAGGTATTTTAAGAGATTTTTCTATGATTTTTTTTATAGAACAAAAAAAAATGAAATTAATTGGGCAGTAGTATAGTTTCCGATTATAAAACCTTTGTGCTCAAAATGTTTGATCGATCAACAACGAAACTCATAGCACTGCGAGAGGTAGTGCTATCTCATTCACTCAAACGGTGTGATGGATACAAACAAGTCGGTATTACATTTAAAGCGGACAAAACAAAATTTAACAGGGCCAGAAATTGAGTTTCGAGCTATATCAGGTATTATTAAATTTATGAGAAAAAAAATTGAAATAATTTCCAGTCACAAAATGACGCCTTCTCAATAATCAAATTGATTTAAATACAATGAAGCTATTATAATGGATCAATGTAAAAAATGAGATGAATGAGAATTAATTCAAATATATGGAACAATAAACAAAATGGCAAAATGAATGATTTGCTTGACTGAATTCAAGGCTGAGGTATGTCAATGTGTTCATGATCAGCAGATGCTCGAAATGTATTTGTTGTTAGAAATTATAGATCATAATACCATGTTTGTAAGAACATCGTGACAAACTAATTTTGAAAAAAATGTTTTTAATTCTTGAAAAAAATTAGCAAATTTTGTGTTGTTTGAATTATTACAGTTCTATTGAAAAAGTTTTAATGCAATTCAGAAAAAAAAACTAAAATTAAAAACATATCTTAAAATTGAATCGATACTAAATACTAGAAATCAAATGATTTTACCTGGCATTTTTGCTGTGTTGTTTGCGTATCCGATATCAACTAAAACTGAAATGATAAAAATTGCGAATGCAACAAGTTGGTTTTAAGTTGGTTGGATTATTTCAAGTGATTCATCGTCACAATGTACCAATTTACAGCCGGTAGATAAGATAAGAATTTATTTATCATTCCGCTGGCGGCTTTCTCTGATTATAATAAATTTCAACATTTAAAAGGAATTTTACACAATTGTTTTATTTTATCGCAATCCGCATGTAGGTTTTTTTTTATTAGGGTTAAATTCACGAATGTTCTATCGCAACTGAGAAAGATATACAAATAAGAAGTGAATAATTGATCAAACATATGATGTATGTGGTTGAACTTAAAATTTGAACTCTTTGTATTTTTTCGTTTGTTTTGATGTTGTTTCGCTGCCTTGTTGACGCTTTCGTTTGGATTTTTGCTTGGCCACATGCTCGGCAAGCATGTCCGATAGATCCTCCTTCTGCAAATGGCTTTGTTGTTCACGCATTTGCTGTTCGTAACGTTGGGCCATTGCATCATTGTCCAAATCCAATTCGGATGGATCGAGAGCTAGCTCAACCATTCCTTCGCGATCGCCAACACGATGAGCACCGGCAATGTTTTGTGGTGGCTTTGCACCGGTAGCCGTTGACATATCGTAAACATGCGTTGAACCCATCATTGAAGCACCGATACGCTCGCCACGTTTCTCAGGCAACACTTGATAAAGGACTGGAGTTTCATTGCTGAAATTGGAAACGGGGAAATTAATATTTAGTTTTATTTTTCTCGAATGGTTGATAAATTTAAAGACGAAAAGTGGATCAAGTAAAGAGAAAATGAAGAAAAGGAATAAGGGCATAGAGTAAATACGGGAAAAACCTAGCACGAATTCAAAAACTTACTCTTCCATTTCGCTTTCAATCTTCTTTTTACGCAATTCAATTGTGTCGGGCGTTTCCATGCCGGCTGTGACACTAGTGAGACCAGATGGTGTGACCATGCCTTCAGCTGGTGTTACTAGACCGCTCTCATCAAGTGGTGCATCAATATCTTCATTCTCATCTTCTTCTTCCTCTTCCGATGATTCTTCGGATTCGGATTCCAATTCACCCCAAATGTTGTGGTCAATATCACCCTCTTCGACTCCGCTCTGAAAGTATTCACAAATGATTTTATTGGAATTTATTTCATTTTTCCAAATATTTTAGTTGAGTTTTGTTTGCATTGACTTAAAGATTAAGAAAATACTTACATCAGCATCCAACGAACTGGTTCCGAACACATCACCATAAAGTGGTTTTCCTTTCTCATCGACTGGTGGTTTGCCCCAGCCGCCGGCATGATAACCGAACGAGCATCCCTCTGGAATGGGTGCATTCAAGCCAGGTATCTTCAAATTTGGATAACTTGGTGGTGGACCGTATCTAAAAGGAAGGAAATGACGTAAGAATTTTAACATCAAAGGAAAACAAAGAACGAATTTTTCGAAAATTTCGAATTGAAATCAATGAATATTTTGAGCTAAACTTTATAAATAAACGCTTCAATCTCTTTGCATTATTTCTACCGATTTTTTTTACATTTTTTAAGCTGAAAAATACTATGATCAAATTCAGTGTTGAAAATATCTTTATATGATCGACTGAAGTCCATACAAACCTTTGCTGAGCGATGAGCCATGGTGGCGGAATTTTGTGGCAGTTCGGACCAATTGGCATTCCAAGTGCTGTACGCAATTCTTCCGATAAATCGCCTGGTTTCTTCTCTTTCAACCGCGTTTCAAACTCTTTACCCTCATAATACAAATCACCGTGAATGGTCATGCGAGGTTTCGTTTGCCATCTGTAAACAAAAAAAATTAATCTCTCAATTGACCAAAAAGGGGATTTTATGATGACATTCTTGGGTTTGAAAATTGAAAAAAAAATCTATTCACAATGAAGTGGTTTACGAATTTTCAACCACATACAATTCTCTAGAGATTTAGTTCCAAAGTGTACATGAATTCTATAAAAAAAAATGATCGTCAACGATTGCAATCGTTTGCCTTGGAAATTAGTATTGGTTTGAAAAAAAATCCGATTTTCTTCACTTACTTGAAGAATGCATCGTGTAATTTCTGATAATCAATATCGATTTTGCCCATTTTTGGACGTGTGCGTTCGCGCATTTTCGCCTTGAGTGTTTTCGCTTCGTCCTTCTCCTGAAGCGATGCTCTCATTTCCATGATGCCGGTCTTCTTAATGAATGCCGGCAAATCAAATGGTGGCTTCTCAATACCACGCTTACCCTGCAAATACTTTCGCTTAAAGCACCAATGACGTGGCACCTGAACGGTATTACGATGTGCCTTCAATTGGACCAATAATTTTGGATCGCGTGCGGTAACATCGTGCATTTCAACGACATCCGGACGTCCGACCAACTGTTTCAATTCGGCCACACTTAATCGGGTCAGTTTCTTCAATTTACGCTTGGATAATTTCTCTCCGTTTGCATCTTTTTTGTCATCGTCCATATCTTCATCATCGTCGTCCAATAAATGATCTTTGTCCTTCTTTTGTGTGTCTTCAGTGGTTTCGGTAGTTTCTTCTGTTTTGGATGCGGCTGGTTTTTCGTCCAATTTAAACAGTTCAAATACACGATAAAATTGGCGATACATTGGTGCCAAATCGGCAACGGTAATTTTCTCCGGAACATATTCGATGGCCACATCATCAGTCGATTCACTGTTCTTGCTTGATTTCCCTGACGATTTCTCTTCTCCATTGGTAATTTTCTCGTCACCCGTTTGTTGTGGCTTATTCTGACGATTCTTTTTGTTTTGCTTCTTGCGTTGCTTCTTCTTTTTATTTTTATCTAATCGATGTTGACCTTTTGACTTGGCCGACGATGTGGTCGATGGAAGTTCGTCGTCTTCATCGGATTCGGCATCAGCATCCGCATAATCGGTACTAATCACACCGGTCAATGGACGAGATGCCGTTTTATCGGTTTCAATTGGTATTTCACCATCGCCACGACCCAATTCATCGGCCAATTGATCTTTGAATGCAAACACATCTTCCAATGCCTTTGGTAATACCACTTCACTTGGATTTTGCTGGTTGCCTTTTACCTCGTCCGGTTTATCGACTTTTACCGACATCAATGGCGGCGGCGGCAAATTGTGTGCACTTTTATCGGTTTCATCGGTTCCCCAATTCGATTGCTCGCCCGACAGTTGATTGAATGGCGGCGGCTGATTGATTTCGTTGGTATTATGCATGATTGGAATACCAATCGGTGGCGGTGGCACCATGTTGTTTTGTTGCATGATATTTTGATTGATATTCGACATTGGCATACCGGGCGGTAGAGTGTTCATCATTTGTGTTCCGGTCGCTGGTACCGACATCATTTGTCGCTGCATTTCGGCTTCATGCTCAGCCATCGAATGGATTTGATGTTGCTATAAATTGTTAGAATGGGATTCATTATGTTAGGTTTCTGTTTTCACTTGACAATCAGAAGAAACTTCAAAACCAAATGCCCAGTGAATATTTGCTGACGATTGATGTATACGCTAGTACGGACAATGTATTAGTATTTGCATCAAACTTACCTCATGATTTAAATCCTCCATATTTTCGTCAATCACACGGAAATACGATGAACAAGACTATTTGCTGCGGAAAATACAGGGACTTTTTTCTAAACATACAAATGAAATTTGGACACACAATTTAACTCGATGCTTTCTATGCTAGCTCATAAATGTCAAACAAACGTTGGGTCGTTTGCCGAAACACAAACGTACTAGATTTTGAACGTATGCGATGAGCGATGAATGATTACCGTAGTAGAATATTCACGGCAAATTCAAATGTTGATTAAAAGACACATCGTCTATCGAATATAAACGACTCAAAACATCATGTTTTTTTCTTTAAATTTCATTCTCCTTCTCATACACAAATTATTTCATTCCGATATTAATGACAGAAAGGGGGAGTTGAAGAGTAAAATGGAAATTCTCGAATAAATAGGATTTTGTTCGTCATTCTTTTCAGCGAGAATCACTTTTGAATACTAAAAACTCATAAAGCGAATTGAAATGTTACGAAAATTTCTCCTCAAATAGCTTGGAGAGTCATATGTTGAAGGGATATTTATCACCAAATCTTAGAACTTGGAACTTGAACTAAAATTTGGAGCCCAAATTTTGGGTGCCTTAATTGAGATTATAAAGTACAAATTCAATTCGATCCAATCTGAAAATATAAAGTTCATTTCGAATCATAGGAGGATCCACTTGAATTGAGACTAGAATTGTGCATAATTTTATTCATAGTTGAACACATTTATAATGTTAGTGTGGCATTTTGTGTATAAATTGAACAATTCCGCTTACAAACTATCATTAAAAGTAAATTGTATTAAAATTTATTTCCTCTCAGGTTCATAACAGATACTCCTTAATTCACAGCTGATTTTAGACATTTGGTTAATTAATTTTTTCTAAAAAAAAAAGTGTCGTTGTATTTCAACACAGAAGAAAGATGTGCTCTTGACTGACTCTTTTATCGAGTCATAGGAATTAGTACAATAGAAAAGAAAAGGATTTAAAAACTACGTAAGCAGCAACAAAATCAGCGCCATAATACAAGTCCATGGCACTATTCGTATGGATTCGGAATCGCCTCGCAGTCGATACTCTGATTCTGGATAGTATTCGATGACATGCATCGTTTTGTTTATCATCCAATAAAAAGCTTGCATATTGAATTGCGATTTCAATTCTTCGCCGACCAGCGTTCGCACCCGAGCGTTGTAGTCATTTAGCCATCGTTTCTGTGGAAGAAATTTTTTAAAGATTTTTTTTTTTAGAATTTAAATTCAGTTCAATTTTGTCAAAATCTCGAATAAAACAAATAATTGGCATTGTTGGCGTCGTTCAAATGAATTCCAAAATAAAAAAAAAATACCTCTCTTATATTAAGTAAACCACGATCGATCATTTTTGGATCGAATGGTACTAACGAAACATCTCTAAAGCCCAAAAATCGTGCGCCAGATGGATGTCGTTCACCTGTGTCGTATACTTCCAAAACATTCTTCAGACGAATACCATACAATCCTTTCTTATACAGTCCCGGCTCTGCAATTAACCGATTTGATGCATTTTTATTAACATAGAAAAACAAGAAAATAAAAGAAAAATATGAAAAAAAAAAAATCAAATTTGGTCTCACACGTGATCAACACATTTAAAATCAGTATCATGTTTACAAGTTTTATGAGGTGCTTGGTATGAATCACATGTCACAAAATAAAATCATTCTCACTAGAATATTACTCACCATTCGAAAAGAAATATCCTTCTTCGAATGCATACGTGTGTGGCTCAGTGTACGAAATCTTGATCGGCGCTGTGAAAATCGAAGAGAAAAAAATGGTCACTTTACTCAATCATCGCTTAACTTTCGTTTGTAGCACAGAAAATGTATCACTCTGCACCATAAATTATAGACCATTAGAAACATTCAATGGATTGGAATAAATCACATTTCGTGTCATTTCTTCGGAAATAAATTCCATTTCGCTAGATACATTGCACAAAATTACATTTTCTGCTGCTCTTCTGTATTTGAGAAGAATAAAATCGAATTTTAAAAAGCTATTCGAGAAATGTGACTTACACTCGTAAACACCCAGATAAGATCCAACGCCGTGGCCGGTCATTTGAGGGTAATCTGTGAGCGAATCCCAAACGGATGATCTTGCGAGTGCATCAATTTCACCGGGCGTTAGACTCTCGGGAAAGACCAATGTTGATAATCGAATGATGGCACGCAGCACGTTCGTATACATTTGCTTTTGCTCAAAAGTTGGTTCTCCAAAATGGACTATATTAAGCCAAAGTTTTTAAGTTATAGTTCAGATTTTTAGGCTTTCCATTGCATTGTATTTTCATTTTTTTTTTTCGAAAAATGATTTTTTCATCTTAATTTACTATTCTAAAAAGTTCTTACTTGTTCTCGACACAATTGTGGTTCCTTCAGCATATTGACCGCCTGAATCAAAAATGCACGGTTCTTTGTCGGTCACAACGATATCGGTTTCGTTGAACGTTTCGAAGAGCGGAAGTGCTGCGTGTGGACCAAATGCAATGTTCGTTTTTAATGACAGACCAAGATTTGACTTCATTGAATACCGTGAACGATCAATATCATTTGATGCTGATACCTCGGTAATTGTTTCTTCATTGAGAAACTGTTGAATAAAGAATTATTTATTCTCCATTCAAATTACAAATTTCCAAGTTCAAAGTTGATCAAAATGAATTATGGTTAGAAAAAAAACGAGTTAATCAAATACCCGTTCATACCCGTCTCTCGAGCAAACTAAATGCATCACACATGGCTGCACCATCCAAAATGTGTGCACGTTGCATGCCTTTTTGTTCGGTGGGATTTTTCTGGGCTCGCATGAATATCACCGGTGATGGTTTTTCATGAATTGTCGTTCTTTTGATATTGCTATAAATAGCCTCAGACACACCGAGATCGAATACACAGTGACCAGGTACAAGGATTTTACGCCATTGATAAGAATACACATTCAAATCCGACCAAATCTGTTCGTAATCTTTAATTCTGTAAATGAGAGCAATAAATTTTCGGTGGAGAAATGGTGAGGAAATACGAAGTTCAATTGGCTGAAACTAACTTGACACATTCAGTGTTGCATGGATCGGCGTTTAAATGGTATGTTATGCCCAAATTAACTCGGTCTTTGTTAACATACAGGAACGTTTCGTCATAGGAAACAAGAAGGTAGGCCTGAAAATTTGTGATTTGTTTTAGTTGAATGATTATTGAACCTGTTATTCGATTTTTTTTTCTAACAAAATGTTCAAAATAGATTAATGAATATATTTCTTAATGCTCTCTAACCGAATGTTCTTTTATGAATGAAGAAATAGCATTTCTATATGGATCTAGATATTCATTTTAAAGCTATAAAGGGTTATCAAGTTATGAAGGCGACTCGCATGAATTACCTTGAATACTGGCGTATATGGAAAATCATTTCCACGCAAATTAAGTAAATAGGCAATTTCGGTGAGTGATGTGACGATCATCGCATCGCAATGATCCTTTAACAGATGCTTACGTAGCCGTTCGATTTTTGACTGCCATTTCTCGCCGGCATGGATAAGTGGGTGCACTTTGAGAAGTTCTGTGTTTTGCGGTGGTCGATTAATCCACACTAAATCAATTAAATTTCGACTCATTCGAATCAAGCGAATATATTTCAGTTGTAATTCTGACTCCCACTCGATCCACACTTTATGCGGCACTGTTCGCGGATCAGCTCCGACTCGAGCTCCATCATCAAGCTCAGACTATATGGAATTTATAGAGTTGAAATGTTGTAATTCTTTAAATTAATCTATTTCCAACCAAGTGTTCGAAAAATTGAACGCTCGATAGAAAATGGGTTAAAAGCAAAATAATGCGACAACTTTCCATACCAAAATGTAGGATGTAATACTGGGTTCTGAGTTGAGTGAGAAAATCTTCCAATCACAATTCATTTCCGAGTTGGCTTGAGCCAGATATCGCTCATCCGTCCATAGGGCAACCGTATTCATTGTAATGATAACGTGTGCTATTTTGCCTGTAAAACCCGAAATGAACTGTGTTCGCTTGTCATGATCGCTGACATCTTCATTTAAATGTTCATCCCATGTGGTAACGATAAAAGCATCAATCGATGAACCATGCCTTGATGCGCGATTTTTCATTTCCTCACGAATGGCATCCACACGATGACGCTGATCGGAATGTGGCCGAAACTACAACCCATTGATAAAATCAGCAATTTAATGGTTTGGAATTTGTGAAAACATGCCCAAGCTACTCACCGGCAAACCGATTCGACTTTCGCATTTAATTCGTTCGATGCCTTTGAAGTGGCACATAATCGGACACAGCAGCAGTGCCGAAACTGAAATTGTTGATTCATACATTTTTATTTAGACCAAGAATTACAATAATTTATTTTGTTCGGCAGGGTATGTTTTCTTTGACGTCAAAAGTCGTACATTTTGATGGAAAATAGTCAGTCACTTTAAATCATCTAAGCCATTTCGCAAAGGCACACGCACTATGTTTTTCAACAAGATGGATTCTTTTTTTCTCTCTCTCTCTATCTCTCACACTCTTTCTCTTCGTCTTTGCCACACTCTCAACAAGACCGATATTTTCTCAACCAGACGGATTTCGTTTCAATGTAATAAATCGCCAAAATACACACATCAAAAAGCCGTTTGCAATTAATTGCTTGTTGAAGCACCATGTGTGTAGCAGCAACAGCCGCAGCAATAGCAGCCACGCAATGGGCGACGGATATAGAATATTGTTCTAATAGTTGATTGTTTGTTGAATCGCATTTCGAATTGATCTTGAAATACATTTGGTTGTATTTTTAATGCGTGGTACTGGCTGTTCGATTTGACAATGAACGATTTTCTGTATCTGGTTGAAGGTTGTCGAGGCAAACAATGACTTAGAAACACTTAAAAAGACATTTATTTTCCTTATGTACGACAACAATTTCCATAGAATGGCCAACACACGCACAAACCTATTAACAACTGATGAAACCAAAACATTTTGGCCAAAAAATTCCACTTTTGTTCGTCTTCTTCTTTTCCAAATTAACCGAAACCGATTCGTTTTAATGCTCAGCGAAACTGATGAATCTACAAAATTTAAACATATGATCAATCGAAGAGTCACTTCCAATTGGAAATTAATGATGCAAAAAAAAAATTGCCGCTCGTACGAAACACAAAAACACACACACACACATGCACAATAAATCTCGTCACGGTGACTTGCAAGCAGAAAATGTTTAAAAAAAAAAAACACTTCGCGATGCCAATCCGTTACATTAAATTTACATTGGCAATCAAGAGAAATGGGTTAGGATCAAATGAATAATGTGGACTGTGTGTGAATGTATGCGTGCGTTTGTGGTTTGTGTGACACAAACTGCAACACACAATAAGCCCAACTAATCGCGTAGGATTAAATTGCTTGAAATTAATACGTCGCGTTAGAATTAACCTTGAATGCATCGAATTATTAATTCAAATCAGATTAAATGGTTCGTGTATTTGGCGCAAATTCAAATGGTTCTATCGATTGTAACAATGGCGCGAACAAATATTTCTGGAATCAACACTGTTTGCACTTTTCTTTTTTCAAACAAGATCAAATTCACAAAAATTTCTGTTAAAAAAAACACCAAAACGATTCTATTAATTCCTTATCGCTACGCAGACCGTCACACGACTTGCATACGAAATCCGTTACAAAAATATCTTTTTTGTTCTTTGATCTCATTCATTCCCGTGTTTTTTTCTTCTTCGGTTTCGAAATTTATTCAAACCGTGTATTGAAATCGCATAGCACAAAAAACAGTTTCACAACCAATCATCTTTTTTCTTTAATATTTAAAATTATCCACTGTTTTCCGAACATTTTTTCTCTCGCTTCCGAATGTTTTCGTTGGTTCAGCCGCGGATTCGACAGCTGTCTTTTCACTCCGGTTACAAATGTTTCTTCACTAATTTTTCGGTTTTTCTTCTTTTTCTTTCAGATGATTAGCTGAATTGAAATTCGAGCATGTTTTTCCTCGTCTCTTTCTCAAAATTGACACCAAGAACTTTGAGTAATAACATTTAAAGTAGTTTACGTTATGAAATGATAAACGTTTAACTGACACCGTTGATTTTTAATGCGGGTGCACACGCGCGCACGGGGCATTCGGCGCACGGGACAACAAAATGCTAACAACACACTTGAGAGTTGTTTGATGACTGAATCAAATAAAAATATCACTATGTGCCATCGGCAAATCGAAGAGATTCGAATAGACTATGTCATAACAAATACGTTACAGGCTGATGTGTCTTGGCTCGCTCGATGAATATTGCAGAAAATATCAACATACACACAAACACAAAATTATTTATAGATCTCATACACAGATATGTATATGTGCATAACATTCTCGAGCTCCATCGACGAATTTATGCGAAACTTTTCCCATACAACATCGCTCAGTGGAGCAACCGAGCTTGCGATATTTCAAAGGCAGAGAACATTTTTGTTTCGTTGTGTTGTTTGCTGAAAATGAGCTCAATGGAATTATTGCAACCCTTATAATGAATGAAGCAAATCAAGTTGCCAATTTTGCTTTTCAAGAGCACACAGTGACAATATGGATTATTGCCGTTTGATCTCACAAGTGGCAAATAAACTTGTTGAATTTGTGAAATTGTAATCGTTTTCGCTTTTAGATGTAAATATATAAACAGCATGTGACACCTTCACCGCTGAGTTCGGATGAAACGTATTTAAGGGATATAAATAATCGAATGAATGATGACAAGGGCTAAAAAATATTCATCAAGTTTTTTTCCATCAAAATTTAACAATATTAAACCAATTATTCCAACTTTTTTTCTCAATCTCTGGCATTTTAGTTGAACAATCACAATTTTGATATGATAATTAAATTAAAATATAGAAAAAATTAAAACATTTCCAGAGTTCCAAAAAACAAGAATTTCATTCACCTCAAAAAAAAAGGTTCTAGAAACGTGAAATGGTCCGAAAACTCCCTTCATTTCCTTCAATGACATTCAAATATAAAAATCAGTTCTTCAAAACCAGTTTTTAGTCGAATAGCATGCCGACCATGAACATGCATTAAATAGAAAATGTACAACGCATTGTGTGATGTGTGTTTCGTTCTGAGGATGTCAAATAAAAACCTAATGTGTTGTTGTCTGGTACGTTTGATGGACCACGCGAAAGAGGAAAATGTTCAGCATCACAAATCTAAGAGTCACACACACGCACACACACACACACATACACTCATGCATCCGTACACAGTCTCTCTAGTGTCTCTGTTTCTCTCACATAGATCCATTGGTACATACAAACACAGGCGCACACAGCTGCACAGAATGTTGTAACAGAGTCGTTGTTGTGAAAAAATGCATAAATGCACGCATACGATGGTACATACGAGAGCGCACGCTGATGTACGCGTGAAAACGGAATGGAGAATGTGATGAATGTATGCGGCGAAAAAGGGATGAAGCGAAAATAACAAACTCGAGGACGACGCCGAAATGAAATGGAGAAGAGAGAGAGATATGAGTGTTGTTTTTTTTTTGTTGAATGGTATTTCCATAGAGACGGAGATCATCTTGGCGTGTCGGTGAATTTTAAACGCACATTAAACTCGTGCTATAGTATTGGTGATACTAGTCGGCTTAATACGTCTAGGTTTTTTGTTTTCTTGCTCTTCGTCGAGATTATATACGATTTTGGAAGAGATTCGGTCTTGTTCACTATCTTTCTCACTCCCACCCGGTGCCTAGAATATTCCGGCAAGTAAGAATTGGTTTGTTGTTTTTTCTCTGTGTGTTCAGTAGTTTGTTGTTTCATTCTTTATTTGTGCGTTAACACTCGCACACATTCATAGACGTGCGTTTTGTTTACGCGATTGATTCGAGCAGCCGAACAGACAAAGAAAAACAGTGTAAGTGATTTGATGCTCATTATCGACAAAAAGAACAACATCAAAACAACATCTCTCAGACTCAACAACGACATCAATTTTGTGTGTCTTAATCTTGATTCATTTTTCAACGTTCATTTCAATTTTTGTTTTTTGTTTTTTGTTTTTTGCTGGCCAGCATCATCCAGTGTGTACGCATCATTTATACAACGAGCAGCCCGTGTAATTTAAATCTCCGTTTCTCATTGTCGACGTCGAAAAGAGGAAACATTCAGAGCTCCTATCAAAATGCAAATGTTTGGAATGAAACATGCACTCCTGCTGAGCATCTTCTTCGTTTCTTGTAAGTTGAAATTCTCTCTGTGGGTTTGTGTGTGTGTTTTTTTGTTCCTGTAAAATCTAAAAGCATAAAAATGGTGTGTTCTATTTTAGAAAAGAAGAAAAAAATACATCGCAAAATCTACGAAACCTTTTGTGATAACCTTTATTAGTGTAATCAAAGCTATAGTGTTGCTATGGCTATGTGTGTTTTTCCCACACATTATTTTAAATATTTTTCGCATATTTTTTTTCTTTTTATTTATTAGCGCTTTGCAATGATCGACCCAAAATCATAACGAATATCACACCACAGGTGGTGCGAGAGACGGGTGAAAATGCGACTCTAGCATGCTATGTAGATAATCCAGAAGACTATGTTGTTTCATGGGTGAAAGTCAATCGCGATAATCCATCGGATCAAACTGTTTTATCTTTTGGCACCAAATTATCGGTTAAAAATCCACGTTTTTTGGTCACGGCCACATCCGACAGTCTCGTTCTGAACATTAAAGACATTGAATTCACCGATGCGGCCGTCTATCAATGCCAAGTATTTGTATCGGACACCTACAAAGACACGGCTCCCGTTGAACTTTTGATCAAACATCCACCCAAGATTATCAAAGACATCGAAGTCAATCCAACTCCGGCTGTATTGAACAGTACCGTTGAATTGGTATGTACGGCCGAAGGTTATCCAAAGCCAAACATCTCATGGAAACGTGCCGGTGACGCACTCATTCCGGCTGGTGGTAATATCTACAATGGAACGGTGCTGAAAATTAACGATGTATCACATCAAGATCGTGGCATTTACTATTGTATCGCTGATAATGGTATCGGACAACCCGATCAACGTATCGTCAATTTTGAAGTGGAATTTCCACCAAAAATTACCGCACCACGACCACGAGTTGCCCAAGCCCTTGACTACGACATTGAACTTGAATGCAAGATCGAAGGCTTTCCAGCACCGCAAGTTTCATGGTACAAAGATGGCTCACAAATTCTCAACGAAGGCGATTACAGGTATGCTGGCATATGCACCATTTTAGTTGCCCAAAATCCAGTACATTATGAAGCGAAAGTAGTTTGAATAAAAGTCCAACATTTCAAAGTGAAATCGAAATGAAATATTTCGAAGGATTGAATTTATTCTAGTAATCCAATTTAATGCTAAGCTAACCTACCGTCATGTTCGCGACTAACCTAAAATCTCTCCAATTTGCCCCACAGCATCACCAATACGGCCACCATCAACGATGTGACCAACTCGGTTCTGCGTGTCATCACGGTTGAGAGCAGCCAATATGGCGACTACGTTTGCAAGGCATCCAACAAACTTGGTTCGTCCGAAGCAAAAATCAACTTATTCGGTAAGTTTTGGATTTGTTTTCTAAACAACACTTGAATATTTTCTTTTGTAACATTTTCTCTGCTTAATTTCATTAAAATTTTAATTTAATTTCTTTTTTTTTTTCTTTTTTTTTCCCAAAAGATTCGGTAGTCGCTGTTTATCCATGGCAAGCATTCGCCCGAAATTAGAATTAGATTTTATTTTCTTCATTTTCGATTTAATTGACAAGGTATATTTGTGTTGTATACATTTGATATTGATTGATTGAGTGCATTTTTTTTATGGTTTATTCAAGCAAACCTTGTTTAAAGGACCTTTAAAAATAGAACACATGATTTTTTCTTATCGATTATGTTGTAAATTAATGCAATCCATCATAAATTTCAGATCATCCAATACCAAACATCCATTTCTCCGGTTTGCAAATGTGGAATGCATCGCCAAAGTCATTCATTCATATGCGATTTATGATGAATTATATTGCGGTGATGATGCTCATTGCAATTCTACTATAAAATTTCCATTAGTTTGTTTGTTGATTTTCATTTTTTTTTCGGCCGTATTTGAGTTACCAACCGTGCAGCACATTTTCAATAAGCAGATGCGCGAGGAAAAAAAAAATAAGAATGATATTTTTCTAACGAAATGTACAAATCTGCGAGAGAAAATAGAAGAACAGAAGAAAAATCATACACGAAGAACAAGACGGCAAAAGTTTCATTTACAATAAATCGAGTAATTCCAGACAATGTAATGTAATCAGTTTCGTGCACAATAATAACAACAACAACAAACAAACCGAAAAAAAGATGATAAGAAATAAGAAAAGAGAAATCAATAACTCAAATAATTTTTGATCAATATACAATATACAACAAAAGGGGATAAGAAGAAGAATTAATTTTTTTTGTAGTGTATTGGATTCGATATATATATATATATATATACATATATTTCATGACCAAAAACGACTGATCTGCTATTTTAGTTGAATAAGAGGCTAATAGATTTAATGATAATCAATTTGTCGGTTTCTATACTTAAAACACATTCAGACAGATAGACAGACACACTCAAGAACAATATCACCTATCAAATGATAATTTACTGCTCAAATATAATTGAATTGAAGAGATCGTACGAAAAAAAAAACGAATAACAACATTGCCGATTTGGACAGTGAACGATTGACAGTGAACAGCAATGGAGTACATATTCAAAACATAAAGAGCCCAAACTATAATAACAAAAATACTTAATGATAACAACACAGAGATAAGATTAATCATAAGCTTTGGTTTATCCATGTAAGATCTATGACACACAATTTTTTTTTTGTCTACCGAAAGAACAATAAATGAAAAATCACACATACACACGTTTTATTTGATTTTTTTTTGCTCCAAACATACAAGCCCATTCACGACATTATCAATCAAGTGTGTGGCAAAAATTGATTTAACGGACGTTTTGAATTCGAAAACAAAACATGAGCGCATTTAGTACAATAGAAGCAACGAGAAATACTTAAGAAACAGTGAAAAAAGTGACAGGCATAAACTGAGCAACAACAACAACAACAAAAACGAAACTAGCAATTGTTAAGCTGTTGTTGTGTGTATGGTTTTGTGTGTATGTACATATATATCGTTGACAAATCGCTTTGGCCAACTGAAAATAGTTGAACCATCATACGGTGATGGCGCTGCGTTGCATGACACACGTGTTATATAGACAAACGTCTGTGAATTTCTTCAAAAAGTATCCAGCCGGCGTTCGAACATTATCCTTGCACAGTTGCAATTTGGCCGCAATACGATCAAACACGATGGCATCCCAATACATTCCGGTTGAAAAAGGAACACCAAACTCAACAGATTATCGCGTTTATTTCAGTGAGTATTGACATCAATTGGGTGCACAAAATTTGTTCTTTTTTCCTCTTCGTTCTTTCTCACACATAACACACACACACACACGCAGAAATAAAAAGAAGAGGACTCACATTTATTTATCATCAAATTCCAATCACAATACCGTATCGTATTGTCAACAACATTGCATTGGAATTATTATTACATAAGAACGTTTCGCATATGTGCAAAAAAAACCAACTTATCAGACAGTGTGTATTTATTTCCTATTTCGCAATGACCTTACACGTATGTACAACCGACGTAGTAGAAATGAACACAACAGAGAAAAAAAAAGACAAAATCGAATACAATTCCTATACTATATGGCATGGCACATATTTTCTTTTATTGTGATGACAATCCATTATACATGCACGGTGTGTGTATGGTTTTTTTCTGTTCGCTTTTGTTTCATGGTCTATGACTGGAAAATGGTTCTTTACCTTTGTTCGAGTGCATAATAAAAAATAAACAACGATTCTATTTTCGGTACTTTTTTTCTCTATTGCAGCCAATCAAAATGGAAACGCGATTTCACCATTGCACGATATACCGTTGCATGCCAACGATTCGCAAAATGTCTATAACATGGTAGTTGAAGTGCCACGATGGACCAACGCAAAGATGGAGGTAAATGCATATTTTCTCTTTGCTTCTCAACTCTTATGCGACTAAAAGTGCGAAACCGACACAAATTACAACCAAAATGAACAGTTTACCCTTGAAATGAAATTATTATTGATTTTGCTGTGTTTGCGTGTGGCATTTGATTGAGTGTTTGGGCAATTGTTTTCTTATTTGTCCATAACGATGCAATATGAAGTAATTGCATGCGTCTAATGTTTATCCGCGAAACAGTTAAGCAAGCACAAAAGACTTTGTTCAGTAAATAATCAATGGACATTTTCGACGAAACGGGTGAATTACCAATTAAGGGCCGTTTTTGTATTTCTTTTCTCAATTAATTTGCCATTATGTGAAAGGACAAAACGAACGGTATAACAAAATGACGAATTGTTATCTACATCGAATCTAGAAATTTCTACAGAAACGTTATCTTGACGTTCGTCAACAAATTTTCAAGAGTATTACTCATTGAACAATGATGCCGCATAAAAACCCGAAAATTGAGACCATAAAAAAAATTATGAAAAAAAAATATGAAAATTATTATCAGTCTGGAAAATTCTTCAGCAACGATAATTTGACGTTAGTATGATTAATGTGTTATTAATAATAACGACACAAAAAGAAAAAAACACAAAAATTAAGACCAAGATATGCAATTTGAGAACCGACCGGTTTCCTTTTTCAAGCCACATGATTTTTCGAGGTTTCATTTATCGCTGTCGTAATAAATGCATCGGTTGTTTGTATTATTTGCTAATGTTTAACCATGCATTGTGAATAACAGATCAACCGCAGAAAATAAGCTTAGTTGAAAGGAGCAATCGCTCATAATTATTGACCTTTGCCTGACTAGACCAGCGACACATACTATTCAATTTCTATTTTCTTATTTGTATGCATTGTGCCGCTTTGACATTGACGCAATTTTGTTCAAATGACTTTATGCCGTAATTAAAATATATAATAACAATTGTTATTAATTGCAATTGCATCGTTTATGTTTGCTTGCAGATCTCCCTCGCGGAAACATTGAATCCAATCAAACAAGACGTTAAAAAAGGAAAACTGCGCTATGTTGCCAACTGTTTCCCACATCATGGTTACATCTGGAATTATGGTGCATTCCCGCAAACTTGGGAAAATCCCGAGCATACAGACCCATCGACCGGATGCAAAGGTGATAATGATCCTATTGATGTACTCGAAATTGGATCACGCGTCGCGAAACGCGGTGAAGTGGTACAAGTGAAAATTCTCGGTGTTGTCGCTTTGATTGACGAAGGTGAAACCGACTGGAAAGTCATAACCATCGATATTAACGATCCAAAAGCAAGCCTACTCAATGATATTGGCGACGTTGAAAAAACGTTCCCTGGCCTCTTGAGAGCCACTATTGAATGGTTCAAGGTATGAGTTTTCATTTTGTTTCAGAATAGATTCAACATAGATTGATCGTTTTTAAGAAACTTTTTACCGAAAAGTTTTTTTTTTCGCTTTTTACAAATGCTATTGTTTTGAAAAATGCTTCATTAACACGTTGATTTTGAATTGTTGGAACAGATTTACAAAATCCCGGATGGAAAGCCAGAAAATGAATTTGCCTTCAATGGTGAAGCGAAAAATGCCACATTCGCCACGGAAATCGTCAACGAAACACATCGCTTCTGGCAAGCATTGATCACAAAGGAGGCTACAAGTGACAAAATCTCTTGGTAGGTGCAAGTCCACTTTAATCAATTGTTCGTATTTGTGAAGATTTAAAGAAAAAACGGCATGGAAAATTGTGCATTCGGATAGTTTCTAGAGTGGCTATCTGCTGTTCGCCCTCTGAATTTTTAACCAGTTATTTTTCTTCTATTTTCTAGCGCCAACACTGTTGTAGCTGATTCGCCATTTGTCATTCCTCAGGCTCAAGCTGATCAAGCACTTGCATCGGCAAATGATGGTGGTGTTGCTGAACCAATCCCCGATACAAGTATATGCTTTTTTCATAAAAAAAATCTTTATTCCAAACTGTGATCGATTTGTTTTCTAGTGGAATAAACTGTTGTTACACACCAAAATATTAATGACATATTTTTTCCATTTTCCTCTTCTCCATTCTCGCTCTATTTCATTTAGTCGATACCTGGCACTACATCACACTCTAGATATATCAACAACCATACACACATTCAACAACCAGATGCGCTTGGACGTCAAACGGAGAGCCACACAAACACAATCTAAATTGAATCTGATTGTAAAATTGATTCTCTCTTTCTTTCTTTTTTTTTTCGTTGAACAAATTAATAAAATGTATTAAACGTTTTGTCGTAATTTTTAAATAAATTATTATCAATGGGGTTTTTTGCTGTTTTGCTTAGCGACATCTGTAGCGGTATGAAAACCATTTTTTAAATAAATCAAATGTGCATGCACCACACAATTGAGTTGTTTTTATTTTTTCTGTCTGTATTAAAATATTACCTACTGCAGCTGTTGTTGTTTGCCTATGGTAATGGGTAAATGTTTTTGCTTTCAGTTTGATTTTGTCAGTTTTTAATTACTTTTCTGGGCCCTGGATTTCAGCAATCACGCTCGTGTGAAAATTTCAATTTTTTTCAAAATTCTTTTTTTAAACTTAATACTTGTATTAAATTGGCCAAAATTTGATGTAATATAATTTTGGATCTAATTTTTTTAGTATTACGTTTTTCTCTTTATTGAATAATCAAGTAATTTGCAGATATTAATGAAGAAAATTCAATGAATTCTCACTTTAGAAGATTTTTTATCGATTGACAATTTGAATTCCACCTTATTTTTAGAGTCAATTAACTAATACAACCCGAAATATTGAGATTTGGCAGCAAAAAATAAGTCCGTACCGTTTATAACCACCCTGGGTAATCGTACTGAGAAAATATGTTTTGATGAATTAGAATTTAAATGAATGGTATTCGACCAGGAAGGCTACCAAAATAAATCAATTATATATAGTGTATCTAGGCGATCCTCACTAGATTTGTTCACATTTGGTAGCACCGCAAATCAATCCATCGCATCGGTTTGAATGTGTCATTCAGAAGTATAAATGAGTTAACCTTTTATTGCAGACATTCCGTTTGGCTGCATATTGAGCTGAGCTATTTTCAAATAGCTGGCTGTTTGGTACATTTTGATTTTGTGACGAGCGTGCCATGCAAATTCATGTGGAATGTTGAATTTATGACAAAAAAATTCGTGAAAAGGATTGAAAAAGGTGTCACAAATTCAATATTCCACATGAATTTGAATGGCACGCACGTCACAAAATCAAAATGTACCAAACAGCTAGCTATTTGAAAATAGCTCAGCTCAATATGCAGCCAAACGGAATGTCTGTTTTATTGTCTATGTTCGAAAGTAATGTAAGCTTTCTATGTGAGCATGTGCCTGGGAATCTGTTCACGAATCGATAGAAATTCTTAGTTATTTTCAGTGTAAAAATTCAAAGTCATTTTGAGCTAGTGGTTAGGCATTCTAATCGGGTCGTGTGTCATTGCTTGTGTAAAGCGTAAATTCAATAACATGACAATTCAGACGGCGAAATTCATGCACAATTATTATTTTATTATAATAACTATAATTCAAAACTGCTCTTAAATGTGAAAAATATTGTGCATGAATTTAGAAAAGTGTCCACTTCCAATATACCTACCTATATTAGACTGATCCAAAAAAAAGTTGTCCCTCATCCGGAATGTCCGGCCAGTTTCGAAAAATATACCTCGAAAAAATAGGTTTGGTGCAAAGATAGCATATGGGTACCATATAAAATCAGGATGCAAGCCCCATATCAAATTTTTCATGACAGAGATTTCGGAAGCCATTTTAGATCGCAACATTTCGACCGATTCCATTATTCCAACCAAATTTAGGCAAAAAGTGATGATAGGGTTTTGTTTGGCTTGTCAATATCTATAATTTTTACCAAGACATCAGCCCTTGAAAAAGCATTCTGGGCCAGTTACAGTGTAAAATGTCCGAAAAAATGGCAAATTTTCGGCATTTTTCGCTCTACTGGCCACTTAGGTGGTGGACTTTTGTTCAGTTTTGGACTTGTGTCGTGTAGCCAAAACTTGCACAAAAATTTTGGCACTTGTCAGATTGCGATTTGGATGGAATTTGGCGACAATTGATTCACACATATAAGACAAATTTCAGGCCAAAATGAGCAAATCACAAACATGAGCTTCGGTTTGACAGGTAAAAGCAAATGATTTCTGACTTTCTGCCTTTAAACATCTAGTATGGTCCTTTACGAACATTTTGGGTACTTACATGACCAAATCGAGTGATGTTTTCACATATTTCTGGCCTCATATTCGAGTTCAAATCCCAAAAAATCGACTTTTGACCAAAAAATCCTTAAATATAGGCTTTTTAGGGATAGTCTTGGGGCAATGCTATTTTTTCTCGAAAATATGGGGAGTCTACCCAGACAAAAACTCTCAAAATTGACTTTTTAAGGTACCTCCCCAACAAAATATATGTTTTTCATGGATTTTACTATGAAAATATCAATTTTTGTTCGTACGTATAGAATACTTTGACTTATGCATAAAATAAGCGTAAGCGTGAAAATGGTATAAACACAGCGTGCACAGAGAATACCCGCTGTATATTTGTAGCGTAGTTTTTTTATTGGGTAAAATTATGTTAGAAAATAATAAGAGAATATATTTTGTTTGTTACTTGGAAGTGAGAAAAAATGGAATTATTAGGGAACTATCCTTATATCTTACTTCAATTCAAAACAACGATACGTTTTAAAAACACATACATTCTTCAAGAGAGCTCGGATTACGATTGCAAGTGGCCCAATGTTGAGAGTTATTGGATTTTGCCTATGACTGATCAGATGCATCAAGTCCTTCTGCACGTCAGTTGATTTATAGGTCCAATTGCTATCGTAGAGAATTTTGTCCAATCCATTATCCTAAATATCAACAAAATACCAGGCCAGGAAAGGCAAATATTTATAAGTTGTAAATTGATAGATTATTCGATATTCATGTGATCAGGATAAAATATGTTACCTCAATATCTTGGCCAGTCTGACATATAAAGTAGAATTGAACCCATGACATGAATGCTATGCCATAGCTCGATATGAAACCCATCTGGAAGGTAGAAAAATTGTTGGAAATATTCGAATTTCGTCTGTTCAAATTTGAAATTAAAGGTACGAAAAGGGGTAGTTGACAGAAAATGGCCATCGCAATCGAGTAAGTAAACAGAGCTGGTGTCACGAAGGTTCGCCAGTACAGGAAATCCCCAAGGCACGCCACAAAGCTGTAAAAATAGACAGTGTTTGGAATTCAAACATTCTTCTCAACTCATTTTCATTGCTCATTCAAACTGAAAGGGAATCAATCAAATTACTTACTCTTCATAATCGAGCAATTGTTTCTTTAAATCCTTGAAGGTGAAGCGAAGTTATCGCTCGGATACCTCATCTCTTTCATGCGATTCGAACAGTTCCTTGAGTCGGTTCTTGATCAGAATCGGCGATACTTTTACCACATCTCTAAAAATTACCATTGCCATCGAGGGTGTATAATTAAAATAAGTATAATTATATATGTATGTGTCGCTGAGCATAAAAATAGGAATACAGATCTGATCCAGAAAGAACGAAACATGAAAAAGTTTATTCTAGAATAAACTATTTCTCGAACAGATCTGTATCCCCATTTTTATGCCCAGCGACACAATATATACATCTTTGCATGAGATATTTGCCTCGTATCTCGTACCAGAAACTAATCCCATTTTTATTCTCAACGACACATGTGAGAACGTAATAATTATTTTTCTTATCGCTATCATTGTTGTAATTGCCAGGTGCATTTGATGCATACGCTCATAGTGACAATTGATGTAGGTAATGAAATATTTTTAATTGTCTTCATGACATCAGTCATCGACTGTCCATGAAAAGTTTATCATCAAATTATACGAAATTGTGCATATGTCATATCACCCGTTGGATTACCAAACTATTTTCGTTCATAAGCTACCAAGTGGGGCCATTATGCACCCTAATTTCGTTTTTGGATAAAAATTATAATTTTTTTTTCATTTGCAGCGATTTGGGATCTTCTTGCTGTATTACATCACAAAAGTCCTTAGTAATTATGTTGGTAGAAAAATTACTTGAATTGAGTTGGATATATAAAAAAAATTGACTCTTGTGCTACGGTCATAGGTCATATTGATTCCGCTAGGTAGTCCAACGGTTAATCGTGTGCATATATTCTAACTTAGCACTGAGTAATCAATCGATTATTTTGGGACATAGTCAACTGACTAAAAGTGATTATTCGGTACAAAAACAAAGATCATAGTTTAATAATAAGTTGACTGCAGTCAATAATGTCTCAAATTAAACAATTGGCCAAAATTTCATCGTAGTTGACAATTTTCCAAACAGAACATCAGCTCAGCTAACTAATGTCATTTATTAGATTTTAGTTACAGCCATTTGTTTTCCACACACGTAGCCATTTCGTTTCGAACGAAGTTGTTCTTTAAATCACAAGATCACACTGCCAAAATGGTATGGTTTTTTTTCTCTCATCAAATGTAACGTGAGTTGACAATTGTAGACTTCGTAGTAAATAAATGAATAAAAATTGATTATAGTTGCCGTAAGCACATCAGAATGTTCTTCGTAGACAAATTGCATACCAACACAAATCAGTGTGCTTATTTATTTATCTAATTTACTAATTTCTGTAACATATTCTGTTGGTGGGAGAAAGTTATGAGTCAAAATTTGTTTCTTTAAACACCACTCTTTTCATAAAAGTGTAGGGAATACAATTTTCTTACTAAGGCTAGGTTGTTTTTTTGTGGATAAAATTTTCAGCAATGTTGTTCATTTTAACAAGACCTTTTCCGAAGAAATCTTTTAGAAAAATGTCCAGCCATTTACACGGTACGATTTCCAAATGGTTTGCCAAAGAATAATTTGAGCAGTTTGTCATAAATCTTTCCTATTATGAAGTAAATCAAAATGAATGGTTTGAGATTTGAAACTCGACCTCAATAAAAAAAAACTTCTTTCATTGAACACTCAAGGGACTGGATTATATTGGATGTGATGGAATTATATATACCGTTATAAAGCCAACTGTTGTTTTTAATAAATGCATAGCAGCAGATGTATTTGATTGTATTCCGATACAAAGTCAATCCGAAGTCAACAAATCATGATCCAGTGCCGGTATTCTAAGTCATTCCGCAAAAATCGTTCGGAATTATTTTTTTCGTACATAAGACCATATTGGAGTGAAAGAGACAGATTCCACTATTTTTCAGCGTTCCACCGGAATTATTTCGATAACTCAAGGAAGAGTGGATTGTGTGAGAAATAATTCCGGTGGGACGTTGAAAAATAGTGGAATCTCTCTCTTTCACTCCAATATGGTCTTATGTTCGAAAAAAATAATTCCGAACGATTTTTGCGGATTGTGTTCCAGAATACCGGCACAGCTTGGTTGAGCGTGAAAAAAGGCGAGCATATTTTCGGCAGGTTTTCTAATGATAAACATGAATTTCTTTTTTCCATCAAATAGTTTGCAGTATGCAGTTCAATTCGAACTGAAAACATGTTTCGCTTGTCGCATTATACAGAATTCATGACCAAGAATTGGAACATTAACTGAAAAATTGATTTCCATTACAAATGTATTTAATTCATTAACATCGCGAAAAAAAAAGAAAGCCACTTTTAAACCTTTGACGACCAAGATTGAACGGATGGGAATTCTGCAATTCTGATTGCAGATTCGTGCTCAGCGACCCCAAAAACCATAATAAATTTTTTTATCAAAAAATTAATATTTTTAACTAGAAATATGAAAAAAATGATGGGACATATATGTCCCATCGGTCGGTAACGGTAACTACCTTTGTATGGAAAAAAATAGGTCTCCCATAAGAACAACGTGTAAAAAAAATTCGTTTTTAAATTTTTTAGAATCGTTTGGAAACGAAAATGTTGGAATGATTTAAACATTACAAAGTTGTCATTAAATACTAAAATAAAAGTTCATTCCTTTAAAATAACTCAATATAAAAGGTTCTTTACTTTAATACCTCTAACAAAAAATGGTTTGAATTATGCTTTGTTGTGCCCATTTAACCACGAATTTAATGATATTTTTGTAAATTTTTGTGTTTGAAAATTCGCGAAAAATGGTCAAAATACAGGGAAATACGGGGTATTTATTTACCTTTACCGAACAATGGGACACATATGTCCCATCGCGCCAAACGCAATAAAAAGTGAAAAAAAACGTTTTTAATAAATAAAGTCGATGATTTTCGGAATGTAATGGACATTTCGCACAATATTCGGAATTTTCAGCTTTAAAAGTTCCACCGTTAAAATTATTATTAAATTATTTGGCGAAACTTGAAAAAAAAGTCAGGTTTTTTTTACTATGGTTCTATCCAAGTGCTTTTACAACAAATATCCAATACTTTGGTACTTTCTGATAGGTACATTAATTCTCTTTCAAAAGAAATCAATTTTACTCAAAATGGTTGAAAAATGTAGAAATTACAGATGAAAAATAAAATGGGACATATGTGTCCCATTGGTCGTCAAAGGGTTAATACGGAATTTTAAAAAAAGAAATTTCGCGTTGTTTCATTAACAATTTGAACTAAAAGCTCTTCGCTTTCATTGGAACCATTAAAGCTCTTTGAATATCAAATAAAGTAAAAGCAAGCGTTTTTTCATGTTGTTGAAACGAGAGTGAATGAAAAGGTTTCTATAAAAGCTTAATGCTGATACAGACAGAAGAAAAAACGAAATACGCTGATATCCTTGCAAATGGAATTGCATTGAATAATTTGGGTTCAGTGGCGTATTCAGTGAAAATGGATGAGCGACGGTGGGGAAACATGGATATTTTACGTAATTTATTATTGGAATTTGCATTTTTTTTCGTTGCTTTCATTCAGATGCATTTCATATTACACAATGCAAAATGAGCTAATAACAATAATGCACATCCACAACACAGGAGCCCATCGGCGGGCACGACACCTCATCGGAAGTAATGCGCATATATATTTTGTCTACCAAAGGAATTGCTCTCCAATACATTCACATACATATACATATACACAGACACGCACATCACGTATCATCCATTCGCTTTTACGAACAACATGCATATACATGTATACGTGTGTCTATGACACTTCAAAACTTGTGTACACGTACAATTTCCATATTGTACAAACACAAATACGACACACGCACACTCACCACACACACATACACATTCACAAATATACACGACGAGTCGTCGAATCGTACTCTGTGTGTATATTCTAACGAAGTGGTAAAAGCGTTTGTGAAAGGAAAAATTGATTTTGCACTCGCTCACAATTAAATTTCTAAATTCAATTTGAACGTGCATTCTTTTATCAAATTAAATCGATTTTATTTTGGCATTCGGCAACGACTCGATAGCAAAAGGCTTTCATCGATTCTCGTTTCGCAGACAATTCAGCAGTTTTGTGTGTGAAAAGAGGGAATTTGTGTTGTTTCTGGTGAACGAAAGAAACAAACAACATACGAAGGAATTTTTTTTTCTTTCGGTGGGGTGCATTTACGTGTACTGAGGGTGTAGTAGAGTAAAAAGAACAACGAACCGAATTTTTTTTTTCATTTTTACTTCCCGTTTTGCGGAGAGAAAGAAAAAAAACATAGCAGGAAACAAACGCGAAAAGAAAAATTCACGATGAATTTCATTTGGGCAATATTGGCATTGTCAATTTTTACAAACGATTGTTTAGCAAAGAAGAAAAAGCTCGATTTGGACTTTGAATTTGTTGATAAGGTATGGCAATTTTTTTTTCTTCATCAACATAATCTCTCCCACACTCCCTCTCTCTCTCTCACACACTAGCTTTCATTCAGTGTCGAGTGTGTCTGTTTTGATTCAATGGTTTTGAATCTCTTTTTATTAATTTCCATTTGTATAGGTGGAGAAAGATGTGCAACGCAAAAGAAAACAATGGATATATGACCCAAAAAGTAAAAATTTCTTTCTTCCTCTTTTTCTTCATTGAAATGTTTTGGCTTTTTTTTTGATTGTCATACATTTGTTTTGTTTGTTTTGCAGGCGACCTATGTCAACCCCTCAATTGTAAAAAGCGTGAATTGTGTTTACTTGAAGACGCTTTTACCGCACTTTGCGTATCAAAGGCTATGCTTCACAAAAATCGGTTCGTATTGCAACAAAATTCGTATTATTTTACGAATAAAACTCAAATTGGCATTACACACACGATAATACAATGAAAGCTAAAAAAAAAAAAAAATGTATTTTATTCCATTTGAATCTGTGTACAGCGATGAAATCATATCCGTATCAACTCAGAAAGTAGCCAAAGTTGGAAGCGATGGTAATGACAACATTGGCAGCCCCAAATTTTCGGACGAAATTTATCTAACCGATGACTACTATGGCAACTCAAAGTAAGTGATTATGTGTTTTTACTTGTGATACTAGTAGAAGGAAGTGAATACAAAAATTTTGTCAGTTCACAGAGAAAATGTGGTGAAATTTCTTGATTAAATCGATTCTTTACTCTACTCGATTGAATTATTGAATTGTAATTGTTTTTCTTTTTCGTAGGAAGTGCAAGCCGTGTCCAAGTGGTAAACAAACGTCATTCGTGTGCGGTTCGGATAACCGCACATATTCATCGGGTTGCCGCTTAGATTATCACAATTGCGTTCATAATTCACCGATAAAAGTCAACTGCAAAGGATTTTGCCCATGCAAAGGTATCCCAACTTTCCTACCTGTTCATTTCAATATTGACTTGGTTGTTTTTGCAAGAGACAAATTCTTTCGTAAAACAAATGAAACCCATAGTTTCTCCTATATAGACGAGAAGAATGCTTTTCTGCGAAGTGAAAAAGTTTTGCGGAAGAAAGGCTGATTTTTATGGAATTCTGTTTTTTTGCTGCAAAAATTTTTTTTCGCCGTCAATGAGTAGTTAATGAAGAAGTATTTATTGTGGGTATGTGTGTAAAATGCCAAAGGCGACACCTAGGGGCTTCTATGTCGGTTTGGCATTCGAATTTTTATTCACAAATTCGCCGCTGCCATATGATTTCTATGTAAACATTCGCACTCGCATCCGTATAGCAGTCGTATTTCGCTGTTCTCGAACATTCTCACGAATGAGAGTGTAAATGTTTACATAGAAATCGTACGGTAGCGTTGCGAATGTGTGCACAAACACGAATGAACGAATGAATTATGTAGTCACAAGTTCGCTGTCATAGCCGCATTCGTCGCATTTGCAAACATTTGCATTTTTGTTCTAAAATGCGAATGCATTCGCAGCATCCGCAAGAGATAAATCCATTTTGGGCGACACTTAACTCATTTTAGAATTCATTCAATGTTCGCAAACTTATTTCGGAAAATTGATTGAAAAAGTTGTAGGTGAATGTGCACCGCAAGAGCTCACCACCATCGGAAATCGTTTGTTGGATTGGTTCTCGGTTATTATGACCGACACAAAGAAACAAAAGCGTCGCATTGCCAAGTCTGAAGGTAATTATTTCCACTGAATTTAATTCAATTCTTCTTCTGGTATATAGGGTGGCAGAGAGCCCAGGCAACAATGGAATAAACCGCAAAATTACACACTAATTTAATTAAAAAAATCATTTAGCTCATTTTCCGGCTGCTTGCAAAATCGAGGCAAAATGGATGTTTGGCCATTTGGACATCAATAACGATGGTTCATTGTCGACATCGGAATTGTTCGACTTGGAACATGATCAAAATGAGCGATGCATCAAGCCGTTCATTGACACATGTGATGTGGACAACGATGGCGCGTTGTCAACACGCGAATGGTGCCGTTGCTTTGAAAAGACGGATCGCCCATGTGCAGCTGTACGAAGACGAATCAAGTATGATTTACTGGCCAAAGGTATGTGTATAATAAATGTGTTGGTGCGACCAATGTGGGTGCTGGAAGGGTGCGGGACGGGCATCTGTAATTGAATTAAGCTCATCATAATATAATATTATTTTTAGATGCATATGTGCCCGATTGCGATATGCAAGGGTTTTATCGACCAACACAATGCCACAGCAAGATTGGTATCTGCTGGTGCGTCGATAAGCATGGCGTTGAATTTGCCAATACACGCAAACGAGGGAGACCGACTTGTGGTAAGACTTAACAATTAGCTAATCATTTTGACCATTCATGTCCAATTTTTCATTAAATGCAACAATGCTAACGAACATTCTATTTTCCATTTGTGTTTCTTTTTTACCCATCGTGCTCGCGTGTCGTTCGTGTTGCTCGGCACACAGATGAAGTCACCAAGAACGTAGTGTCCCAACCGTCCGACGATGAAGATGACGATGATCTAGACTACGATGATGCTGAGGCGAGCGCAAATGGTCCACTAAACTACTAAAAACAAAGCCCATTACCAGCTTTCAACATTATATATCTCGCACAGTGTGTGCGCGCGCGCGTTCACTCTTTCATCCCAATGCGACAAAATCTCCCCTCCCCCTAGAAGAAGAGCAGAAATAAAAAAAAATCGCCTAAGAAAAACCAAATTGAAACGCAAACCACATAGACTGCATTAAAATCCAATCAATTTGTTTATTTAGCGCATTTTTTTGTTGGTCTTTCATCTATATCCGTCTTATATAGAGATTTAAAGCATTTTTCTTCTTTTTGGAATATTTTCTACAATTTTTCAATCACTTTCGAAGAAAAAAAACAATGTAACACATCCGTCAGGTTTATAACCGCACTAGATTTGTTTTTTTTTTTGCTGTCGTGTAGTTGGTTTATTTTGTTGTGGTGATGGTGGTGATGGTGATTTTGCATCACACCTAAATCCAAACCATTTACAACCTAAAACTTTGTCTGTTTAATTTCGTATGAGAGATTTAACGGTTTAAGGTTTCGTTTTCGTTCCGGTCTTATTTTTTGTTTGTTTCGTAGCAGTTTTGCGATTATAACGATTAATTTCAATTGAATGTAGAGTGTGATCGGAACCGAGAAATTCATGATTTTATCTTTTTCATTTTTTTTCTCTAAATGTTTGTGTGTACTTTTCGTAAATAAAAATTGAAGTAATTCAGTTGAATGGGAAATAAATTAACTAATATTCTACCAATAAACCAAATTATATCCCCTTTTTTCAGCAGAAAAGAAACAAAAAAATTCAATAAATTTAAATCACACGTAAAATTAAGAACTAAGCGATAAGATCATGGTAGACCTAACTTATGAATTAGTTGAACTAAATCAGAAAACTTCGAGAGAAAACAAAAACGAATATTAATTCACAAATTCTAGATCTTAAATTATTCTATAGATATATATAATCTAGTCGATTAGAAGACGAAGTCGGTCGGTTGGTCGGGTCGCGATCAGGTTGAAAAAAAAACAGAGAAAGAGAGAGAAAAAGTTTCTTGATGCTAAATTACCGTTTGGTCACATCGAAATCACTTTTTGCGAAATCAGAATGGTTTTTTCACACGAACAAAAAAAATATCATTGACCAATTAGCGGCCAATCGACTGACCTAAGCTGTAACACAAAAGGCCAATGAATATATATATATATTAAATTAAAATATGGAATCAAAATCATTTTCTTGGCTATAGCGCATTTATTGCTTGTTTTTTTTTTTAATTCTGGAATGAATCATTTTTTTTTAAATTTAATTCAATTTGGTCTCAAGAGGTTAATTTTGGTTTTTAAATTCCGCAAAAGTGGTGTAATCAAATAGAGTTAAAAGTAATAACTGGCGAAAAGCACAGCTGAAAAAGCTCCCCGTCCCCAGTTCATTTAGTTAATTGGCTTAACGGGGCTCTTTTCTCTTAATGGGAATTTGAAGCCACCGCCCGTTTTTTTTCCTCCTGATTTTTTTTTCGTTTTATTTTATTTTTTTTTTTTTTTTTGGTTGAAGAGAATACAATTTGCAATAGATAAGTAAATAGATATAACGGAAAAAAGATGCGAAAAATGTTTTAACTACTGGAAAAATTGTCTCACTAAAATCCAAATGGTTTCTTCGTTCATTTCGTTTTCTCTTACATTGGTCTCAATTGGTATTCAATTTTCTACGTGTGTGAGTGTATAGTTTGAGTATATTAAATATTCGAACAGCATTTGTCATATCAATTTTTGGTTTGTTTTTCTATTTTCGGTTGTTACAATTGTTTTGTGTTCGTATTTTTATTCTTTGTTGTACTACAATGGAGTATGAAATGAAAAATTATGAAATTTGTTTTTAATTGTAAATTTTTTCACTCATTTTCTCGTGTTGTTTTTTATATATTTTTTTTTGTTAATTGTAAAAGTTCAAAGTAAACAATAAATGGAAGACAACGTTTGAAAGATCTTTAAAATGTTGGTTGTTTTTTTCCCCTTCTTCACTGACTGTGTGTTAATATGTGTGTCTTTTTTAAGCTTTTAATATCAACTTTGAAGAGTTGCTGTTGAGGGTTGCATGCGACCAAAGTGCAGAAAAGAACATTAAAAAAAACGAAACTTTTGGAAGTATTATAAATTTGGTGTATTGTGTTGTAAATATTAATCCCCTGGTGTGACAACAACGATGTAATGGAACACAGTAACAGCAAATACACACCGTCGGGCATGCGACGACGAGATGGATGAAAAACGCTGCGGTCATGACAAAAGAGAGTGTGTTAAATTTGAAGTGCTAGTCATTTTGTGGAGATGCTTTTCATCTGCTTACAAGTGCTGCTATTTTTTTCGGGGAGGTGGAGGCGGCTGTTGAATAAATGATGAAACCAGGCGAGTAGTTGATTAATTCCATCATCGCGCCAAACCAACTAGCTAACCAAGACAAACAAACATCTTTTGTTGTCAAAAACAACACACACATATACATTAAAAATGCAATACTCAGCATACGGCTCTCACATTTTGTTGGCCTTCAAACTTTCTTCCACTAGTCACTCATTGTTGTCTTTTCGTGTGTTACCGGGAATTTCGCATATATTTTATACTATAATAACATCTGTGTGTGTGCTGCTTAAGCATTTTGGCTAATGGTTCTCATATTTAAGGCGAACTTTGAATAGTTTATGTACGTGGTTCAACGCAATGAACTCACTTACTCGGTTAACCATAAAACTGACCATACCTATTATTCTTAATTAGTTGAAAAGTAATTTCTCATTCCTGAATTTTTCTCGCTCTGAATACAACAATAACTGGCTGAATTGAGTTTGTGTGTTCGTTTTCCCTTCTTATTTGTTTTGGTATTTTTTTTTTGGCTTGTGTTGTTCAAAAGTTACCTATATGTCTATATTTTATTTATATCCTTTATGTAATATTATATTTCATAAACAAATAAATTATACACAACACAATTTGAATTGCCACATAAGCAAATGTTTTCGAATCGGTTCGGATAAATCGGTCGGTCGATCGGTCGATGTGGAGCTCCCAACAACAACAACACAACAAAAAGCATAATTTCAAAATGATTTTATCAAAATAATTTAAAATTATGATCAATTTAATAACTCGATTTTCCCATTTAATGGACCAACCATGCAACAAGATACATGCGTTCGTATGCAAACAAAGAGCGCCGACGAGATACAGAATGAGATATATTTGTCTCTTGAGCGGGGCGGTGTGGCATGGCACGCGCGCTCCTGTATGTGTGCGTATCTGATGGCCGCATCGTGTTATCATAACATTACACTAAATATATTGCAAAATTGGATGGCAAATGGCATAATACACCAAAATTCCAGTACATCGTTGACAGAATATCGTGATAAATAGATAAAATAACTACCATCCTCTCTTATCCATTACCACCCCCCCCCCGCCCATTCTCGCCTCGCACCTCAAACACCATTTCTTATTTATTATTCATTTTCGAATAAATTAGTTGCGGGAACACGATTACAAACCAAAAATAAATACAACAACACCAGCAACAGCGGTAGCGAAATCAACAACAATGATGACAAGTTGTCATTGACAACGTTGAACAGCAGGAAAAAAAATAGAACTGGCCGAAAATAAAGTACACAAAAAGCACCGAAGCGAGCTCAGTGCATTCAGTATTCAAATATGCAAGTATATTCTCAATGAGTGTCCCATTGCACACAGTGGGCCATCAATTATTCAATGTCGAAAGGAATACAAGCGAACCAACCAACGAACGAACACACGAAAAAAAACTATTCTGATTATAATTTCATGGCATTCTCTTCAGTGAATTTAAATAGATCTGCTTTTGTTGTCATTGTTGCCGCTGCCGCTGCTGCTGCTGCTGCTGCTGCTCATGTTGTTATTATTATTATTGTTTTTGTTTGGAAATGAATTATGGACATAATCCTTAAAATTCTGCTTCTACTGCTGCTGCTGACAAACTACTTATACGTTAAATTCATGTTGTTGTTGTTGTGGTTGTTGCTTTTTTGTTTAAATTACCAAATAATTTGCCTAAAATACTATGTTTGTAAATTCTTTTCAATTGCTTTTTGTTATTCCAAAAACCGAATGGAAGAGAGTGGACCAAAACCAAAACAGAACCAAATAAAAATGAGCGAGTATGTAAGGTATTTATTAAGCCGAAAATATTTGAAAATTCGGTGTATGTTTTTGAAATTTGTAAAACATCATAGTTATTCAATTTTCTCTCTGTTGTTCATTTATTATTTTTATTATTTTCTGTTTAGCAATGAATTATACGTTCGCTACAATATTTTTTTGTTTTGTTTTAATTTATCATCTTTGTTCAATATTCGCTACGATTTGTGTTGTCCTATGTATGTTGTATCGCAAAAGTTAACTTGTATTTTGTTATTCTCTTTCTATATATAATAGATATCACTTAGTGAGTGCGAACGAATTTGTATGTAATGTGAGTGTAAGTGTGTGTTAGTGTGGTTGTGTTACAAGAAGACCATACGCGATATTGCTTTGGAATTCCGAACATGTGCAACGGTAGATGGCTTCAAAAATTGCATATATTTAAATCTTGGAAGAAAACGACGAAAAAAAAAATTTGCATGCGACAAGTCTTTACTACTCAATTGCTCTTTCATTTTTCTTATTTCTCTATCATTTTTTTTTCGGGCAGCGAAAATAGTTCCTTAAACGACAATATAATGGTTTCTCTATAGACCTCTAAGAATGTTTTTCACGTAATGTGTGGCTCCACTTTTGCAATTTAGCGTTTTTCATTCGCCGTCCGTTTCTTCGTTCACTCACTCGCTCACCACTTTCTTTTCGTTCTCTCTTTCTCTCTATCTCTCGCTTGCATTCGGTTGGCTTTTACTCCTTTCGTAGCCATATTGTGTGCGATATACAAAAGAAGGTGCGGGCCTTTGTTATTGCATTTACCAGAGTCACGTACATCGAATGTAAAATGGAGGTTAATTTAAAAACTACTGTGTGTTTGTGTCTGTGTGCAATATTGTGTGTTGGGTATTAGGCGAAGATATGAGAGAAATTTCGATGTGGTATTATGTGTGTATGTGGAAACTAATGAACATATGAAAGACAAAAAAAAAAAAACGGAACGAAATGGTTCGACCGAACCACCAAAAATAGACGAAAAAAATAATATAATATAACCGAAGAAGAGTATGTTACGCGATAGCCGAAAAATCGTTCACTATCATAATCATATGCTATGTATGCACATTGCATATTTTGGTATGGTACATATGCATCGTGCATAGAATAACATTTTTATTTCTACTATCTTTATGCATATGATGATAATAATGATTTTTGTCATTTTTTCGTTCTTGATTCAATTTTTTTTTGTTTCGCAACTTTCTGGTAAATGCTATCTGTGTGTGTATATGTATTCTGTTCTGTTCGTTTTTTCTTCTTGTTAATTTTTGTGTGAGAATATTGATTTGATATTTGTGTGATTTTTTTGTGTGTTATGGTTTTGGTTTGAAAAGTCACAATTTTTACTGTTATATCATATTTGTTTTTTCTGGTTGAACTTCTTGTGTGTGTTTTTTTTTCGCTCTTCATTCGGTGCTATTATCGCTCGTGTCTCACTGTTTATTGTCGGCGAAACATTACAGTTGAAGCATAGACTGTTGCAACCAGAGTAACAGGAACGAGTGTTGTAGTTTTACTTATGGTTATGGTAAATGCGTCATTGCAGGCATCCTTGTTGCAGCAATACGTACGAGTATTCCACACTTCTGTAACAGAAATAATCCCGAAACCAAAAATGGCCCCAAAACACATTTGGAAGAGAGAGAAAGAGAGAGAGAGAGAGAGAGAGAAAACAAAACACACAGAGAGAAAAAAAACATACACAGAGTGAATTGAGCAACCATGAGAACATTCAAAATAGAAAATTTAACAAAAAAAATCCCAACGAAAACACAAAAACAAACAGGGCAAAATCAGCGAAAAACAAAACACACACAAACAGAGAGAGAAAGAGAGGGAGATATATAGTAAATGGAATTTTTGCTGTGCAATGCGTTTTGTTTGCCCGCTCATTGCCGCTCTTGGTCCTGTATATTCGCGCTCGTTCGCTCGATTATCTCTAGCGGATATGGGCTTTTGGATTATGGATTGAGAGGGACTATGGGCTAGATCACATTCAGCAATTGCTCTAACTGCCGACAGACAAACTCTCTCTCACACACACAAACACACTCTGCAAATGAGTGAGTGAATTGATGGGCATAGTGAAAAGTGATGTGAGAACACGAATAAAAAAAAAACACAAATGATTGCAGGTAGATTACCCTCTCTCTGTTTCTTTCGTTCGCTGTCTGTCTCTCTTGCTCCATTGCTTTCGCTCGTTTTATCTATTTCGCCATTCAAGTACGGCGGGGTTTATGAATGAAAACAAAACAAAAAATTATCGCAGAATTAAAGTATAATACGTATAACTGCGGCATGGAGCATCAAATCGAATAACGAAAACGTATGAACAAACACTCAAAAATAATTCCAAACACGCGCTGCATCTGAATCAATGTCGATGTTGATCTGCCCATCAAATTGAAGATTATGGGAAAAAGATAAAAATTGACTGAGAATTCGGTAGCAATCTCTTCGACTTCGTTGCTTGGCGCTGCTACTCTTGAGGGTATTACTGTTGTTGCGGCTGCTGTTGATGCTCCTCCTGCTGATGCTTTTGCTGTCGTTGCCGATGCTGCTGCTGCTGCTGCTGCTGCTGCTACTGCATCTTCTTTTTCTTCTTCGAGGAGAATATCTCATTTACCGCTCTTGAGAAATAAATTTTTCGTGTGCATTGTGCATATGCTATTTATCTGCTCCAGGCATTGATTCGCATGCGAATTTTATGTATATATATATTAATGTATAGATCGAAATAAGAAGAGGCAGAAGCAGCATCAGCAGCAGCAGAAGCAGCTCAGTCAATCTGAGCATATCCATGTGCAAAATCAGCGCTCGCTCGATTCGTTTTTGGCCTAAATGTATTTGGTATTTGCGTCGAGCAGCCGTCGTCGTCGTCGTCAAATATGCATACTTTGTACGCTTTTCTTCTTCTTATTCGTTATATATGTCTTACAAAAGACTGGCTGTTCGCTGTTCTTGTGTTCGGAGAGCAAGAGAGCAAGAGAGAGAGAGAGAGAGAGAGAGAGTCGACAGCTTTCGCTAAAGCACACAATATGCACCAAACACTACTCACCCATCATGTTTCTCTTGCTCAAGCAGAAATTTTGTGCAGACCACTTTTGATAAATGTTTAAAACAGCCATAACATTTGGTGGTGGAGTGAATGATTTGCATTTAATATCGAATGAAGAAAAGATGTGGAAATGCGCGATAGAATTGAATGCCAAGGGAATGTTGATTGGGGGAGGTGGTGTGTGTGTGTGTGTGTGTGTGTGCGAATGTTGATGGGTGTTATGCCATCTGACGCGCGATGGGGATGGGGGACGGTATGAGAGATTTTAAAGCGAACGAGGTGAAGGAGGCGTTCGATTCATAGATAGAATTATTGATGATCATTTCTTGAAGTTAAGTGTTCTTACCCTTCTCTTGGCACATTGCGACACAGTCTCGCACCACGCTCAACTCGCTCTCGTATTTCTGTAACATTTGAGAGAGGAAAGAAGAAGAAGAAGCAGAAGAAAAAGACGAAAAGAAAGAGAGAAAACAACAACAACCACATGAGAACATTTACAATTGTAAAAGCATCAATCGCTCAGTGTTCAAGACGAGATGAGATGAGAGTATAAGAGTTGGAGTGCAAGAGACGAGTGGAACATCAATGAATTAATAATTGAAACGAACATGTTCCACTTGGTATTTCGCTCTCTTCCACACTCTTACTATCACTCTCTTACTCTCTCTCTCTCTCAATGGCAAATTGTAGTTTGGCAAACAAATCGATTCACCCAAGGGAAATGGTAATTACAAGCGATTTTCATATGTTTGCGTCGTGTGTGTGTGTGTGTGTGTGTGTGTGTGTGTGTGTGTGTGTGTGTGCAAACACGTACAATTGTCTAGACTAGACAATTTCCGTTTTGCATTTCCGACACACACACACACACACACTACACACAATTTCACTACTGCTCTACCAAACTACAACAAATAACAACAACAAACACCACCAGAAAATAAATAAGCAAAAAGAAAAGAATGAAACAAAATCAAAATAAACGGAAGGGAAAAAAATGAAACAACAATTGAAACCATAAAGCAAACGAAACCGAAAAAGAAACGGCAGATTCATGCTGTGAAACGAGCGCACGTTTCCGCTAAACTAACCGAAAAAGAAAGATGAACAAAAATAAGCGCGCTATCAACAAACAAAGCAAGCAAAGTTTTCCAAACACTTACAATGCAATAAGCATCCGATGATCGTGGGCAATCCTTTAAATAAAACGGTGCCGTTTGTTCCGTATAATTCAAACACGGTGTAATCGAACCGACACCATCATTATACTGTCCGCATTGATAGCACTTCAATGCTTCGGCAACAATCAACGATTTTGTGACTAAAATTATGAACAATAATTTGCTAAGGCTCATCGTTGCAACCATTGCTTCTGTGTATCTTGGCACTCGCAACTCTACTGATACTGGGTACGCGCGCGGTGTATAACTGTTTAATATTTGCTCACTTCGACGAAAGCAATTTCTCTCTCTCTCTCTATATATATATATATTTGCGAAGATATTTTCCCAGCACTCGATTCGATGCGCTCTATCGCCTCTTTATCTCTCGACCTCACTTGTTCGACTCGCTCGCTTGCTCGCTTTCGATATATTTTATTTTTTTTCTAGAAAATTGTGTGTACTCAGCACCAGGCGAAACCAATTTAAACCTGAAGTCGACCAACCAAATAAATATTTGTACAAGTTGTTCAACAACTATCGGAATTATTGATGATATGTGGATAGAACTTTGATAGTTTGATTTCTACTTGCACTTGGTATGTGTATACAATTTTCCACAAAAAGTTTTTCCGGCCACTTTCATTCACGCGTATTAGGGCAATATTCAATGTATAGTATTATTTTTATTTCTTAAAATAGGAGCAAAAAATAACAAACTTGGCGTTGAATGAATTTTTTATGAATTTGGTTTCCAAGCGTTTGCTCCACTGAATTCAAATTACTGTTTTTTTTTTCTTCTCTTTTTTCATTAAACGGTTCTTAAATTTTAAATTTCTTTCAAATTGAATATTATTTTTTTAATGAAAGTTTATTTCTATTTTTCACACGCGTCTGTTGTGTGCATATTCGAAGTTCGTTTTTAGAAATGTGTTTAATCTCCTCTTTGTGAATTGACTCGGTAATTAATTTTCGATTGGATATTTTTTCTATTTGAATATGGTTATTTTTCTTCTTCTTTTGCTGCTCCGTTTCTCGATCTCAACGTTTTCTTCTTGAATATGTATATATATATATCTGTGTTACGTGGTGTCTTGTATGGTCTGACGTAAAATTGGATTTGCGTGTTGTTTTTTTTTTAGCGAAACGAATAAAAAGCGACGACAAAGAACGGGAAATATTCAAGCACTCAATTGGCAAATATCGCAATTTTCCGTTGTTACGGTACCAGTGTTCGACGTACACTAAAAGCGCGAGCCGAGACTGTGATGTGCACTAGAGAGTAGAATAGAGGATGAACGCGGAGAATGGTCCATCAACAACTGTTCCAACTGATATGCAATGTTTACGTAGCTTATTCAAAACAACAAAACAAATAAATATCTCTCACCCAAAAGCTTTCTATTGCACGTTCACTCGCCTCGTTCCTTTCGCACGTTCGTTGGTTCATTCGTTCGTTCGTTCGCACGCTGGCTGGCTTTTCTCTCTATCTCTCAACTCGTAACACTGAGAACTTTGGAATGCACACACCACCAGGATGCTTTTCCTTATAAAATTGTTGCGCTTACAAACAAAGCTTTTTTTGTAAAATGTGTCAAGTTGAAAATAATGTGCCTCATGTGCACACACACACCGAACGCAAGTTATGAACGCGGAAGATAGAGAACGAGAGTGGGAGCCAAAGAGAGAGTGAGAAACGTGAACGAAGCAAGCTCACACCGTATGTTACATGCATACAGAACGATGTGCATCAAACACAGAACTTCGGCTCTCTCACTTATATGTGCATGAGGCGCACAAGATGCCTGCTGCTGCTACTTGCATGCATGCTTGCTTGCTTGATTTTTGCTTCGTTTGGCTTTGCGTGTACACATTGAAAAATTTATCGCTTCGGTTGTGAAAGGTCAAAGTATTTATTACGAGTTTCAAGAGCACTTTTGCTTCTTGGCCTCTCACTCCCTGTGTTTTACTCTCCACCCCTCTCTCTCTCTCTCTCTCTCTATGTTGTTATATCACCAAGGGACAGAAAAAAATTGAAGCAAAAAAAAAGAATTTTTTTTTGCTCCCAAGTACCCGAGTACTTACCATATAATTTTTTCTTGTTATTTTCATTTGCCTGTCGTTTTGGTCAAATGTCATTTCCCGATAAGATAATCACTCGTTCGGACCCAACCGACCAACCGTTAAACAACGTTAAAACATTCGCTCGCTCACGTCATTTCTGTCTTGCTACATAGATAGATCGGTGAAAACACGGTCTTTGAGTTATCAGTTTTTATTTCAGTTTTATTGTTTTAACAGCTACGTTTTTTTTTATTGCATCATAAGAAAACATGTACACGAATAGATTGCTGTCGAATGGATACAAAACAAATAGTCTAATAAAGTTAAAATAAATTATCCTTTTTACTAGGTTGTTACAGTGCCAGTTGAATCTCTCAACATCAACAAAAAAAATTGTTTTTTCTTCTTATCCTTTGCTCCCGATTTTTTTTCTGCCACTCGAAGATTTGTATTCAAATCGGTGAGACGTTTTTTCTGTGAAATTCGTTTGTGTGCCAAGTTTTCTGTTTTTTTTTTGTTTGCTTGTTATATATCCGTATAATGTATAAGTTTTTTTTTGCTGCTTCTTTCTTCTCTGTTCAACACTCTTTGATATAGACAACAACGAAAATTGAAGTATACACTGCACATGACATCCAAAGTGATAGATTACTGTGGAAAAACAATTAGAGAGAGAGAGGGGAAAAAAGAAGAAGAAAAGGAATAGAATGGACATTAGAAAAAAAAGAATGAATCGTTGTAAACGAGGAGAAGAAGAGTGAATGGATGATGATGGCGGATGGACTTGAGGAGAAGAAATATTAATTTACCACAAATCTGTTGACCTGTATCTTCTCACGACTGGGCGAAGACGGTGCATTTCGCAATGATTCAAACTTGGCTCGAATGCTGGATCGAAGAAGAGACAACAATACAATATATTAGAAAATTGGTTACGAAAGCATATACGTCTTGTTCTTCTTTTCGTTTTTTGCTCTTCCTGTTTGCACATATAAATATATTTTCATCGAATGGGTGTGTGTGTGTGTGTTACATACCATCTGGTGTCGATCTGCGATTGATCTTCGCCATCATACAGTTGGTCTTGTTCACGTTTGATTTCTTTTTGTTCCCATTTCTCAAATTTGGCACGTAATTGTTTGGCACGGGCTGCTGCCTGTGCTTGCTGCAATGCTTCGTCCATGGGACGTTGATTGTTGTCATCATCGCTGTCCGATTCATTGTCTTCGTCGCCGCTTTCCCCCTCCGAATCGCTGTATTCACTGCCCGATCGACTATTTCGGCTATCAATCATACGGCGGCCATCGTCTGGCGGGGGTGTAAAGCATTTCAATGGTTTCATACCGCCTTGATTGTTCCGATTACCGCGCACATCTTCTTCCATTTGCCGAAACACCGACAACATCTTTGTGGTGGTCGAACTTCTTTGTGCCGCATTATGTGATACATCAACGTACATATTATTAACGTTCGCGGGTGTTTCAGCCGCAGCAGCATCATCATCGTCGTTGTCATCATTGTTGTTTTGTGGTACAACACCGTCTCTTGGTGGTGTCATTCGAAATGGTCGCTTTTCTTTACTTTCCGGTTTGTATGTTTCGAAAAATTTGAATTTATTCGAAATGTCGGCCGTTTTAATTTTTACCTCGTCAATTTTTTCATCATATTTCACAACGTCAGCGCCATTTGTCTGCAGCAACAACAAGAAAATTAGCCCAAAACGTATCGAGAATGAATGAGAAATAGTGAGGAAGAGAGAGAGAGAGTGATCAAATGAACGATTGGCTAAATTATTTCTCGAGGGAGAGACAGAGTGGGAGGTGGCTTTAATTTATTATACACGGTGCAAAGAGTCAGTTGACTTACATTTTCTTTTTGTTCGGGCGGCCAAACTGGATTTATTCGCTTGGCGGAGGATGTTGGTCCCGGTGATGACGGTGTGTGTTGCGGTGATGCGGACGCCTTTGCATCAATTTCCATGAAAATCGAACGGGATTGCTTGCCAAGACCTAACAAATTAATGACATGGGTAAAAGAAAAATTGCAACAATATTCGGCAATTTTACATTTTCCAGCCGTTGATTTATTTCACTGTATGCTCCTTTTTTTCTTTCTTTGTGTTTTGCCACTCACTTGGTTCACTTGGCCAAATGGTATGCGGTTACATTTTTTTCGTTCGGTTTGATTCGGTTCACGCGCGCTGTGTGCGCATACCGTCGTGTGTGTGTGTATAAAATGGAAATAACTTACCATGCTCAAATACAGCGCTATCATCAATCTGATTCAAATGGCTTTGTTCGTCTTTAAACACCTCTCCATTTTCGAATTTGCTTTTGATCGAACGTGCTTTATCGCCAATGTCAACATCTGGTTTTTTATTGCTGGCACGTACACCTATTTACAACGGGGAATTTAGAGAGATTGAGATTGAGATTGAAAAATGACTGCACGCGACATTTGTATCATAAATACACAGATAGAGAGAGAGAGAGAGATAGAGAGAGAGAGAGCGCCCCAAACACATAGGAAGCAAGAGAGCAAGTAAATGTTGCTCGCATGCACCATAAATATTTTCTAGTCAAATAACCAATACGTACATTGTTCACTGTCGGCTACCGCTTGCTGGTACATTTCTTTTATTTTCGCTTGTTTTCCCATAAATAATCGCGATCGAATACTTTGTATCTCTTGTTTGCGTTCTTCGCGTCGTTCTTCTCTCGATTGCGAATGACCCGATTCGAATTTGCTCTTGATATCGTCCATATTGACGGTGCATATTGGTCGTTCGATTTGTGCTTCTCTGGCACGAATCAGATCGATATCTTCACCATCTTCATTGTGTGCTTCATCATCATCGGATTTATCGTCAGCGGCTAAATTAGCTTCAGCATCACCCACATCCATTCCTTTGGCTTTGAATCTGCAATAACAAAATGTCATTTTATTCTCCGTTTCTTATTTTCACTCTCTCTCTTCATTCAAATTTCAAAACAAATTGAAGCCGGATATGATGCCGGTGACAAATTACTTGGCCAATTTTGATAGAACCGTATTGCCACGTTTCAGCACACGCTCTTCACGATCCAACATATGATGTGGCTCATCCTTTTTGGCATGCTCAAAAATATTATACCGCTCTTTTACATTCAATTGATGCAGCTCACTCAATCCCAAATCATTTTTATCCGATGAACGAACCACATCCGGTGGAAGTTCGACCGGTTGACTTTCACGAATAATCAGTTCGGGTTTTCGCGGTTCTTCTAAAAAGAAACAACAACAACAACAAAACAATTTATTTGTACCTCTTCAATTCAATGTCAGATTGAATTCATTTCTATCCACTATATAATACATGCATGTCAAGCACTTTCTTTTTGTTTGTTTCTTTTACCTGGTTCAGAATCTTCGACAGCTTTTGGACTGAATAGCGATTTGAAATGGAGCTTACAGTACAAAACACCTTCATGGCTTTCAAATGTGTCGACACTGTGAAAAGCGTTCAAAAAATGGAATACATTTATTGGAGCTTTTTTTTTCTCATTTGGCCCATTAGCGCTTGAATACGAAAAGACACACCGAAAAAAGCTAAGCACTTACCTTAGAGGTTTGCTGCATTGACTGCATTTGAAACATTTATTCTTGTGCCAGACACTTTTCTCCGCTTTTATCTCCTCCATTTTGTATACGATTTTTCCACATGATCGGCATGTTTTGTCCCCTTCCGTCGATCCCTGTATCAAAACGTTTCAATCGAATTTAAATGGCCATTAAATCATCTATTTTATCATCGAAAAGCACTCGTACGAAAAAGCAAAGCAGCGCAAGCAAACAAATAAAAAGTTAACAACGTTAACGCTCTTACTAAAAGAAAATGAAAGCAATGACAAAAATGGTGAAAATGTGGTTAGACAAAATAAATTCGATTGTTTTTTTTTTCTTCGTTCCCTTTTTAATGCGAGAGATGAATTGTGACCAAATGAAAAGAAAAATGAAATGAACAAGAACAACAACAATAACAGAAAAAAGTCACTTCTTGGTTATTTTAGCATGAGTCGAGATAATGTAATGGCAGTTAGCGCGGCGCATCATATAAATGATGAATGAAAACATTTACATTCAATTTGACACCTTCATCAGTGCGTACATTTTTCATGTTTTGCTTTTGCAATGCATCAAATTTACTAAAGCTTGATCTCTAAAAAAAAAAGACATCGGAACAGAAAAAGAGAAGAACTGATCAAATAAAAATAATCATTTAGACAGAGAAGAGTAAATACTAAAATTGTGTACAAAACGAACGAAAATCTACATGTGTGTGTATACTTCTACTCGGTCAATGAATGTTTTCTTTGCTGATGAGTGTGAGAGTTTGTTTATTTATTGCATACTCTCGTTTCTGTGAAATGTTGAACAAAGAATGTACTCTCTTGTTGGGTTTCTCTCTTTTTGTTCACATTTCCTTTTCTCTCTCGTTTTCTCATCTTCTGTTTTCGGCGAAAATGAAGAAGAAAAAAAAAACACATGACGAACGGCATCGCTTCACTTCGCAAAGAAACACTTGTCACTTGTCACTCAAAGAGAACATAAATTGACCCCATAACTTGAATTCATTTGTCTAAAACATCTTTAAAATTGGCCTCTCCTCCCCGGAAAAATTCTTCCATTAAAGGACTGGGTAAGGTTTTCGAAAGAAAAAAAAGGGAGAAAAGGAAGGTGGGGTTGTAACTTGGGTTCAATTGTCACTTACAACAGAAATATTTTCCTTTTCATCATTGGTGGACTTTTTGGATTTTTTACTTTTCTTCTTTTTTTCGGTGCCATTTTTCGTGCTATCACTGTGATCACCTGACGATGATTTCTTTTTGTGTCCTGATTTTTCTATGGATGTTTTTTCGGTTGTTACAATGATTTGCTCATCGCCATTTTGAGAATCGCTTTGCTGCAATTGAAAATAAAGCATATGAAAAAACCAAACAAAACTGGTTAAAATAAATAAAGCTGGTTAATTTTCCATGTTTTTTCTTCTTCATCGATTCAATTAATCGAATTACGAATCGAAATTCAATTCGTTGTGCACATTTCAAATGATTCAATTTAATTAGAGCATATCACATGTGCATGTGTACGGCGGATACGTTATTGTGTTAAGTTAACACTGTTAACATGCTATAAAACTAATAAAAACCAGATTGCGCTTCGTGGCGACACACTTACATCGGATTCTAAACTGTTTAGTTGGGTTAGACTGTGTTCCGATTGTTCGCTGATTGCTTCATTCGATGCGAATGCGGTGGATGTATTATTCAAGCTATTATCGCACGATGCACCGCCACCGCCACAATCTTTTTCATCACTAAATTCGGTCTCTTTCACTTCCGTGCAAATATTGATTTGAGTTTTATTATCATCGTCCATTGTATGTGTATAAATGGTGGTGGTTAGTATGGGAATTGGGTTAGAGGTTACAGCGGCTGCGGTGGCGGCGGCGCCAGAGGTATCATTAACATCTAAATCTAAATCGATTGTAGTCTTATCTAAATCATCGGGTGAATCATCTTCTTCGATTGTTTGATGAAAATATGTATAGATTGCGGCTGGTTCTTTACTGGTCGATTCAGACTGATCATCAGTTGGAACATGTTCAATTTTATCTGAGGTAGCAATAGCAACTGTATCGGTTTCTGCATCATTGTCATCTTGACTGGTTTTCGTTGATGATTGCTTGAATGCTTCACCAAAATCTTGGCTGGGTTCATCGTCCGTTGGTGTTGCGGTTGTTGATTTGATCGTTTGCGAAAATATCGCTTGAATGAATGTATCGTCGGATTCGTAGATCTTTTTCATTTTACTCGATTCACCGCTGCTAGTGCTACCACTGCCACCATCCACGCCGGTCACTTCCAATTTGACCGAATCATTGGCCGCCATTTTTTCACCAGCGGCTTTTTGTTTGACAGCAACGGTGGTGTCATCCTGTCCCTCTTCGTTGACCGCATTCGTTACGATCACATTCAACAGTGGTAATGTGAGTGACAATTTTTTCTTCTCACCATATCGGATATTTTCACCGTCGCTCACAATGACATCTGACTCCACGGATGGTATTGTTTGCCCATTCATTTCGAAGACGCAGGTTAAAATAATCAATACAAGCCTTTCGCGGAAATTCTTTCAAAAACGGCAATCAATATACGCAAACCAAATTATCGATAGCAAAATTGGAAAATGCTCTTTTTGTGTGCGGGTTAGACTTCTTAACACTATTTTTGCGTTAGTGAAACAGGGGAGAAAAAGCGGTTTTTGATGAATGAGAAAAATGGATGGAATTCTTATAAGTTTTATTAAATTAATGGCATTCAAATGGCAATCATCGGTTCAGTGGCGATAGGGAATAGAAAGTTCGAAAGAGAGAAAATGACTCACCACTTCCTGAAGTTTCTTTTTTGAAACGGTTATTGTTTTGGACGAGGTGACAGTCGATGATGTGCTTGAAACTTTTGTTGTTTTACCAGTTGTCGATCCAGACACGGACAATGACATGTTTATTGCTGCTCCAAATAGAAATGGCCAACGATAGACAGAGACAGGAGAAAGAGAGAAAATTGTTTGAAATAACAAAAGTTGAATAATTGAACAATTGATTGTGTGCAAATACAAATGTTATTTCTATTTGATTCCCATCTAAGTGACATACAGTCAATGTCGTTAAAATCGTCGATGTATACATTTTTGAACGAATCAATTTCAGGATAATCAGGAATATCCATGACTAAAAGTGTTCAGGTGAAAAATTGTTCGTTCAACCGCCCCCCAAAAAAAAAACAACACATCACCAAACACTCTCGAGTTACACACTATCGTTTGAATTTTTTTTTCTATGTTAATCAGGTTCGAATTTACAACACTGCCGTGTTTATTTCAGCGATAGATAGAGAGAGAGACTGAAAAATTTGCCGTAAATTTTTCGACTGATTGCGTTAAGCTTAAGTAATTTTACACGCTGAATCGGCTATTTATAGCGCATAGCGCGCATATTGGTTTCAGTGTTTCTTTTTCTCTCTCTCTCTCTCTCTCTCTCTCTCTCTCTCTCTCTCTCTCTCTCTCTCTCTCTCTCTCTCTCTCTCTCTTGCACTTCTTTAGACGAAAAATTCTTCTACGTTTGAAGCTATTTTAAGTTTTTATTGTACACACAGAGAGATCCGTACTAAGAAGCAGCATAATAACATAAACTGCAATCGATTGAAAATTGCCGGTCATTTTTATGCATGTACATGAGTGTGCGTGTGTGTCTATGAGGCTCTAATTGCTTTAACGGCGAGAGAAATGCAATTGAAATTGATTCAATTGATGAATAACTCCTTTTTTCCTTCTCTATCTATCCCTTTCATTCCGTCCGTTTGTGCTTTTGTATGCGATTAATACACACAGAACGGAATGCAACAGTTTCGCGTCAACTATCGACAACACGACGAATGAATTTTCGCTTGTGAACAAAAATTTCGACATGATTAAGCTGGCTGCAACAACAGCACTTACACTCACCGCAAATGCTCTAAATTTATGTAAACAAAAACAATTATTCACACTTCTTCAATTTGTCTGAAATGAAGTAAAGAGAGGGAGAGTGAGAGATATGAAAAAAAGAGGCAGTTACGTGGTTTTTCATCAGACCTATATTTAAATAGAATCTCACGTCAACATCACTCCATTTGCGTTACCCATATATAAATAACAATAACAACAACAAAAAGCTAACGGTGGAAAGCCGAATGAGTGTATCATCATCATCATCATCAAACATATCTTTTTTTTGGCTATAATATAATCACAAAAGAGAATTCGCAATTTGAATACCACATATTATGTCCGTGTTTATATACTATAAAATAAAAACACATTGATACATAGATGTGAAGAAAATGAGTATTAAAAAAAATAAAACAGATAAACGCAACACACAACGTCGTCATCGTCGTCGTCGATGCGGCCGCACGGACGATGAATTTAGACATTTTATTCGGTGCGTTGTCATATATTGTGTAGAAGAAGAGAAGAGAAAAAAGAATATGTATGCCGGATAATCCTAGCAATTGAGGTGTAGGTAGGTTTGGTATTTATTTGGGTCAGATATTTCTACACATCTCACACTTTTTCTCGCTCTATCTCTCTCTCTCTCTCTCTCGCATCGGCACTAACTCGGTGAAAATCATTGCGCGACGTATGTATATTGTAATGAGTACTTCCCTGCCCATTTACATTTACTGTGCGTCAATATATTCAACTTTCGCGTAGAAATCATCATCACACATCAAAGCAACGCCATTTCACCACATAATCCATATTTAGACAGACATTATGGTGGTATTTAAATTAAAATAATTGCACGCATTTTTCGCAAGCGATTGATTTTCTGAACGGACGGCGGGGGAGCTAGAGAGGAAGAGAGAGAATGAGTAAACCGCTCCAGAGCACCAAAGAGAGGGAGAGATAGAACGAAATGGGGATAGTCTGTAAATGTTGTCTGTGTAAAATAAATGAAACGTGGAATGTCTCATACAAACCTTTACCCAATTGATATGTGAAATCCTAAAATCAAAACCGATTTGTCTGATGTAGTCTGTTAATCGAAAATGAGACCAGACAATGACACCACCAAATCAAAAATCGAATAATCCGTGTGTAATTGACACTGTATGTATGTGTGTTGGGTCGTCGCCGATTAATTTATCGATACGATACGAATCAGTTAATCGCGTACTATTTATTCTCGTCTTTTTTTCTGCTTTTCGCTCTTCCGATTTGTTTGTTTTGTACGCACGTACTCGCGAAATTTCAAATAGATATAACAATAAAACCCTTTGCTTCAAATTCAATTCTATTTCGGAAATCACTTAAATCACTCACTATCTTTTGGTTGTATATCTCGCTACTCTTTTTTTTTCCCTCCTATATGTTGAATGTCGATATAACAAAACACATTCAGCAACGAAAACGTAAACCGTTTTTTAACGTGTTCGATTCGGCAGTCACAAATCGTTAGTGCACGAAATATTTGGGAGCTCCTCACAGTGTGTATCCAAAAAGGAAGAGATATGTATAGAGAAAGAGAGGAGCGACAGAGAATACAACAACGTAGTAGGGAAAAAAAAGAAGTTAGCAAGCAACAACAAAAATGAAAGAGGAACAACATAAAACACTTGTATGTATAGTATTTTATGATACGTTGTGGCTGTGTCCACTAGGTAGTCGAATAGGTATAGAAGAGAGCTAATGTATTATATAGCAAGAGACAGAGAGGCTATGTAGGAACAACAACATATATATATATATAGACGAAGAAGAAATTGTGCGCATTCGCACAACGCAATCGGGATAAAATTGAGAGATAGAACGATGTAGCGAACGATATGTAAGTCATGACATATAGCATCGAATTCACGAAAAATTTATTTTTGTGCATTCCATTCGGAACAACAGCACACTGAGAGCAGCAGCAGCAACGACGGTGAAGGCGAAGGCAACAACGGCGGCAACGAACAAAGAAGAGGCAAAAGGGAAAAAAAAGGAACAACCAGATTTGCTCCCAGTTTCGAGAGAGTGTAATGGCAAAAGCAGCACAGCCACCGACAACAAAGACGACGACGACGACGACGATAACGACACAATGGGGGGGATTGGGGGGTAAAATCACATCAAAAAGTGGAAAACAATAGCTAAGAAAAGCGAAAAATCACTGTGTTATATTACGTTGTGGTGAACTTTCCGGATATTCGAGAAGGAAGAAAGAGAGAGCACGAGTTGGGAAAAGTGGGAAGATGTAAAAAAAATGTCTACTGCTTACGCCGCTGCCGTTGCTGCGCTCTTTCAATCGCATTCGTTGTTGAATCAATCGATTCAAGCCGACGAAAACAAAGCAGCAACAGAGTATAGCTCTCGAATAAAATAGAGACATTATATATGCGTCGACATAGCAAAGAAAAAAAAGAGAACTTTTCATAATTGAAGGGAACACAATGGTTCCAAATCAATCAAACTTTTTTAATTGGATATTCCCATCGGTTATTTCTTTCGCGCAATGTTGTATGACATACATTTTCCGTTGCAACAATAACGAATGGCAGGATACAAATTGAATCATTGAAAGATTGTGTTCCTTATTGATTTTCCCATTGAATGGCTCAAATGGTTGATGCTTTGTTATGCGAACTATCTCCATTAGCATTCCTTTTGCTGCTTCGACAAAAGTCGGTTGCCCCCAAAATGATAAACGACCCACTGGACTCTGTGTGAAATGATATAAAAATAATGCGGATATTTTTGGCCACACATACACATACATATATACAAACACAAGAAATGACATCAATCGCAAAATTCCACTGTGGCAGTTTATATGCGCGCATCAAAACGAAAAATGAATAACGATGATGGACTAAATTTCAAAAACTCGCCCCAAAAATATCCGATGGCATGCGAAAATAAAACACATACACACATACACACAAACATCGAGCTGCACAGTGTTCAAATCAGCGCTATATTTACATTCTTCCACACGGTTGAATGCTTCTACGCATAGCCGATAATTTTAAACTGTCATCGTGTGATGGCGCACATGTTGTGTTTTGTACGACTCCATATGTTGTGTACATCTTCTTTTTCTTACTTGTCAAAAATTCAGTGAATGTGAATTTATAACATTTGTTTCTGTTTCTCGTTGGTGTTTTATTTTTCCCCTGCTCACAGTTTTTCGGTGGCTTATCGTTTTTTTAACGTTTTTCGATGAAGAAACATGATGAATTATTATATTCATTGTGGATTTTTTTAGTTAAATTAAGTGCAAACAAATAAGATGAGAATCAATAATGCTCACATGAAATTCTGTAGTGCATGCATTTTAATTTCGTTTGCAACGACATGCCTGATAAGCATTTTCATTACATCAACACCGGGTATGTGCCCAAATACATTTGATGGTTTTGTAATATTCCGGTGAATTTTCAGTGCAGTAGATTTCAAGTGAGCAATAATTTTAATAATAAAATTTACACGTTTTTCTCGTCAATAATTTGCCCTAGAGAACTGTGACTGCAACCGCAACACACAACAAATCAAATCGGACACGGTGGATGCATCGATTGAGCTGAAACCGAAACTTGCAATTTTAGTGCCATTTCGCGATCGATTCGATGAGCTATTACAATTTGCGCCGCATATGATGAAATTTTTAGACCGACAAGCCATTCCACATCATATATTCATTCTGAATCAGGTCGATCGTTATCGCTTCAACCGGGCGTCATTGATAAATGTGGGATTTTTATACACCAAACAAGATTATGATTATATTGCCATGCACGATGTGGATTTATTACCATTGAATGATCAATTGCACTATGATTATCCAAGTGATGGGCCATTTCATGTGGCTGCACCCAATTTACATCCAAAATATCACTACAAAACATTTGTCGGCGGCATATTGCTGGTAAAACGCGAACATTTTGAACTAATGAACGGCATGTCGAACCGATACTGGGGATGGGGCTTAGAAGATGATGAATTTTATGTGTAGGTTTTTTTTTCTTTCGATTTTTAGCAATTTCTTCGGCATTGTTTTTATATTAATTTTTCTGCTCTTCGATTTGCAGGCGTATTAAGGATGCACATCTGCCGGTGAAACGACCCATTAACATTACAACCGGAATTAATGACACATTTGCGTAAGAAATTTGGATGCTATTAAAATGTTAATTTTAATTGAGTTTTTCGAGAGTTTTACTCAGAATAGCCAGTTCAAACTTAAAACAACTTTTGTTGTTGTTTCCATGCATTACAGACATGTGCACGATCGAGTACATCGCAAACGAGACACCGCCAAATGTTTCAATCAACGTGAAGTCACTAGGAAACGTGATCGTGAGACTGGTTTATCTACGCTTAAGCATCGAATTAGCCGTATAAATAATTTACGCATTGACGATATTGTAAATGTGACGATAGTTAATATTGAATTGATTTGCAATCACCAAGAAACACCATGGTGTGACTGCAGTCGAGATGAAATGGGGAAGAAAATTTTGTAAATTTTTTTTGTGATAAATGAATAAAAGTCAAGAATAGTTCAAACGATTCGAACGTTAATTGTAATGTGCCTTGTTTTGTTGAGCAGCCGTCGTTTTTGGTGTTCCAGGTAGAAAATCGATTTTTAAAGCAAAATTATTTCGTTACAGAGCAAAAACATGAACTAATCCTGCCAAAAAACAAAAATCAAATTGATGATTTCTATTAGAATTTTTTTTAATGAGCATTTAAAAAAACACTTTTCTGCAAAAAAAAATATCTCTTCTCTATATCTATAGGGAAGGAATAAAGATAAAACGCACGTTTATTAAATGAAAACGTTATTAATAAATCTTCAATATCAGCATCACATATTACAATTTGATCGTTAGGATGATATAGTTGTATCATTTGTAGTTGAATCCGAGCCATTTTCGACACCATACAATTTGTGATGTCGAATATATTCGACCACATTATCGTCCAGCATATACTTGACAGAGAGGCCACGGCGCAAATAACGACGTGCCAACGTTGAGCTCACTTCATTTGGCACCCAATTTGTTATGATATCTATACGATGCTTGTATTTGGTCAAGAAATCCGATTGGAAGATAAACTTTTCGGGAAAACTTTCACTCCTACTTATTACCACAATACCATGCTCAACAAGGATAGCTTCAACCTGGAATACATTTTTTTAAATAATAATTTTTTCATCATTCTGGTAACCTTTTTTAATTCAATGAAGAGATAAGACTTATGGACACAGTCCCTATTTCCATACAATTGGGTTGATTTAAAAAAAAATATTTTTGTTACGTACATCTTCGTCTGACCATAGGTTTGGTGTTGCGAATGATTCCAGCAAATCGGCACCACATAGAAGTTTGACTTCTACCTTGTCTCCTTTGTACTCGTAAATATTTGGTGGTAACCAACTGGGTGTGGTTCCACTGAATCCGTTCGTTGTATCATCGCTCAGCATTGAATTGAGGTAATTCTAGAGTTATTGAAGAAAATTTTCATGTGTTATTCTTACCCGTGTGGATGTCGATTAATTTGGGACATTTTGATTGACGAAAAGTGATTGTCTCGAACGAAATAAGCAACTGCAGTTGACTTTAATCACAAATCACCCTTAGTCAAAATTGTCCAAATTGGTCGACTGACTGAAAGAATAACTAAACATGATTGTCTCCATACAAAACGCATGATTTCAATCAACTTAGCCAGTTTTAGTTGTGTATCACTACATACAGTTACATACAACTGAGTGACTATTAGTCATTTTATTTGCACACGGGTATTTATCCTTAATGGAACATAATTTTCTTCTTATCGTCAAGTGACTTGATGAATTGATTCCATGATTGTATTTGAACTCAGCAATTGAATACCAATCAGAGTGAACATTCATTTGTACTCATTTATCAAACGATTTTTTTCCAACAGCCGTTGTTGTACCTGATGATATTGCAATGAGATGCGTGTGCGCGTCCAGTCGCTTTGTTCATTGCACTCCCAATCGGATAACCGTATCCAGTCGGATGTTTGAAGTGATATGTTAACCATTGCACATCTGTGTTTACCGAGTGCCAATTCGGGCTTTCCATATGAATCATGTACCGGTGATATAATGCCGCCAATGACCTCATACTCGGCTCGTTCACGAAAATCATCACGTGCGATTTCTATTGCATAAACAAATCATTAATGTGATAAGCTGTGATATCAGTGATCAACTACTAGAAGAAGGTTCGCATTAAACTCATATTTTGCTTAAGTGGTTTTTGGGTTTTTCCAACTCTCTCTCTCTCTCCCTCTCATGCACACTTTCGTGTATTTATCGATTGAACAAATCGTACTTTTATCGTAGAAAATAAATATCTGTAGTTGAAAAAAAAAACCTAATACAAACCAAATAATCTCAAATGCAATGGAGTGATCGGGTTGAATGCACCACCTGCCATGAGCACAATTTTCTTCGAGAAAAAAAAACTTTAAATAACTTTTCCGCAATTAAAATTGAAATTTTCCATTGAAAAACATAAATTGAAAAAAAATGCTTGTGTGAAATGCGTACACTCAAAATAACTAGATACTCACTCTATTCAAACTTCCATCGGACCGATAATTACTAGAACAGCAGCAACAGCCCAACAAGCAAAATAACAAGAGAGGAAACCGCATTGTTCTACTTTCAATGAAGCCACAAAAGTAAAATTCAAGCTGAATGTTGGAATGTACTGTTCTCAATCTCTACTGAAGTGATCATTTTGTATCTCCTGAGTCAGTAATTTTGATTAGAACCTTGATGTCTTTTTTCGATAGATTTGCTTTGTTTAAAAAAAAAACACACACACACACAATTTTTCAAGATTCTGCAAAAAATATAGGAAAGACCACTTAGACGATTGTCGTTGACGTAAGCTTTTTAAATGACGAAACAATTCATCAAATTTGAGAGTTGACGCTTAACATTCATTTTGTAGAATGTGTGGCAATTTAAAGAGGTTTAAACTAATCAAAAATGGGTATCTGATGGATTCATTCTTTTTTTGATGGTGTGAACGCAAAACAGCAAATACATAAAAAATAGACATGTTTTTATGGAGATGCTACACTTTTAGAAAAAAACCTAATCTAAGTTGCTCTTTTGCGCCCACTTTAATTTGATATAGAAATTCCATCAATTGATCAGAATGTTTCGGTAAAATCAGCCGACGATCAAAGAGAAATAGAAAAAAACCGAGAGCCCAAAAAAATAATCAAATACTTTTATTTGTCCGTTCAAAATGTTCCTTTATTTTGGTTTGGAATTTTTAAAATTGCATCATTACTTATGATGCATCTAATTAACATGTTTAATTTTTTTTTATTCAGTCGATGAATTAAAGGAATAAATTCTTATATAATTGATTTGTTCTGAGTCAAGATATATAGATATATATTTAAATAGAGTTTTGGTTTACCTTTGTTTAGGAATACAAATAGCAAGTCGTACATAAATTTAGCGGTATCAATTAACGAGAATAACAAAAAACCAATTTACAGAATAGTAACGAAGAAAAAAATGGGCCGAAAAAACATCGATAATAAAATCAAATTGAAAGAAAAAAAAAACACGACTCTCTAATGCGCCAAATGTTCAATAGCAATAACATCACATATTCATCAGATCGCTTGGATCTACAGATGAATTTGAGAAATGGTCACGTTTGTTTTTCTTCATTGGAGAAGATGGAATTAAACAAATTGTCCATTGGCTCAATCATGTATCGCATGCAGAAGACTTTTTACGTCTTTTTGAATCAACCTGAAAATAAACAAAAAAAAATTGAAGAAAAAAAAAATGCAAACAACATTCCATTAATGTAGAAATGAATTAAAATTGAAATGAAAAAAATCGAAATGGGAGAAAGTGAAAAAGAAAATCAAATGGAAAGGGTATCAAAGTCTACCAACGAAATGTACTTGTGAAATACATGCAAATTATATATATGTTCAACACGACTAACATTTCTAAAATCGTCTATCAAACCTAAATAAAAAAAAAGAACGAGACAACTGAGCAAACCAAACAGCGAATTCAATTGTGTCTATTTGGCGATTAATAGTTTTTACTACATAAATTCTGGGTTTTGTCTATGTTTGTTTTTTTTTGTTTTCTCATTGCGCTCGAAATCCTAAAAACAAACGATTCGAATTTGTTTGTTCTGCGTCTGTCGAGTATATAAATTGTAAAATATGCAAAGTCCAAATGCATAACCATTTTTACCGATTTCAAGTCCATAATGTATGAACTCAAAAATGAAAATAACGACATCTAAATTATCTGATCAACTTTGTTGGCATTGTCATTTGTTTGTTTCTTTCTACTTGTTCTGTGTATTGTATGATGTTTGACTTGCATAGAGCGATGCTTATGCATTTGAGCAAGAAGATTTTGAGTATGCGTGGTAAATTTGGTTTCGTGTTTCCGAGTAAATGTAAAAATGTTCTCTTGTTTGTGTTTGTTATATTTTTCCTAGTGAAACTAATTCAACATGAATATTTATAGATTTCTAAATATGGTTACAAATTTAATAGTCACTCATAACTTGAGCGAATGATACAAATGTTGCTGCATGTTTTTTTTTTTCGTTGGCATTTTGGATTGAGGTGATTGGTACATTTTGATTGGTATATTTTGAGGGGAAGAATTAAACAACGTATTCTTTGTCACTGATCACGCGAATTCCATGCGACGTGAAAACAAACTGAATGAGATCGTTTTGGCTACGTTTTGTAGTGCTTGGCAAACACTCGGCGCTAAGTGTATCAATGGATTTGCTGCCAGTAACACGATCACCACTGCCGCCACCACCGCCGCTTTCGACACTGCCGTGATGATCGTTGTCACTGACACCGTTGGTAAGCTTATCTAGCTGATTATCGGATATATATTCGATTTTCTTTTCCAGCGATTTATTATCGGGTGATAGAGTGATTGTGCTTATTTTACAGACACCCACCTCATCCTCGTGATCAATTGTACGTGTTCCGTTCATGTCAGTGCGAATTTGGATGGCCTGACCGGGACGACTGAGCCGGCATTTCGGTTGATTGGCCGACAATCGTCGCGATCGATCATCATCGGTCGCCGTTGTTGCTGTCGCATCATCGCTTGTAGCTGTCGATTTTAAAGAAGACTTTTTTGGCGTATGATCCGTTTCGTCCATCGTTTCGTAATTGTAATTGGCTTGGTCCGTTTTCTTAATATAGTTGTCATTTATATAATTTGGTGATAATGATTGAACCGCCGTTGTTTCACTCTCGCCTGGAGTTATGATATACTTACTGAAACAAGAAAAGAAAATTTCATCACATCAGTCATACAGTTTATTTTTGACAGTTTTCTTTCTTACTACTCACACAACAATTTGCGTTTTTCGCAACAATAGTATATCAGAATTGGACCGAAACTTCAGTACAACAAGTGTTTATTTTTCGGCCGAATTCTGGTAATCTGATCGGAATAGAAATATTCCACGAATTTTTGTGTGTACGTGTTATTATCATGTGGATGAAAAGCATACTCAAACAAAATAAACGGACAATACACTATGTTTTATTATTATCTTATCATCTAATTCTACTCATAAATAAAAATTGAACTAATAATAAATAAATAGAAAATATCAAACCCAAACAAAAGATATACGTGTGACACAAATAAAAGCCAATTTGGAAAATAATTTACTCACGCCGAATCAACACCGAACAACTTTTTATGTCGAATATATTCGACCACATTATCGTCTAGCATATACTTGACAGAGAGGCCACGACGCAAATACCGACGTGCCAGCGTTGAGCTCACTTCATTTGGCACCCAATTCGTTATGATATCTATACGATGCTTGTATTTGGTCAACAAATCCGATTGGAAGATAAACTTTTCAGGGCAGGTTTCACTTCGAGTGATCACCACAATACCATGTTCACCGAGCATAGCTTCAATCTGGAATACATTTTATAGAATATCAATCAAAGATAAAAAATAACAACTATGATCATTTCCAATCGAATGCAATTTTTCATTCTTATTTCTTGAGGAGAAACATGAAGTTTTTGTCTAGTTAAAGGTACTTCATACGAACATCATCATCTTTCCAAAGTTTTGGTGTTGCGAATGATTCCAGCAAATCGGCACCACATAGAAGTTTTACTTGCACTCTGTCTCCTTTGTACTTGTAAATATTTGGTGGTAGCCAGCTCGGTATGGTTCCACTGACTCCGTTCGTTGTACTATCGTTCAGCACTGAATTGATGTAATTCTGGGAGATTGATCACAGGGAATGGTAATTTTGCAATTATATTTCTGTTTAACAATCATCAAGTATAATTTAATGGCAATTATTTTACCCTACTATTGAATTAAAGTTTGGTGTATATATAATTACAATGTTTACAGTTGTAAATATGAAAAATTGATTAAAATCAGTGATTGCGATATCGCTCTCAGTATCTCATAGGATAACTGAACCAGATAATTCAGCTGGCTGAGATGACGCAGCGACGCATCACCTGAGTCTGTGCGATACACATACACACAATGCGCCCAGCGGTATCCTTATACACTCAGTCCCATTTAGTGACGCGCGGCATCAAATTGTGTGTGTGTGTGTGTGTGTGTGTGTATCACAAAGACTCGGGCGATAGATTTGGGTGATGCGTCGCTGCGTCATCTCAGCCAGCTGAATTATCTCGTTCAGTTATCCTATGAGATGCTGAGAGCGATATCGCAAACACTGATTAAAATCAATTATAAACGGTGTTGAAATTGATTCTTAAAAAATCTATGTGAAAAATCGATATAGAGGTTATCCATAAATGGAAAAAAAATCTCATTTTTGACTCAAAATTAAAAAAAAAAAATCCCATGTTGTCAATGTACCTGATGATATTGCAATGAGATACGTGTGCGCGTCCAGTCGCTTTGTTCGTTGCATTCCCAGTCGGACAATCGTATCCAGTCGGATGTTTGAAGTGATATTTTAACCATTGCACATCGATCTTTTCCGAGTGCCAATTCGGGCTTTCCATATGAATCATGTACCGGTGATATAATGCCGCCAATGACCTCATACTCGGCTCGTTCACGAAAATGATCACGTGCGATTTCTATGACATAAACAAAATCACAAATCATTCACTTATATAATAACGTACTAATCGGTAATCAATCCCTATAGTTGGGGTGACTAAGTATGTTCGCATCAAAGTCTACAGTATGTACTTGAGTTGTGACTTTTGCATTTATTTACAGAGTCATTGTTATTTTTTTTTCATCTCAACGATTGTTCTTCTCACCTTTCGAGAGTTTATTGATTAAACAACCGTATGAGTCGTCGATATGTCATACACATCAACTCAACGATAACCACTCCATGTATGTCTAGCGTAGAAAAAAAATATCTGCAGTGGCAGAAGAAGAAAAAATACATACCGAACATTCGTAAGTGCATCGGTGTAGGAGGGTTGAATGAACCACATGCCAAAAATATAATTTTCTTTGACGACACCATGTTTGCTGCTTGAAATTGTTTAGCACCAGCCTTCAGAAATTTATTTTTTGTTATGACTCAAAGATTTGTGTACAGTTAAATTTAAAAACATGATGCACCTTTTTGGCAAACACACTGGCTGCGCACTTCGCCTCTTTCGACACACTGTGAGTCGAGAAATGTCAACAATCCACTGATTTGGTGTTGAGGCATTTCATTTATTTTATGCGTTCGACTTTTGAAGTTTGCTATTTGTTATTGTGTAGAAGTGGCGCAACGCCATCTATCGTCTGAATGCATAGAATTGGACCGAAAAAGTCCGTACTTATGGATATGAATGTTTGAAATTTCGAAATCACATCAAAACAATTGGTTGCACATTTTGTGTGCCACTGAAATGAAAATCATGGTTTCACTTGTGAATGAATTGGTTCTATTTCGCTCTTCTCTGTTTCGGAATCACGTGCATAGTAAATGGTCGACCAATGGTTTATAACTGTGCCAACTAGTTATTTGATACGCAACATTACTATGTCTTCCACACGACTAGTACAATACTTTTATGAGATTGTTAAACCCGATTATGCGTATATGGTTCACTTCTAATTTCAAACTCGGTTATGTCTTATTTTAAACACTTTTTTTTCTCTTCGGCGATGTTTCGTTTTAATTTCGATAACCACTTCTGTACAGCCTTCGATTGCAGTTGCATCTAACCATGCATTCTGAGAAGATTGACCGTGATTAATTGAGATTCAGTTTGAAATTGGCTACACATTATTTGCCAAAATATTGTTTAGCCACGAAAAAGAAAACGTAACACAGTGAATATGGACCAAATAATTCCAGCACAAAAAGTTGCATCGTCATCATGGAAGGATCGAATAAAAGGATGCATTCGAAGAGTATGCCGTGCTCAAGGGTTGAATGTCTTTTATGCCACTTTGTGTGTGATTGATTTGTTTGGTGTATTTCCGATTGTTGCATTACCCGGCGCTCTCATTTCGTGTGGTAAATAGTTGAACTGTTCGGTTACGTAATTCAAAACCGAATCCATTTCATAAAAACAAAAAAGACTCGAATTTGATATATTGTGATATACAGAATTCTAATCAATTTGTATTGAAAATTCCAGGTTATTATGGCATTCCACTGCTAATATTTGTGTTGACCATTCAAGTGTATACGGCAATTGTTTTGGGCCGATGTTGGATCATTGCGGAAAAACTCGATCCAAGCATTACTGATAAAAAACGGTGAGCGATTTATTGCAGAAAAGAACAAAAAAAAAAAATGAAATGTTATTAATTTCTAATTAAATCAATTAAAACGTGTGATTTATTTTTTCCACCCTTGCGTATACAGATGCCCGTATGCTGCAGTTGGTGAACTTAGCTATGGCCGTAGAATGCGCACTTTTGTCAATATACTGCTCAATGTAACGGTATTTGGTGCAGGAATTCCAAATATTTTAGTTGGTATGTTGTATTGCTGGTTTCCCTATCAACACATTCGTCACCATAAGAATGTCCATCACAGTGTTCAGTTATGTCCTCTCTTTTTTTCCATTTTCTCCCACAGCGTCGCAGAATTTGCAATTGATTGGTCAACGTATTAGCAATGACGAATTTCAATTTTCATTTTGCTATTGGTTGGTTCTGTTGGGTATTGTTTTGTGCCCGGTGATGTGGCTTGGAAGCCCAAAAAATATGAAGTATTTTTATCATACACATTTCCTCCTCCTTTGAAACATTTCGGCGACTTTTTGTTGCAAAACCTAATTTGCTAGTGTTTTGTGTATTTGTATAGGACAATTGCTAGCGTATCGGTGGTGACAGTGCTCACCACTTCGATTCTCATTTGGATCGGCATTTTAGAGGATGACAGCATATCCAGTGAATCTTTCGAGGGCATTCGACTTGGTAGACTAAAGGCATTTTTTTGGGCAAAATTATGATGAAAATATGCCATATTTTCAATTGAACCGTTGCAACAAACAAATTCCCATAGAATATTTTAGTTTCAAAGTGCAACATGGAATTTTTTTTATATCGAGTTTACAACAACAACTCCATATGAAAAAACCTTTATGTTGTACTATAAAACTAAAATATTCTGAGGGAATTTGTTTGTCGCAATGGTTCAATTACTTTCTTATTTATTTCGTTATGAATGATTTTGAAGTGATTTACGGAAAAACGGCAGTGAAAAGCCGATGAGTCACCTTGATATTCAATCAAAGTCAATTTTTCATTTTGCGTAAACATTTTTTGTTGTAGATCAGCCCGATTACATAACAATGCTAAAAGTGTATGGAATGATTGCGTTCCAATTCGATATTCATCCAATGTTGATGACCATTGAAGTGGATATGCAAAACAAGCGTGGAATCGGAAATGCGGTATGCTATGGATTAGCAGGTATATTGTACACCTTATTCGTTTAGTTCATATTTCACCCATCCACACACACACACACACAAAACACTCGATAGAGAACTTTCCATTTCGAATCGATTTGTAGCAACGTGCACATTGTCTGTGATTACAACGATATTAGCCGCACATCAGTATGGCATATCAACAGCGGCAAACATACTGGAAATGTTACCGAATACCAATTTACTGTATGTGGTTACATTGCTTGTAACGGTGCAACTGTGTTTGTCCCATGCCGTAGGTAGTTCGGCACTCTTTCAAAACATTGAAGAATTTCTGCACATACCAAGAGGTAATTAATATTTTGTAATCTTTCATTTTGCACGTTTTTCTCATCTTCGTTCGTTTTTCACTCAAAGAAAAACTAATTTACTGTGAATTTTTTTTTTTTTTTCAAATTATGTGAAAGATTTCAACATATGGCGATGCATTCTTCGATCGATTATAATCATTTTGGCTGTAACGATTGCGGAATTGCTTCCTCAATTTGATTTGGTAATGGGAATAATTGGTGGAACATTGACGGGTCCAATGATTTTCATACTACCACCGCTTTTTTATAATAAATTAATTCGAATGGAACGGGATTATGATGAGCAAAATGAGCGAGAAACCTTCAATCGCCAATTGACGATCGCCACTTCAGATGATGATATTTTCAACAGTGATCGTGAACAAGAGCTACGACGAAACAACCATCACTACAACACCACCACCACCACCGTCGATAGCTATGGTACGTTTGCCAAACAGCCCAACCGATTTATACCACGTCAAGAGTGTTTGCTATGCTTCTGTAATGACTCATCAATTTGTATAGCGGTGATTGTGTTTGGATTAATTGTAACAATCACATCGACATACTTTAATGTGGTGACCATATCAAATAATTTCGATGATTTTAGGTCACCATGCATTCAAAACATTAGTGCATCATTCGGTGAACTTTGAGTCGTTTTTTTGTTGTTGTTATTTTTTTGTTTCATCATTTGAGTTGTTTTTGTTTTGAGTATTTTCGTTTTCGCTGCCAATAAATAAGGACAATGAACTGGAATTAAGAAAAAAAAAGTGCCAAAATTAGCAAAAATTTATGCTTGTTAGGTATTTAAAATTGTCACGCCCCATCCATTTTTTTTATATCGTACCAGGTATTTTTTCTTCTCTGTATTCATTTCAATTTTGAGTAGCAAGGAAAGAAACAGAATGTCATTTTCTAGGAAAAAAAAGATTATAAATCAATGGCTTAAAAATATCATGAGTTTTATTTCTGGTTACACGGTGTCCGACATTGAATTCAAAACAAAAGGTCGATCAACAGGTAATAAGCGCAACAACAACAACAACAACGGCCACGACGACGACGTCGACAAAGAAGACGACGTGTAATGGATTCGGTAACCAAAAACCATCTCTTTTCTTTTGCTGCTGATTCGCAACCGCTTTGCACACAAACAAAAGAGAAAGAAGAGAGAAGAAAACGAGCCAAATCGGTGCACAATACACCATTGCCTTCCGATTCATTGATGTACGTATGACGTGGTTGTAACATTGTTACATGAAGCGCAAGCAACTAGTTGATTGCAAACCAGTGCTTTGTGTAGATCACAAAAAAATATATATAAGAAAAAGAGGGGAAAAAATCACTATACGAAGTACTCTTCTTTCCACTACAAAAGAAATATATCTCGCCGAGTGAGTGAGACATTGTGTCGTATAACAGCAACAACAAAATTTGAATACAAATTATATTATCGTTTAGTCGAGCATTCGAAAGTCTAAGTAGCGAATATATATTCCAAAAGTATTGCTCTCTGATGTGTGATCAATGTATATGTTCCCCACCACTCATCGGAAGATATTTTAATGTGTTGTGATTTACGTTTACCCCGAAAAGCATACCAGCAAAGAAAAATAAAAAAGGCACACAAAATGCTGCCACCAAGGTAACGTACACACGAAAAACAAAAAAACAAAATTCGTATAGATTTTTTATTGTTAATAATTTCATTCTCTTCGATGAGATTCACCTGTAAAGAGTTGTTTTTTGTTAGCTCACTCTCTCTCGTCCACTTTGATCCGCGTGTTCGAAAGCGTGTAAGCGCACGATCTGTTTCTAACCAGTCGTCGTCATAGATAGATAGATCAGAGAGCATTCCAAACCGCATCCGTGAATAAATTTTTTTTATTCATTTTGTTCCTTCGTTCATTTTTACATTCAAACAAAGAGTAAGTGTTGATTTTTTTCTTTCTGATCTGGAGTTTGACCGCACTCGAGTGATCAGTCGTGTAAAAATGTTTTAACATTAAACACACATATAGGTGCAATAGCAAGCGAAATTATAGACTTGGTGACAATTCCGAAGAGAAAGAAACGAAAAAAATACAAAAGAACAATAGCATTTTTGTGTTTTAAAGGTAGCGTGTCATTATTCTATGAGAGAAAGAGATGATTGTTGGTAATTAATCGGCTGGACAAAAAAAAACGGTTATCAATTTAGTGATGATTTGCAAGAAATAGTTTTTTTTTAGAAAGTGAGATAAGTGTACACAAATCATAAATATGTGTCACGTTGCATTGCATCAAAATTTCATTGGAAAATTTCATTGTTCAAGTGTCGTGCATTTTGAATGAATCAACGGAAAAACGCATTGTATCACTTAACGCGAGTTTTCGTGTGAGCTTGTGCGCACTCATTACGATCAGCAGCCAGTTTTATCCATTTTCAGATACATTGTCAAGTATCGGATAGATTTGCAATTGACGAGAAAACGATGTGAAAAACCAGTATGCACGTACTAGTCATTAGTAGGTTACTATCGTGGCTAGATCGACGCTCATTGCTAGCGATCTGTGTGCTTTCACTCTTTCGCTTTAATTGCGGTAATCGTGGTAATCGAGGCGTTTCCGTTGCGTGAAGACATCAACGACGTTACCTTTATTAAACACGATCATTACGCAACACTATCGCTCAAAATCTCTCTTTCAATTGCAGAAAAACGAAACGAGAGAAGAAAAGAATATATAAAATGTCACAACCAAGTGACTATTAAACTTTCTGAATTGCGAGTGTGTTTTGTATAGCAGAACTGGTTTTCCGATTCCAAAAATGAGGAATTTCTTATTCGGCTCAAGTTTCTCCACTGTTGAATGAACTTGAGCCATTAGATTTGTCAAAGCTGAAAGGCTATCATACCTGATATTATTTAAACAGCGACTCTCATAAACGCAATCAATTTTTTGTTTCTTCTTTCGTATGCAGACAACGAGACACGTCGAGAGAAAGACAGAAAAACAAAAACCGGATCAAATGATTTTTTCGACATCGTTTTACCTTCATTTACGATTCAGTTATGATGTGTCGTGTGTTGCCGGCTTCAAAGTCATTAAAGCGTTTTTCTATTCTTCGGATTTCTTAATATCTTAAGATTGAGATTATAACCGCGATGTCCAAGGCTACTTTTGTTGGTTATTGTTGTTGTTTTTGAATTTTATTTTTAGAACTGAAAGAAAAAAAACACACTCAGCATTGATCGAATGATGAGAGAGAGATAAAAAAAATACAAATAATCATAGAAAAAAACTCTATTCCCATTTCGTTTCAGCAGCTGTTTTTAACTGAGCAATGGTCGCGATCGATTTAACCTGTCCACTTCTACAATTTTTAATTGCATTAGTTGTAACATCGGTGATTTTTGTATTTTCCGCACTGCGATTGTACTGCTTTATTACACTTGGCATTTGTAAATCAAAAGCGAAAATGGATGGTAAAACCGTTTTAATTACCGGCGCCAACGGTGGTATTGGCCGTGAAACCGCCAAAGATCTTGCGAAACGTGGTGCACGCATTATTTTGGCATGCCGCAATTTGAACGCTGCCAACGAAGTTAAAGGTTTGTGTTTTGCACATCGTTTATTTGTCTAAAATGTTAGCCGTTAATTGATCAAATGATTTGTGATTCGAATCAAATGGTTCATGTATAATTAGAAAAAACGAGCAGCAACGAAGCAGAGTTTTGTATTTGCCCATTCACAAATAGTTAAAAAAAAATTACGGGTTTTCAATTTTATCGCTTCATTTTATCATTCATTATAGCTTTGTTCTATTTTTAGCAGTAGTCATATATGTTTGTATAATTTTATAACGTTGTTTTTATTCCAATCTTCTTTTTTTTTCTTCAGACGAAATCGAAAAAGAGACTGGCAACAAGAATATTGTGTGCAAAAAATTGGATTTGAGCTCACAGAAATCGATTCGTGCATTTGCCGCTGATGTTAATAAAACCGAACGGAAATTAGATGTGCTCATCCATAATGCTGGTATGGCGTTGGCCTTCCGTGGTGCAAAGAGTGAGGATGGCATTGAATTGACCATGGCCACAAATCATTATGGTCCATTTTTGTTGACACATTTGCTGGTTGATTTATTGAAAAAATCCGCACCCAGCCGTATCGTAATTGTTGCATCGGAATTGTATCGCTTGGCATCGGTGAATTTGAACAATTTGAATCCGATCAACACAAAGCCAGCCGCTTACTTGTACTATGTGTCAAAGTATGCAAACATCTATTTTGCCCGTGAATTGGCAAAACGTATGGAAGGTACAAATGTGACCGTTAACTCATTGCATCCGGGCATGATTGATACGGGCATCTGGCGCAGTGTTCCATTCCCATTGAACTATCCAATGAGATTGATCACCAAAGGTTTCTTCAAGACACCAGTACAAGGTGCTCAGACCAGCATCTATTGTGCCGTTGCCGAAGAATTGAACGGTGTGTCGGGCAAATATTTCATGGACTGCAAGGAGCACACATTGAGCGCTGCCGCCAGTGACATGGAAAAAGCAAAGAAATTGTGGGAAGAATCGGCGAAAATTGTTAAACTCACCGATCAAGATCCAAAAATCTAAACGCACACAATTGATTCCACATCATTTTTTTTTTAATGATATTTTCTTTAATAATTTTTCTTATATTTTACTTTTTCTCACAATGATGAATCCAACTTCAGCTTTGTAAACTAGCGATTAAAATAAAAAAAAATGTTTTTCTTTTAATGAAACAATTAAGTTTATTTTTTTCTGTTTTGTTTTTAAATATCATATTGTCTAGATCATTTAAATAAATTGCATAAATATGAATTCATTTACAAACTTTCAAAACTTGAACTGAAACTTGCCGAAAAAAGACGAAGATTCAAGTTAACATTTCAATTTGCCTAGTTTTTTGTTTTGTTATTCTGGTTGGTTTCGGCAAAAATGAAAAGTAATTAGTCTAAAAGGGACTTTCAATTTCGAGTGGATTATGAAGGATTGCGGATGGAAAATGGGAGAATTTTGTATATGGGAGATAGAGAGGAACTAAGGTTTTTTTTTCTCAACTACTCAAACTATGTGGGTTGTCTTCACTAGCAGAGTATGTCAGAAGGCGCAATTTTGGTTTGGGAGAGAGTATGTCCAAGGAGAAATCTGTTCTGGTGGGAAACGTATTGGGGGAAGGAACAGAGAGTATGCGAACGGTAATTTTGTTGGTTTTCTTCATTCACTTGTTTGACATCACAAAGGATACTTCGGTAACTTATTTAAGATTTGCAATAACAGCCAAAGTGAACTCGTTGGTTGTATTTTGGCCACCAAGATCTTTGGTTCGTACTTTGCCCGCTTTCAATACACGATTAATTGCATTCGTTATCATATCGCTGTAGTTGTGCAAATTGACGTGACGCAACAATTTTGCGCTGCACAAAAGCATGGCAGTTGGATTGGCAACATTTTTTCCTACAGCTTCGGAGAATGTGTGACGCGCACCCTATGACAATGAATTGGAAATTATTGAGTTGTATTGTGTTAATTGTGGAAAACGATCCCTCTGGACAAATTGGATTTTCGAGGCTTAATCGTTTTTTTTTTGGATCAATGTTTTTTTCTTCTTGCATTGAATGTGTGCTTACCGGTTCAAAGACGCAAGTTTCAGCCGAATAGGAAGCACCAGCTACAACACCGGCACCACCCACCAAACCGCAAGCAATATTATCAACGATGCTACCATACAAATTTGGCGTTACCATCACGTCAAACTGTTGAATGGAAAAGAATATTTATTCAATAAAAATGGATGTGAGTAAGTCAACGACAGCGCAATGTAATTCAAATGCAATGGACCGCATACAAAGTAACTCAGAATAGATATTTGAAAAAAAAAACGAAGTAGAAAAAAATCTGTAGAAATCGTTGCATTTTTACCTGATGCGGGTTTGATACAAGCTGCATAGTTGTGTTATCAACGATCATTTTCTCGAATTGGATACGTGGATACAGTTTCGAGATCTATAATTCAACAAATGTGGAACGAATCAATTATGAATTGCTTAGGAAAAAATTGATTTAAGAAAATGAAAGAAAAAAAAAATTGTTCGATAAACACTGTTTGTGCTTTCGTTCATTTACCTCTTCACAGCTTCGCAAGAACAAACCATCTCCAAGTTTCATGATGTTGGCTTTGTGGACGCAGGTCACCTTCTTGCGGTTATTTTTGGTGGCATAATCGAATGCGAATTTCGCAATGCGCATCGATTTTTTAGCGGTAATAATTTTTAAGCACTCGACAACCCCATCAACCGATTCATGTTCCAATGCTGAGTATTCGCCTTCAGTTTGTTCACGAATAATAACACAATCAATATTCTACAATCAGAAATAAAACAAATCACGACTTATTAACAACACTCGCTTGCACACAGCGAATACGAAATTGAAGGTCAGGTCATATTGCATTCGTGCATAATATGTGAAATTTACATTGTGACGGGTTTTGACACCAGGCAAACTGCGTACATGGACAACATTGGCAAACAAATCCAATTCGTTTCGTAATTTCATGTTCAATGTCTGCAGCTCACCAGTTCGACTGTAATCTGGTGTCGCTAAAATACCCTGTAAATGAGAACAAAAAAAATAAACAAAATTTATATTGACAATAATTATTTCCAGGCGAACACTTCTTTTCACACATTGCAATTCTCTCACAGATTTAGAATTGCAAAATCAGAATAATCAGCATGAAAAAATCTCATTCTTATCAAAACAAAACCATTTTGTTTTGATTAGAATGAAATAAAATTCCATTTCATATTGAATGGATAAAAAAAAAACTCGATCGGTTTGATTCATTGCTTACCTTTAGACAAATCTTATTTTTCTGAATGGATGCGGTGACATCCTCGAGTTTTGAGCTCAGCACTGGATTGATTTCGGAAAAGAAGAACGTTTCAAAGTCCACCGGGACGTTTGCAGCCTTAAAAATATGTTTGCAAATAAATGGCACAGTTCAAAAAATTTCAATTAAGATTCGACTGTAAAAAAGCTTACTTTAAACACTTCCTGTACGGAGTAAACAAGTTCAGGGCCGACACCATCACCGGGAATCAAGGTGCATCTAATGCGTTTCTCTGGTTTGGCAGCCTAAAGTTTCACGCAAAAAAGAAAAGAAGATTAAATTCGATTGCATTAAGAAATGTCATTCCAGAATGGAAGAAAATAATTTGGTCCAAGGACTTGCCTGTTGAACACATGCAGTTGTGTGAACTCCCCGGGATGCCTAAAATCTCACATTGACCATGAAATTAAGAGAAAAATTGTTTAACCATTCAGTATTTTCATAGAAAAAAGTAAATAAATATCCAAATCGAACAAAATACGTCATTGCATAACCTCAATTTATCTTATTCAGAGAAGTGTTTATATAATCCCGAAAAAAAAGTTTGCGTAAAATTGAGTCGAGCGAAAAAGTTCTAGTGCAAAAAAAAATAGAAGTCACCTGGCTTAGAGTACGACAAACAGATCGTGCAATCAAAGACATTTTTGGTTCACGTTTTTATTGCGATTTTCAATGTTGTCTCAACGGTTTTTAATGCAGCAAACTGTCCCCCTGCCCGAGATAAATAAACAATAAAACCAGATTTAAAATTTTCAACTCTGTAAAACTGTATATTTTTGGGCAAAATATGGTGCCTTCTGTCAGATGTACCTCGTGAGCAAAATCTATAGCAATAGTTCGTATTCATATGTTTGACCCGCGTTCACAGTGGATATATCACGTACAAATCGAAATGTCATATGATGCAGCATGCTTTTACTACACTTTTGCTTAAAATACCAGCTATTCTTGTACGTTAAGCCCATGGACGATTATATATCTGGTTGATTCTAACTGCAAACGAATGAATTTAAATGAAACACTTCTATTATAAATTATCGGCGTCAAAATTCGGCGACAGTCTGCATTTGTTTGCCATTTGGTTTAGCGCTTAACAGCAAATTTGAGCCAGTATCTTGAAACGATTGTAAACATCTGGAAAATTAATTGGTGAAATCATTCTTATCGTTGTTCTCTGTTGACATATCATTCTGAGACAGTAAAGTGCGATTGTCATTTGGAACAGTTCTATTTTAATTTGACTGCGCCATCAAATCATTCTTATTTTGCTAGGTGAGCTTCTTTATCACTTGAAAAAAATTTATGTTTCGAGTTAATTATGATTAGCCAAACAAAAATTTCCAACTAAAATCGCAATCGAAAACAAAAACTCTTTCCATCTCTTTGAGGTCAAAAGGCCTCGTTGAAATTAATTTTGTTATCTTTTCTTTGTATCATTAAATTACACCAAACATTCACATCGACAAAAAAATAGCATTTCAATTTCAAATTCGCAAGGTGATAAGACTTAGAAGATATAGCTCTTTTATATAAGTCGTTTCAAGTCAATCACGACACACACACACACGCGCGAAAAATAAGAATAAAAAGAAAGCGAACATGTCACTTAGGGTTTTAACAAATTTTGCTGGCAAAAACAAACTATTCACACACAATTTTAGGACATTCGTCAATTCAACCGCACCCACGACACGATTCTATTCCTCCAACCGAGCCATGCGATTCATACGTTTCCAAAAAGCCGCTGACGACCGTGTACGCGTCGGTACGTTGTCGGAAGATGGAAAAAGTTTCCAAGCGCTGGACCAATCGCTGCCAAACGATATGATCGAATTGATCAAATCGAATCCCAGCGTCGAAAGTCTGAAATCGAACAATTGGCAACCGTTAACCGATGATATCAAACTGTTGGCACCGATACAAAATCCTGAGAAAATCATTTGCATCGGATTAAATTACCTGGGCCATTGTCAAGAGCAAAACAAAGAAGCACCAAAGGAGCCAATGTTTTTCAGCAAATATGCCAGCACCATTACCGGTCCAACGGGTGATGTGATCTTACACGCAATCACAAATGTTTGTACAAAAAAAAAAAAATTTCCATGCGAAATCCTCAAAATGTCAAACCGAAAAAATTCTTACGTGATCATCTTATCTCTTACCATTTAATTGTCAGCAATTGGACTGGGAAGTTGAATTGGCTGTGATTATCGGAAAGGAGGCACGCAAAGTGAGCAAAGCAAATGCATTTGATTATGTATTTGGGTATAGTGTGGCTCAGGATATATCGGCACGTGATTGGCAAAAGCAACGCAATGGCGGACAATTTTTAATCGGTAAATCAATGGACACATTCTGCCCATTGGGACCGGCTATCGTGCATAAGAGCCTTGTGGCCGATCCGCACAATTTGAAAATTACATGCGATATTAATGGCGTACAAAAACAGTCGGGCAGCACAAATGAGCTCATTTTCCGTATTGACGATATCATCCATTTGTTGTCACAGTAAGTTTATGCTAGAATTTATTCTGAAGTCGATTTGAACCATTTGTCAAACGTTTTCGATGAGTTTTTTTTTCGCTTGACCTATCTTCAAATATATTCCAAATCCACTTGATGCAAGCAAAACCATCAACTTTGTTGTGTTTTTCAAAATGTCTCCCATTGTTCATTTCAGATCGATCACCCTGAAGCCAGGCGATGTCATTCTAACGGGCACACCATCCGGTGTTGGAATGCACCGAAAACCGGCCGAATTTCTGGCACCCGGTGATTTGATTGAAAGTGAAATTGAATCGATCGGAAAGATTCGTAATAAAGTCATTGCAGACACTTTGTAAATTGACGCAATTTGGATTCGGATTTAATGGATTTTATTAACATTTGTTTTGTTTGGATGTTTTAGTCATTGTTATTGAAATCAAAAAAAAAATGCGGTTTTTTTCATTTAAACAAATAAACTATATTTTCTTACACAAAAAGAGAAAAACCATGTTTGCACCGAGTTTTTTTTTCTTTCTCAGTAGTAATTTCCTTTCGCCATATCCCATACGGATCGGCGTTTCGTGAGTGGTTTTTCTGGATACGGTTGTGGTTTTTGGCTGGCATAAAAGTATGTTCGTTCGTGATACGGTGCATACAGATCGTCGATGTAGTATTTGGGCCGTTTCCAGAAGTTCGTCACCATTTTGTCGAGCAACAAGGCCTGTGTCTTATTGACAAGAACGTGTTGGCGCAACCGATGCTTTCGATTGGCACGTTTCTTATACATTTTCTTGTGACGACCGCATCGTGTTCGAATCCAACCGCCCCAATCGAGCCGTTTGAATCGTCTAATAGCCGCTTTAACTGTCTTCCGTTTGCCACTTTTCAGCGACCGTTTGGTGACCGTTCGAATGGGTACCGACTCCAATGACGGTGTGATGATGGTACTTGGAGTTGTTTCTAAATATTTCAATGCATTAGGCACACAGAATGGTTTTGCTGGTATCGAACTAAGCACTGTAAATCCTCGACCTGGAACATTTCGCACGATATTCGATTGCAATGCACTCGCTGGAACTAGTGCCTGGCTAAGCAACGCATTCGATCTCCCGAGAACTAGAAAACAATTCAAATGTGAAAAAACACACGTTAATGACTCGATTTGATCGTTGAATCAACCATTTTCTATTTATGTATTACCAGTTCGAGCAAATCGAAACATTTTGTCGCGTTTTGGTTAAAACAAAATAAAATATTTTGACATCTGATTTATTGGTTAGAATGAAATTGGGAAAAAAAAAATAAAAGTCTATTACTTCATTCACAAATACCGTAATACTTAACACTCACATGTTCAACTTTCATCTGTCAAATCTATTTACTCAATGTCATCAAACATCACAAATATTGTGCAGTTGTCATCAGGTGCGATAAATCGATTCGTTTACTAAAAGTTGCAGTTTGATTTTTTTGATTAAAAAAAAAGATCGAATTTGAATTAGAGTGAACGGAAGAAAGCAGCCATCGAACCGAACAACGATCGACTATGATACGGCTTACATTGAAGAATAATGCGATGTGGAATAGGAGCACAGTAAGTTTTTTTTTCCCCGTCGAAATGAAAGTCCAGTGTGTGTATATGTATACGGCTATAATGCCGTATAACCTCAGAAATATATTTTGCAATTTGATTGAATACCAACAAAATTCAAAAAACGAACCCAGATTAATGATGTGAAAATGCATTTTATCATCACATTGAATGAATGCAATGGGAAGATTTTTCATTCGTTCAAAATATTCCGTGTCTTATCATTTGAGCAATGAATGTCTTTGGTTTGAACTATGATAATACACTCCCCATACATCAAGTCAATTACATAATATCAAAATATTTGCTAATTTTTTTTACATTTATAAATAGCAACTTCCTTTTATGGATGAATTTTCGTCTAATTCACCCAATTTTTTTTCTCTCCTTCGGTTTTGTTCAGGTTGGCCGATTGGTGTCGCGCGTAAACCAACATAGAGCCATTCACTCAAATCCACACCAATTGCAAGAGGCTGGCGTCGGAAAATATTTGATCATTCTAGCTCCATTCGCCGCCGGAGCTGGTGTTGTCGCATACGCCAAGTGAGTTGAATACACGGACCCTTTTAGTGGTTTTTCATGATTTTCCAAAAAGTGTTGCATGATTTCCTAAAAGTTTGGTGTCAAAACAAGCCTGAATCCAGTCACTACTGTTTTAGTTTCGTTTTGTAATCTCTTCCTCTCTCTCTCCCTCTCTCTCCCTCTCTCTCTCTTTTGTCCAATCTAGATCCGATGAGAAATTCCGTAAAACTCTCGTCACAACCGTTCCATTCTCTGATCCATTGCTGAAGATTTTGTTGCAAGAAGAAGGCAATGCGGTTAGCGAAGCATCTAAATCAATCCAAGGTGCAACGCAAAAAGTGATTGGTGTTAAGGATTCCATAGTCGGGTATTTCGGTGATGATAAATCGGCCAAACCGGCCGATAAGCCAGCACCCGTCAAAAGTAAATTTGTCAAACTCGTCTCTTTGGAAGATTTTTGATTTAATTAATCGATATTTCTTTTGGAAAATAGGCAGCTCATCATCTGCAGTAGCATCACCACCTTTGCCATCGATTACAGCGCCAAAACCGACGGCAAGCTCACCATCCGAATCGCCGGCAACGAAAAAGGCAGCACCACCAGCCAAATCAAAAGTGGTCGAGGAAAAACCACAAGCCGTTCCAAAACCAAGCGAACCCATCAAATTGCCACCAGTTTTGTCGCAACCGTTGCCACAAACGTAGGAGCTTTGAATTTTTTTTTCTATTTCCCTATTATTTCTGTCGCTAGAGTCTAGAGAAATATTTCTGTTGCTGATTTCCGTTTACTACGTTTATTTTAGATTCACTGATTTGGAAAAAGACATCGAAGTCGCTGCTCAGATTGCTGTCAAAGAGTATCAGAATGCGATTAAGTTGTTGAAAGAATATGCTGAGGATGTGAAAACGGTTGTGGACCGTGTCATTGAACAGTCTGACCATAGTCTGTGGTCGGTGCTGAAGAATAAAACGTCGGCCCGTGATACAGCCGTCGAGGCCGCTGAACGAACCGCACAAGCCGCTCAACAACATATTGACAAATTGGAGAAGCACATTAAAGCGGTCAGTAAAAATGTGGCGCCCGAAATCATTGAAAAGACACAGCGCAATATCACCGTGATTGCCGATCAATTGAGCAAATCGAAAGATTCGTTGTACGAAGCAAAGGATTCGGCGAAATTATCCGAAAAATACTGGAAAAAAGTCGAAGAAGCACGCAACTATTTCATCGATCAAGTGCAAGCATTGTTCCCTGGCGTTGATTTGAGCTCGAAAAATTTGCACTTGAGCAAAGAAGATTTGGATTTATTCATTGTGCACGCATATTCGCATGTGCTGGCCTATCAAAAGGAGCTGCAGAAATTGAATGCCGAAGGTGAAACTCGATTGCGACGCGCTTTGGATGCATTGAAGGGCGAAGATCAAACTGAAGCCGTCAATCGACAAATTGAATATCTGTTGGAAAAGGAAAAGCAAGCCTTGAACATTGAAAATCAGAAGAAAATCTTGCGCATTCAAGCCGAAAATGAGGCAAAACTGCGAAAACAATTGAAAGTACAGTCAGAAGCGCATAGCGATCATTTGCAAGATGCATTGATCGAAAAAGAAAAGGAACTCCGTCGCGTATTTAATAATGAACTTAGCGAAAAATTAAGCGTCGAACAATCGGCATACAAAATTCAACTTGCCACCATGTTGGGCAAACTCAAAGGAATGGATTCAGCACTGAAAGGTAAGCATTTTTCTTTGAATAAATTTCTTTTCTTTATGTTTCAATGGTTTGAAATGATTCAAAAGCAGTTTGGAATCAATACAGATACAACAAAGTACAGTTTACAATTTACAATTTTGAAAAATAACAAATTTTTGCTCAAAATCCAAATTTTTGAGGTTTTCGAATTTAAAATTAAATGTGACTAATATGAGATTAATACACATTCATCACTTTTTATCAATCAATCCCATCACTAATTGTCTCATATAACATTTAATAATTTTTGCTAAAGAAATCGAGGAAGAATTACAAGGTTTGTAATTTTAAATGTTTTCACATATTGTTTTTTGCATGTACTCCAACGATTTGTTGTTTATTTTTTTAAGTAATTATTTCAAAGGCGTTCAATTGTGTGCGATGGTGCGCCTTTGAAATAGTACCTCAAAATTCAATCTTCATTTGACCGTAGATTATTTGAAGTGTATTTTTGTTTGATTTTGTGTAGAAATTCAAAAATTCGATACAGAAATGAATTTTCAGGAGACTTCTACTAGAAGTATTCCAAGTAAATTTGAAATTATTCCTCTATCCACATTTTTAGTTTCTTCTATAAATTTTATCAATGGTAGTTTTCTGGTAGCATCATTCGAAATACTCATCAACTAATTTGTATTTAGATATTGTCTTCTTCTGTGAAACATTTATTCATATTTATTATTTAACATTTTATATACATTACTCACAAACTATTCGGTATCTTTGGGCAAAAAGTCATGACTGAAAAAAAAAAACGACTTGAATTCAATTCGCAGCTCGTGCCGACGCTGATCGTCAAATTCATCAATCGCAAGCTTTATGGAGTGCTTGTTCAGCTTTGTGGTCATCGATGCGAACTGTTGACTCAACTAAACCTTGGCAGGACCAACTAAGACCTTTGGATGCTGAAGTCGAAGCAGTTCGCCGAGCATCGGGTGAGTCATTTTTGTAAACATTCAAATAATGTTTGGATTTTTTTTTTAAATTCATGTGGTAATTTCGAAAATACATGGGCTAACAAAAATTTTGAAGATTTACAAGAAATTGGAGTGATTACGCAATGAAATTTGCTTCTATTCTCATTTTGAATAGAAAAAAACCAAAGTCAATATAATTATTTGATTATTTTTCATTATTAATTACATGGTCTAAATAATTTGATCCATCGGGAATCAGCCCATTTTGTGACAATCGTTTGATTTTTCGACCATTTTCAGATCGATCCGAAATGTCGATTTTTTTCTGTGAAAATAAAAATAACCATTATTATTACGAAAATCATATCAACTAAATGGATTTTACCTCCCCTTATCTTGAATACACAGAAAAAGACGAGTTGGTGAGTGTGATTTTGGATGCGCTTCCAGATAAGGCCAAAACACGCGGTGTTTATCCAGAGAATGCGATTCGTGAACGTTTCCTGAAAGTTGAACGATTGGCCCGTCAATTGGCCCTTGTGCCGGCTGAAAATGCCACAATTGTCAAATACATCTTGTCATATTTACAAGCGATGTTGATAATTCAACCGAAAGAATTGATTTCACAGGCTGAACTTAACAATGAGCCCGTTGACTATGCCAAGCTAAGCACATTTGAAATTTTAGATAGAACAAGGTTTGTGAACATTGTTTTTGCTACAAACATTTGCATTGAAATTTGTTCTTTTATTCCGTGCTGCATTGCATTGAAAACGAAAACAAAACATTATTTTGTATGGTACTTGATTTTAATGTCTGTGTTTTGCTCTAGGTACTGTGTTGATCGTGGGAATTTCACACAAGCTCTACGTTACGCCAATTTATTGCAAGGTGCATCACGGAATATTGCCACCGATTGGATCAATGAGACGCGATTACTCTTGGAAACTCAGCAGGCAATCAACGTGCTGTTGGCACATGCTGCAACCAGTGGACTTGCTTTTCTGTAATTGTAAAAAAAAAAACTAACTAAACCGATAAAAATCTGTTGAATTATGTTTTACCAGGAAATTCATTGTGTAAAGTGTACGACTTAGACGTCGATATTGTTAATGGAAAAATAATAATTGAAAAAAAAAACAACCAACAAAACAAGAAATCGTATTAAAAACATCTATTGAATACTAACCTAACAACCATGAATGTTTCAATGAAAAAACACGTGAAGTGAATGTTTAATTCGGATTGTCCATTAAGAAGTCTTGAACACCAAATGTTCAATTGTTGAACACACGAATTTCTGTTTGATTTGATCAAATATGCGGAGTGAGACACCGTTAGTGCCTTCAATGGCAAGCTATCAATTAATGTAATGGGAGCGTGGGCCTATATTTGTGCGGTTGTCTTTCGTTCGTTTGTTTATTTGTACTTGAAAACATACGTCGCGACGTCGTCTAAACCGCACGAAACGGATTCGACATGTTTATGTGGCGGTTGCTTGGTTACCATAATTAATAGAAAAACCGAAACACACGAAACGACCCAAAAAAAAAATCAATGTTTTTTCCGCCGTTCGGTTGTACATTATCACTATCAGTTCCATCATATTCTTTGCAATTGCTTGAGGTGCATCGCAACTTTCTTTTTTCGGTTCTCGAGCAACAACAACAACAAAAAAACACAAAGAAAGAACAACAAGAAAACCGGACAACAGGAAATATTTCAAATTAACCATGACCGAGGAAAGTAATGCATGGGTGTTTGACTCATTGATCGGTTTTTTGCACGGTCCCGTATGGAATGCACCGTTGCAAACGTTCATCGAAGAGAAGTCATTGAGTAAGTTTACGTTGTGAATACCATAATGCACCTGTATATTGATCATCCTTATTATTTATTGCCCATAATTTAAAAAAAACCACCAATTCTGTGTACAGTTTTCGATCCGAACGAAAGTAGCGACGAAAACAATGAAGAATATAAGAAAATTTACGATGAATACAAGCATTTGGTTGATTTTATGCTGGGCAGTTTTATGGAGGAAATGCAAATAACACCGGAACAATTCGAGGTGGCATGCTTGGCTGGCAAACATACCGCATCTGGGCTATCATTTCACCAGGGACTCTTTCAACAGGTGAATTCAGTGATTTTATTTAATTGTTTTGATAATTTTTATCAGGCATTTCAATCACATAATGACCAATAAACAATCAATGACAACGATGAGTAATAAATGTTGATGAGTCTATTGTTTGTCGATTGAAGATTTGGGCAGCAAATGATATTCGGATATTTGTTCGCATGATGACCCAACGAAATGTCGAGTTGCAATTACAAGCGCTGGATGTGATTGAACGAAGACATCTAAATTCAACGGCTTCATCGTCGATGGATGATGGTGATGCTGAAATTGCGGCTGGAACAAGCAGCGCCAATGTTAGCATTGATAAACCAATACCCGAACAGGAACAGGAAGAAGATTTGGATGATGTCATTCAAGAGGATGTCAAGTAATTGAACGGCAAATTTTTTTTTGTTTCGTACTCTTGTGATGAGTTGTTGTCATGTTTTTGGTAGGAAATCGGTGAAACAGGAATTTGACGAGAAAAACAATTCAATCGATGACGCAAAACCAGCAGATAAAACAGCTGAAACGGATGAACAGGTGGCTAATCGAATGCAACGATTGAATCTCTATTTTGAAAACGAGAATGTAAGACGCTAGAAGCAATAGATTGAATATAAACGTCATGTTTTCAAAATGGCCGAAATGACCATGAAAATATGCCGGAAAATTGATATTTTCCCACTAAAAACTATTGACTATCTTCCATATTTCCAGAAAGTTGATGCTGATGAGGTGAAATCGAGACAGGAATACCTCCGAGCGCAGCGTGACAAAATTGTGGCTCTGAAGCGACGTGTTCGAACCGAGCAATTGAACGCGAACGCTGAACGAAATGGACGTCCTAGTTCGGCGCAGGCCGCCCAACGACTTCTATTGAGCGATGCAAAATTGGGCGATGTACCCATGGTAGCCTCGTTACAACTACGCAAAACATTGGCCAAGCGCCTTAGAAACGAAGTAGTCGATTCCAAAGAATAAATTCACATGGCTTCACTCACAAGTACTCAGCTCACCGCCCCACTGTTGCCTTTTCTACACACGTTTAGAGACAAAACAAAAACTAACAAAAATGAGAGCACATTGCATCTGGTGATGGGAAATAAGCAAACCAATTTTTCTAAATTAAATTTTCCACTTTATTTTTCTCTTTGTTGAAATTTTTCTTGCTTGTTTCATAGAGTTTCTGTTGTTTTGTTTTTAAATACAAATGTGTGTTTGTGTGTGTTTTTTTTGCAATTTTTTGTTTTCATATATCAACGGCGGACAGAGAAAAAAAAACGGTTGTTCTTGTTGTTTGTATAAACAAAACAAAAACTGTTTTATGATTTCATTTTCTTTAAATAAAGGGATATATTCTAATCCATATAAATGATTCTTTTATATTCTTTTACATTGTGAGGAGAAAAGTCAGTTATTTATTCGTCCCCTGAAACCAGGAGTTCTATCCTAAAAAAAAAAAATCTTTCAGATCACTGGGAAGTTTTTATTTTCACTGAATTTATCCAGCGAATTGTTCGATTTTGTCAGTTCTGCCTCTCAAATTTTTCCCATTAATTTTGATTTGAATTTCAATTTGCAATTGGCAAATAACTATTTATGATCGGTATACGTGATTTCTGTTGTTGTTTCTCGCAATGGAAAAATGATATAATCGTTCAAATTGAAATGCCAAATGAAGATTAGTGGAAAAATGGAAAATCAACTTGTTTGTGTGACAGGCATAGCAGTAATAAAACTATTGCCATGATTTATCTGCACCTTTCGGTTTCCCAAAACAGCCTACCGTTACACGTCTCTTTTTCTATCTTGTTTTGTCCAGATGCGAAAAAAATGCGTTTTTGCTCTAATGGTGTTGCCGAAAAAAATAGATAAAAATAAAAACAATCAACAAAGAACAAGATGGAGAAAAAAAACGGCCGAAACTTATACATCGATGTGCCGTCAACGCAATCGGATGACTTCATTTGCTTATTCCGTTCACAATGTTTTTTTTGTTGCTTGTTTGGTAAGTGTTTTTTTTTGTCTTGCTCCACACACAGTTCTGATTTCGTCGACGGTTTTTCTATTTACACGCGTCGAGGGCACGCGATCATCACAATAAATTTCACGATAGAAATTGTGTGTGTGTGTGTGTGTGATGTTTGCGAAATATCCAAAAACAAAAATGTCCTCTGCTTAAATTAAATAAATTTAATACAAAGTGAAATATGAATCGTTTTTCTGTTTTTCTTCTTCTGTGGCTGCCTGCTTTTGGTTTATTTATTAACTACAATTTTTATCATCTTGTATAAGGTATGCATGATTTTTGTTTTTCTTTCACTTCTCCTGTTTCATCCTAATCGTCTTGCATTCATTTACATTAAAAACATTAGGAAAACGATCAAATCACTTTCCCAAGTCTCTTGATCTCATTCCCACTCACGTTTGCGATGTGTGTGTTCATCTTTCGGTGTGTATTTTCTTTTTCGTCTGTTTTTTTGTTTAATGCTTTATTTTTCATCCATATTTTGTTTTTAGAATTATCCGTTTTCTTTGTTTGTGTTAATGAGAATGTAGTGATTGGTTTGTATTTTTGCGTGTGTTCATTGGAAAAAACAAAAAAGACCCTTCGTAACACAGAGGGCTTTCTTTTGGTTTGAATTTCAAATAACTCCTTTCTTATATTGATTTATTTCAGTATAATTTCTATTAATATTTATTCATACAATTATGCGTGTGTTGCGCACATTTTTTTTCTCACTTATTCTCTTTTTTATTTTCATTTAAATAGACAATGTTTGGCAAATGTTTGAAGATTTCTTTTTCTTTGTTAAAATTTTGTTTATTGCATTTAAAAGTCGTGATGTGCCTCAGTTGAGATCGAATAAATGCAAAATAAGCGTAATCCACGGAGCCATATACGTTTTTGGTAATGATGCATATCGGCGCAGCTGTTACTGTGTCATTTTGCATTTATTCGTCTTATATCGGGTGGTTTTTTTTCCACACACGCACCGATAAATAGCAGGCACATGACAAATTTTCTTTAATTTCATCACAATTTGCTTTGTGAATAGATTTTTTTATTCTTCTGAGGAGGAGGGAGATTGGAAAAAAAAATTCTAAAAACATTTGCTAAACGACACTCTTGGCCATTTTTTTTCATCTATATTTACGTTATCGATATTTCAATCATTATGATAATATTGTTTATTAGTGTCCAATTTATTCTGACGATACGTACAAAAAATATTTTGTCTGCTAAAACAACATTAGCACATTAAAAAAAGTTTTGTGTTGTTTTCTTTTTTTTTTGTTTATTATTTTATCAAAGAAAAAAATGATTGATTCTTTTCTTCTTCTTTTCTGTTCATTTTTGTTTATCCCTCGCGTGTGTCTGTTCGGTTTGTTTTGTTGAAATAACACTTTAATTGCCTCCTAAAGTTGTTGATAACTGATCGCCGGAAGATGAATTGTTATCGTCCCAAACGCTGATGAAACGGGCTATTCAATGCGAGCCTTTTTTGATAAATGTGAATTATCCTCATCCTCTTCTTCGTCTGAATCACCCTCATAATCCACCAAACACTGCAAATATCAAATTCATTTTTATTAGACAATTTTTCTTTTGTTGGTTACAACTATTTTCTTTCTGCTCGATTTAGGCTTAAGTTATGAGAAAATTGATTTCTTTTTCGAAAATTATTCGATCCCAGAGAGAAAAATTGAACAAGGTTTTTTTTAAATGCCAAAATTTGAATTTAAAATTGATTTTTTTTTTCAATTGTCCTTCCCTAAACCACAACTAATCCTACTCGTCTACTGTGTTCCATAACAGTGTCCACTTAAAATTGACCAATCCAAAAACCAAAGGCTTACCTTTTTTAGCGACACAGACGATGCGGGCAGTTTTGTAGACTCATCTGAACTTTCTGTACTTGTATGATTTTCTATCGCTGATGAATCCGACTCACTCCGATGATTTTCTTCCGAGTTATTGTCATTGAACTCTGGCAGAGGCTGCAGACAGAATCGAATATTTAATTTAAAAATTGCGTAATTTTCCCAATTATACATGATTATCAACAAGAAAAGAACTCAATTGCCCTCGATCGTTGAGTGTATTTTTGCAAAAAAAAAAACAAACAAAAAGAATGTACCTGTTTCGGCGGGCTTTGTTGTTGATCTAATCGATCCGAATCCGAATCTGGATCCTGTTCTTGGTCTTGTTCGGGATCTTGATCGGGTTCGGGCTCATCGGAGAGTTGCGACGACGGCGTTTGTGCACTTTCGGCTTGCTGTATTTGGTCTGTTTGATCTTGAACTGGTGACGATGACGATGGTGAACTGTTTGCATTGGACGACGGTGATGTGTGCACATTTGTTGTCGTCGTTGTCATCGTCAGTTGCTTACTGGCTGGACCATTCTTTTCGTTCAGATTTTTATCGGCTGCGGATGAGAAAAAACCTAAATGGTTAATTAAATCAGGAATTTCGTTTGAGAAATGTGTTCAAGTAAAAAAATCAATAAACAGAGACAAAAAACAACAACAATGGAATTTTGAGTGCCTTTTTAAATCTCTGTCATGCAAGTTTTGTTGAATGCATTCTCTCACTATGGTCAAAATTTAGAATTTTTCGATTTTTTATCTTCGATTCGCAAAGATGTCTCCAATTTTTTGTTCCAAGCCAAAATCAGTTTTTTGAATGCGATTTAAAAAGAAACCAAAAACCAAATTGTGTATCAATCGAAAAGTACAATACGATACTTACTGTATGTTTCGATATCAGCTTTGCTCGTTGGCACAACATCTGAAAAATCGTCCTCTTCGTTGAACCAAATCTCCTCTTCTTCTTCGAGCTGTCTTTGATCGCGCCTATAACGAATATTTCTGATCATCGGAATACTGCCAAATAAAATGTTGAATTGTTGTGATTTTAGTTTTGGTGTGAATTACAATTTTTCGCCGCGAACACGAACGGATTTGTTTGAATTTCTTGTTTTGTTGCTCTGTTCGGTACGATTTTCATTTCTTTTTTTTTCCAGTATAGAATTGTTCAAACACAAAGAAAACGAAAAACCCAGCACAAACAAAAAACTGACTTACCTGTCCAAAATTTTATCGCGCTCCTTTAGCATCTCCTGCTGTTGGTCGTAACGGGCTTTTATGTGCTTGAATAGCTGCACATACTCAATTTCGTCGAAAATTTTCCAAAAATTTTCTACCACATATGTGTATAAACTTCGAATGTCCTCAACTTTGATAAACTCAAACAGTTCAAAAATGGCCGACTCGAGCAAATTGTATCTGCCATTATTTCGAATGAATGCGTCTACAACTGGTGCGAATAAATTACCTTTAACTATATGCCTGTGTGGAAAATGACGAAGAAAGAGAGAGAGAGAGAGAGAGAGAGAGAGAGAGAGAGAGAGAGAGAGAGATAAAGACGATATGAGACAAATTCACGCCGAAATCGAGGAAAAAAACTGTGAAATGAACTGTGGCCACATACCTATTGTAAAATTCATCTTTAAGTGCTATGATTTTTCGTAGAAGCCTAAGTGCGCCCAATACGAGGAACGTATGTGTGCTTTTCATCAGCACAAGAACTCGTTTCAGTAGATCCTTTTGTAAAATGAAGTTCTTGATGTGATAAGTGTGATGCTCAACGCAGAATGAAAGCAACTCTAACACCAAACCGAGCAACTGGACTGTTTGATAATCTTCGTTCTGTGGCGTATCACCCATCGTGTTAAGTAATAGTGGAGCTGAATTAAAGAGAAACAAAACAAAACAAATCCGATTAGTATACACATTTTTGGCAACAAAAATTCAAAGTTTGCCGTAAATCGTAATGAATGCAATATTGACGAAAAACTGTTTGAAAATAGTTTCAAAAGATTCAAAATTTTGGGAATAAAGGAAAATTTGTCAAAATCAAATGCTTGCGAGTGAAAATGATTGAATACGTACCAATAAGCGTTTGTATGCTGTGCTTGTAGAAAAAGTTCAGGAAATCTGTTTTCTCCGTAAGCATATTCTCTGGATCTAACAGCAATCGAATGACTCCCATTAGTTGAACACCTAACTCTGGCTCCGAATCGGACAGCATTTGTTCAATCGCAATGTTTATAAGCATTTGTTCCTGGAAAATCACACGAAAAAAAAATAATTTAGAAATCAAGTTTTCGTCGCATTTTTAACACTTTGGAATTAAATTAGTTTAAAATAGGAATCATTCACGCTTTGACAGTGATTTTGAATTCTAAATTCAAATTTCGAATAGTCAAAAATGTTCAAGAATCATCAATTCTTATCAATCTTAGGAAACTTGAAAACGTTTTTTTTTTCTCTTCATTTTCCCAATCAAAAAATTGATTGAATAATCAAAAATCGAAAGAAAACCGCGAACAAAACAAAAACCATGTTATGGCACTCACCTCATCTGTTTTACCAACTTGTTGCAGTGTGTAGTTCCGCACTATGCACGGGGAATACTCAACGATGGCGGTGAGTATATCAGTGGAAGCGGATTTAGTCTTTTGATCTTTCATTACGAGTGTAATTTCCAGTGCTTGCAGTATGCCCAAACAGGTGAGTGTTTTGTAGAATGCATCTTTGCTGGGTGGTTGTAAATTTTGTGCAAAGCTACACAATTCCTTCAGAAAGAGCACAATGTCGCGTCGTTTTTCATCGCTGGTATTATGATCGGTTAAAATGGAGAACAATTCGACGAGAAACTGTTCATCTTCCTGTATCAGCGTCACAATTTCCACTTTATTGAAAAATATGAAACTGGCCAATGAATTGAGCATCGCATCCTCAACGAATACTGACGGTGCCGGCAATATTATGTCCTGTATGTACTGTACACGATACGTTTGATGGATTTTTGCAAGAAGATCTTGATTTTTGATGGGTATTGCCTCACGAAAACGGGCTAAATGCTTCAAATATTTTCGATGCTGCCGTGGCGGTCCGTCGGTTGATTCATATTCTAAACAGCCGACAACATCGAATATCGTGTCCTCAGCAAACATTATTTCGAACAAAGCGTTTTTGTTCAATAGAAAAATATTCTTAAATATTTCATATAAATGGTGTAGATCGAGAAGGTTTTCCAAATCTTCACATGTGCGAAAAAGGCCTAGTAGTTTCTTTATGTAATTCTCGGATTCGATGGCCATGGCCAGTTTTTCCTTTCGTAGCGGCGTTGTCAAACCGTTTGCAATCGTCTCGGCGATATCCTCTAAACGGGACAATTCACACGGTGGCAGCTCAATTGGCGGTGCACTGTCTGACATCTCTTCAAATCGTTCATCTTCCGATTCTTCCACAATGTCCTGCGTTATATCAACTGATGGGTCTTTGCCTTGGACCTGTGGATGTGCATTTTGGTCATTTGTTTAGTTTTTGTCGTTGCGACAAATTTTAAAGAAAGAAAACAGAGAGAGAGAGAAGAAAAAAAACTTACGATTAGCCCAAAATTCTACAGAGAAAGGAAATTTTTTTTTGTTGATAGAAATTGATTAGAAAAACACGCAAAATTACTCACGATACAAATTTTCTCCCAAATTTCATCGCAGCCCGCCTTCTCCTGAAAGCTGAGCGCCAAATCAAAATTGTCACCCTCAGACCATACAATCAATGTATCCTGCTGCTTTTGATATGCAGTGTCCGGTTGAATTTTACTCTCAAGCAATAGTGAACCGTCCGCTTCGGCTCGCACCAGCAGCGATATGCCCTTTAATCGGTCCACATAATTTGATGATACATGGCCAGTGCCTCTGTCGTCCCATTGGCGTTCGGCGTTCAGCGCATATAATTTGACACGTCGTCTCGTATCCGTAGCCATATTGATGAGATTGTGTGTGTGTGTGTGTTTGGGTACGGATGGATCAATTTTAATTGAACTTCGTCTTCAGTTCGTTCTATCTCTCACTATTTTTCTTTGTTTCTCTATTCTTGTTGATGATGCTGTTTTTTTTTTCTCGTCGGCCACTTATTACTACTACAAGTTAGTGTAAACGGTGTATGAAAAAAAAGAAGAACGAAAACAATTTGTCGTTTCGGTGTCGATCTCGTCTTAATAATGCAAAAAATCAAAAAGTAATCTCATTGATTCAATAATTATTTGCATTTTTACAAAATATTTTTTGTTTGTTGCTTTTTCCACAAAACACACAGTCAATTCAGTTCAGTTCGGCTGGAGATGATTTTGTTGTCCGCGTTTGTTTGATGTTCACGAATTTGAAACCACACACGAAATGTTCAACCACGAAACAAGCTATAATTTGACAGGAGAAAAGATAGAAAAAAAAAACAAACAAACAGAGCATAATGATTAGTAAAGCGATGACATGTTGTGCACTGTATTTAATGGTTCAAAGTCAAATGTAAATAAAAACAGGTTACAAGGAGAATAGACGGACGGAGCGAGTGAGCGAGAGAGAGGACTGAGGAGAGTTGCATCGTCGTACAATTTATGAACGAAAAGAAAGAGCGGAGAATCATTCGTAATAAACAATTGCATGAAAATGACATCCGGATCAGCGAAGACGCTGCACTTTTTCTATTCTGTTACTTCGACAACAATATACTCCTGTGTTTGATAGCAACAAGAAAATTCGACACTATCACACACGATGCCCAAGCAGAGCGAGCGTATGCATGGAATTGCGAAAACACAAAGAGACTTCACCGCGCACCAAAACTAACTACAAAAAATGCATATTGTGAAATAAATACACAACAACAACAGCGAAGTAGAAGAAGAATAAGCGAGAAGAGAACTTTGCGCGTACTATACAGACGATTGTTTTTTTTTCTCTCTGATATTTTCGCTGTACCATAACCAATGTTCGATTTTTAATTGGTAATGTAGGTAAGTGTGTGAGAGAAAGAGAACGTTCATAATGGAAAGAGTGTGTAGTTGCGCGCGGCATCGTCTACAAAACTTCGTCTATCGCTGTATGTGTGTGTCTAGGTGTGTGTGCCCTGTGTATATATGCAGCGTACACAACACTAACATTCACACACACACACACAACAGAAAAAAATATGTAGTGAAAGCTTGATTTGTTCGTCGTCGTTGTGGTCGCAACAAGCAAAATTTTGCTATTGAAACGAGAATCAAACATCTTTGCTTGATTGAAAAGTTTTCGTTCACCAAAACTTATGCGCTGTCGAAATAACAACCAAATAAACGATGCTACTTTCAATTCAAATTTGTCCGGTAATAATTTGTCTCAACATGGTCTGCAACGCTGATGGATTACGTCTTTTGTTGCTGTTGTTGTATGTTTCGACTTGACATTCACGTACATATTCGCGTCTGCACTATTCATCGTGTTGGTGTATGCGCGAAAAAAAACTTATATTTCCGATAAATATGTGTATAAATGTTATTGTGCAATGTACAATAGGCGTAAAGTGTAAATCTCTCTCTCTCACTCTCTTCCTTCTTTTACTTTACTTTTCATTCTTCATCATGATTTGAGTGTGATGTGTACGTAGAAAAAGAGAATTAATTCGAATTTTGTACACACACTGCAATGGAAAACGCACAGTGAACAACAGCAGCAGTAAGAGCGTATGAAAGACGTTTCATTTTTGTTTTCTAACTACTTGATGGAATCTTCTTTTCGACCCAATCAAACTAAATTAATATGAATGCAAAACATTATCCAATTGAAATGGTTTTTTCTCGCTCTCTTTCGCTCTCAGTGTTATGCATACATTCGTCACCTTTCCACTTTTTGCCAGCCACTAGTCATAGCAGCAGCACTGGGCAATCACATGCAAACGATGCAACTGCTGCTCGATTTTTTAGAATATTTTCTTTTTTTTTCTTTTTTTTGGAACGAAAAAAGAAAACAGTAGGAAAAAAACTAGTAGAAAAGAAAAAACTCTTCAAATTCTGTTGATTTGCTCATACACACATTTTCCTTCTTCGCTCAACACATACACGCACACACATAGCTCCGCATTGTTTCATTAGTTTGTGGAATATCTCGATGAACAAATCGACGAATTGGATGAAATTATGGAGGAAAAAATCGCGAAAAATTGCATCGAAATCAAATTGCAAATCCTTGTCTCATATGAATTTCATTGGTTGTTGGTTTTTTTTTCGTGTAAAAAATACACCACACACTGACTTTTGCATACATGACAAACACACAAATACAAACACTATTCTGGATCCGACGAACTCTCGCTCTGTCTCCGTCTTTCTAACTTGGCTTTGCACAAAAATATACATCGCTCTATCAACATATATATGATTTTTTTTGCTTTTACTGTAAATTTCATCAATATGAAAAATGCAAACAAAAGCTTTTCTCTCTCTCTCCCTCTCTCGGCAACGCAATCGACGACATGAAAACGATGCACAAATTTCATGCAACTTATTAGGAATTAGAAAAGAAATGACTTATAAAAACAAACGAACAATTACATGATTCAAGTCGGCAAATAAAAAAGACTGTGGTCGAAAATTGGTGTCTTTTTTTGTGTTGTTGGTTGGTTCAATTTCTCTGTTTTCTCTGAGAGTCTATTCGATGTTGCTTTTGCTTATTTGATTTTTTTGTTTAATTTTTATTCGCTCCTCCGAATTTTAAATGTGTGTACTCGTTTTTTCAACCGATTTTTCATTCGTCATGGGAATTTTTTTCTTTAGTTTCACACTTAAAACGTTTTTCGTTTTTTTTTTCTTCTCTCTTCTTGTCGTTCTTTCTTTTTTTTTTTACTTGGTTGTCGGAAATGGAAACTAAATGATGCCGTGCTTATGTTAAAATGATTAGCAGAAATTTTTTTACGCACATTTATGTGGCACACAAACGGAATAGCTAGTAATAATTTAAACTAAAAATTCGCGTACTTTTAATTTATCTGGTTATTTGAATGAATTACACGAATCAAAAGAAATAAGTTACAAAACGCCATTTTGTTTTTAACAACGCGATGCGATCGGAATGAAAGAAACAACATACGTCGAAATACACTGAACCCAAGTGAACAATACGGTTGGAGTACTAGATTTTGCAACACATATACATACACACGCGCGCACAACTACAAACAAAGGCATACAACATAAGCGTGCATCAACACACTGTAGGAGCTGAGTTGAGACACACACATGCCCCGTTCGAATTTCGTTCACTCGCACCGTTTTGCTTTGCTTTTTCGTGTTGCGCTAATGTTTTTGTTTGATACTATGTTTTGGCTCGTGTCTCTTCGTCTCCCTCTCAATCTCACTCGCTCTCGTTCTTCTTTTCGTTTAAATCGGTTCCCATGTGTGCGTGTGACGTCAGTCCAATGAATTCGATCGTGCGCACCGGTGAATGTGTGTGTGTAAGTGTGCAATACCTATATTTTCAAGTGTATTTGTCTCTTTTTCCACTGTTGTTGTATCGAATGCAAAGCAACGAGAGAGTGAAATGAGAAAAAAAAACATGTATTATTTTTCCATCAAAGCAACGACGATTGTGTTCATTGGTTAGCGTTATGTTATGTTATAGTACGTTGTTTGATGCGTTGACATGTCATGAACACGAATATTTTGCGACGATTTTTTGTTGATTAGGGTTATGTTGATTTTCATTTTTACGCTTACAAAACGTTTAAAGCCATGGAACAAATAGACCAACAATTATTCGAAACGATAAATGGACTTGAGATTCGTTGTAGTTCGTTTGCAAGTGCAAATACGGTGGAAATTCAAATTGCAAATCTCGCCTATGCCAACGATCGAAAGCGTACAATTCGACACATTTGGATAGTTATTGTTGGTTGCATTTTGTTCAATGCTATTCTTCATTCGCATGCAATTCGAATTGCATTGAATGTTGTTTTCTTAGTAACGATGGCTACCAAATGCTACATTTTAGTTAATTTAATCGAATTTGGTAAGTGCCATTCGGATGATATAAATAGAAGATGGAGAAAATATTTGACGCATAACGGTACCCCGTGCTCTTCACTCTCTCTCTCTCTCTCTGTGTGTGTCTCATTTCAGAAAAATTGCATGTTATTGACGGTTTGAGTTTACAGTATTCAACACAATATTGTTTTGGAAAGAAGCACACATATCTGCCCATTGACTGCATCCATGATATTATTATAAACGAGGTCATTTTCGGAGTGAGTTGAGCTTATGTGACACATGCCGCCGAGTCAAAACACACAAAACTCAAATTCTTTGTTTTTTCTTCCTTTTTTTTTCTCGCACAGTTTCGAACGATCTACATTTTACAAGTGCTGACAAAAGGCATTCAATTTCGACATCAACCAGTGGTTTCTTTGTTATCGGTTTGTTTCCTATTTTACTATTTGCTAATCTCGAATGGAATCTCAATCGAATGAATTTTTCCTATTAAATCACACATGTTGTTTACATCATCACCCCGACAGGAATTGAATCCACGGATTGCATGCATCCAAATCGTATACAACTTATTGTGGAAACGGATCATTAAATGACATGACAATGTTAAAAAAATTAGATATTATTTACCTCATTCTTGTTAATCCATTTTCTTTTTATTGAGATACTAAAATACCAAAAAAAAAAATACCAACAATCAAACGAAATCTTGTTTTTCCTGCGCCGAATTGAAACCGAAATTGTAGTACTTGAACACTTGAGATGATGTGAAAAAGTCAGCGCAAAATATTGCATACTGGCACGCCACCTTTTGTCATTTGAATTGACAACCTGAACTCACACTTCCACTCCAGTGGCACACATTTGATTTGTTTATATTGTGTATTGTTTTCTTGTCGTTGAATTTGTCAAAATAACACACGAAAAAAAAACTACGACGAAGATACAGCACAGCACAGCGACACATTAGTTGCGCTCAAATGAAAAATTATATCATCGACCGAAAATAGTTCAGATTTGACATTTGATGAAATCAGCCTGCAATCAAATCGAGGCTCTATTTCTGCAAAACAAACATATTTTCACGCATTTACGACGATCAAATATGAAATGTTTGTAAAATAAAACCGAATTTTTTTCGTCCTTCCATTTAAAATAACGTTGTTTACCAAAAACAGAATGTGATTTTCTTATCTATGACACACAATTGTTTATTGTTTCTATGTTCATATTGTTTAAAATAACAAAAAAAAAATACGCGAAATAAACAAATTTGTAACAAGTTTGTTGGAGCACGATGAGTACACGTCCGAGTCCAGCTTATAAACGTGCAACCGACAGTTTCTATCAGCTGTGGGGCAATATCAAGCAAAATGTATCACAACAATCACAATTAAAGGCGGCAATTTACAATTTGGTGATAGCAGCAGTGGTTGCATCGTGTGTTGGAGCATGTTTGGTGTTGGGCCCATTCTTGAAACCATTGATATGGGCATTATTGGTGGGTGCGGTGCTATTTCCATTCAAATATACACTGTCTTCGTCGCTAAAGTGCTGGTTTGATCGGCTCGAGGCCGAGGATACACATCTGCTGGTCGGTGTTATGCTGGCCCCGTTGGAAGCGCTCGAATCGTTTGGCGAATATCTGTGGACATCGATCGTTAAGCATGTGCATTTGCTGATCGGTGGAAGTGTTGGCTTAGTGTTTTTGCGATTGTTCATCGCTTATGCGCCGAAAGGTGTGTTTTGCATGCTCTGGCGATACATTCGATGGTGTCACGAATTGTGCAGCAACGTCCTCAGCTCACTTGACTATAAAATTGTGAGTGGTTCTGCGAAAGTGAATGGTTATTCATGAAAATTTACATCAACTAGAATCTAGTTGCTAGATTTGTCATTAAATTCATTCTTATGATCAGAAGTCAATGTAACCTATGTTCGATGCCCGTGGTGTGATTTTCTCAGAAAACAATTTATTCATCATCGGCTACTATGACTCTTAATCAAATCTGATAAATTTGATGTGACAAATTAACTTAATGACATGTTTTGCTTTCAACTTAAATTCATGATTCATCAATTCAACTTGATTGTATTCAATTCGTTAATGACTAATGCTCGTCTCTTTTAATTTCCAGGTGATTGCAATTTTAATCGGATATTTCTTAATCGTAATGGTTTACTGGACGAAATCCAAGTCATTTTACTTTGTATTGGCTGGTCAAAGCATCTGGTTTTTGCTCTTGGCATATGTTTGCAGTTTTTTGGGTGCGTTGCAGGTTCCCCTTTTTATAATCGCTTTAACCTATTCAGCCGCCGGTTTTGTTTACAACATGAAGTACAGCGAAGAAATGGACGAAATCAACATACACGAAACGAAAAATCAATCGATGCTGGAAAGATGTGCACATTTTTGGGATTCGCCCATCATTAAATCAACGCCAAATCGTCAACAAACGGTCAGCCAGACCGTTCAACCATCCAATGTTCAATCGATCTCATCACCAACCACCACATTCGCTCCCGACGAAGTGGTCGATCCAACGGTCATACTCAAAAATAAGCTTGAGCTCAATTTGAAAACGGCCGGTGCTAAAACAACACCACCGGAAGCAGACAATCAATCAACCAAATCCCAAAGTGCCATCTATTTCAAAGGGCTTTTTATGGCCTGTTTAGTTACCATTTTGTATAAGCAACTATTTGTACTGGCGTTGAGTTTCATCCCGATTCTATTGTACTTTGCAATGAATTTGATCGTCACATTTGGCATCAAAGAGTATCTCGGCACAGCAATTGCCGATTTATATGCTCAAGTACAAGTGAGTTGTTTTTTATGCAGCAAAATAACCATTGTCGAACGCAAAATTTTAATTTATCGTTTTTTTTTTGTTCGTTTCGAAATATCAGGATTGGATTTACCAAAGGCAATCTGCTCTCCTCCCATTATGTTTACCCGGCATACTTAAGCTGAATAGCAAAGTGCATACTTACGTTCGAATCACATTTCGAGATTCCGTTGATACCGCATCATCAATTCTTGTGATAATTTTATTGATATTATTGGTGATATTTGCCAGTGTGTTTTGTGCCGTCGAAATTTATTCGGAAGCAATAACTGTGGTTCAACTTGGCAGCGATGTGGTTAACTATACCATTAACCATCGTCCGGAATTAATGACCATGTTCCCAGAAGGTGAGTGATTTTCCGTGGTGCGATTTCCTGTTTTCCAAAGAAATCATTTTCCGAACGACACAAATTGATCCTCCGCAAATGATTGTTTTTTCAGGGGAAAACTCGATTCGATTTTCTGTGGTTTAATTTTTTGTTTTGTTATTTTTTTCACTTTGAGTAATAATGAATACTTTTTTAGGAATGGTTGATTCGATGGACGATATCATAGAAAACGCTTATGAATACGGACGAAATGGCATTGAAACGTATGTGGATAAGTTTCTCAAAGATGCTGATCAAGAGCAACGTCGCAAATTGAAGCAACAAATTCTCGTCATTTGGGATCGAATCATTCAGTATTGGATGGATAAAAAGACGGACAAAGCGCATGGGCCAAGTGTATCACCTGTGGCGATTACCGATTCAATTGGTGAAATCGTCTATAACGAAGGTACTTGCTTGCACCAATCGATTTTTTCATCTACTGTTCTTATGATTTTGACGCTTATTTCAAATCGTGATTCATTTTGATGAACAAACAAATGTATTCGAAAGAACTTTTTTCAGCCGCTCAACAAGGTGTGATCAGTTTAATCAAATCAAACATTGGCACACTACTCGAGGTGACCGATTCCATTTGGTTGATTGTTAAACAGAATCTAAATGTACTGGTTACGATATTCGGCTCATTGTTTTCATTGCTATTGGGCGGCGGAAATGCTGTTATCACATTCTTCATCAATGCGGTGAGTGTTATCTTCTATAGAATTGATTTTGATTGCAAATCTTATCAATAACTTTCAATTCGATTCGTGGAATTTTGTTTGTGCAAATTGAAAAACAACAACAACAACAACAAAACATTTGAGTACTTTTGAAGGTCGATTGCGATGAATGCATTCGATGATGGAAATTTTAAATGATGCGATGAATTTTGTGTTTTTCAAGATTCTATTTATATAAATTGTATGAAGTACTGCGAGAAAAATATCGTTAAGTAACCAATTCTTCATGCTGATTACGTATTTTTTTCGTCCACCCCTCAGATTATCTTTTTGACGGCTCTCTTCTATTTGCTCAGCAATAGCGATGAAAAGTACTATCCATTGGCAGCGACCAACTATTTGGGCTTTGCGTCTGGTCCACGGATTGCTGAAGCGATCGAAACATCTGTTTCAAGTGTTTTAATAGCAAGTGCCAAGCTGGCACTGTTTCATGGCCTTTTTATGTGGTTCACACATACGATATTCGGTGCTCGCGTTGTATTTTTACCAGCTGGTACATTTTCATTTTTATCATTTTTATTATCTACTAGCCCCTTATTTTTCTCATATAGATGCCATAGAATGGTCCGGTTTTTGCCATTGAATTGGCAAATCTGGTCATTTCAATGAAATCTTGGCCTTTCCTTGCAAGAAGAGAATGTAGACGTCAATCAACATTTTTATGGCCACAATTTATTTTCTACTAAACTCATACGGTTCATTTCTCTTTGTTGTTTTATAGCTTTTGCTGCAATTTTGGCCGCTGTCCCCTTTTTGGGCACCTATTGGTGTAGCTTGCCGGCATTTTTAGATCTTTGGTTGATTCAAGATCGTTTCGTGCTTGGCATTATACTCGTTGCGATTCATGTCATTTTCCCGACAACATTCGTCGATCCAGCCATTTATGCCGATGTCAGCGGGTAAGAATTACAATGCGATCTATTCATTTGTTTTTTACACATACAAAACATTTTGATCAAATTGTTCATTGAAACGAATTTGAACGAGAAAAAGAGCAGAAGGTCTCTTGGCTTTTTGCACATATTCTCAAGAAATTGATTATTATTTTCTGATTTGCAGCGGAGGCCATGCATATTTGACTGGTCTATCGATAGCTGGCGGCATGTTTTTACTCGGTTGGGAGGGTGCAATATTTGGACCGATTCTACTTTGCTTAGTCGTAGTTATCTTCAATCTAATGACTAATGCACTCAAAGACACACCGTCCACACCAAACCCACGGTAAATTTCTCATTTTTGGCTCATTTTCGAAAACTAATTTAAATAATCAATGACTATATTGATTCACTTAAAAATGGAGCTCATTCCAAATTTAAATGCTTTTATTTCAATGTGATTTTGATTTAATTAATTCGATATTTGCCCTTTCTCTTCCGCAGAGGTCAAAATAATGAATTTCGTGCTGCGTAAGTAAAATCCAGTCAATTGATTCAACTCGCATCATAGACTCATTTGTGGAAGTAGATTGTTGCAAGAAAAAAAAAGTTCCAATTATGGAATAGAACAATGTAGTCAGAAAAGCTTCTATTTGATGTAGCCTTGCTAAAATGACAGAAATTTGATGTTCGCATTTTTGTATACCTCCAATTCGATATTCTAGCTGTAATCGATGTTTTTATATTCTTTTTTTTCAAATTCAAACGCTCGAATCAAAGTAAATGTAGTTGATCTGACATTTTTTCATTATTTTGTGCAATCGAACGGAAAATGTGGATCAAATCACGATATTTTATGCTGGCTTTAATTACTCAATACTTTTGAGCAAAATTTTTTTCGCTTTGATATGATCGAAAAAACACCTTTCTTATGATATTGAGTCAATATGATTGACTTTTTTTATACTTTTCGATTACATCAAATGATAAACTAGAGCTTTATTGCTTGGTTCAAAAACCATTTCAAATCACTTGTATCCTATATGTAAACGTATTTTTCGCACCAAATTTTGTATCAAATCCCATTGTCAAAGACGAAAAAAACCAAAATATCCCTATGTATGCTCTCCGTAATTTCATCAATACAATGACTGAAATCGATAAAATTCATGACAATATCATGACAGTATTGGAAGTGCATGTAAGAGGTTTTTTTTAACATGTATTTTATTTATAAATAAAGTTTCGTCGTCAATATGAAACCGTTTCGGATTTGATTACTTCAAAGTTTGATTTAACAAAAATTGTAGAATTATTGATTTATACTTCATCACACAAAAAATGAAAAAAAAAATGTAAATCAAAGACTAATCAAAATTTCAAGCAAAATTTAGTTTCTTTTGATATGTTGCATGCAAATCTCTTATTTAGCGGCTGTTGTAAGTAAACATGGAGAAAATGAATTTCTTCTTTTTGACCTTAGATTTTGGCTTTGTATAAATCATTTCGTTTATATGCACAGGCTCCCCATATTGCTTAACGTAGAACGTAGTTCAAAAACATCAAGCTCCAATAAAAGAAAAATATGTTTTGTATGCATTTGTACCGTAATCCCTATCAAATCCATAATTCAAGTTGGAAAATATCATAGAATCGGCACTAAATCATATCGTGATTTTAATGCGACTAAATCACCTCTTTTAATCCATTCAACATGATGCTTTTAATGATTGCAGGAATCGTCGATATTCGACATTTGATATAAATTAAATATTGATCTCGAGTTCAAATGATGTACCAATGAAAAACAAATGAAAACAAATCCAAGGAGCACACGTGATTTTAGCGAAAATGAGGGAAAATAATAACACACAAACCAAACATGGGCATTCCATTGAGTTTCATTTCATTCTATTGCTTGACATTTTTATTGTTTTGCGTCAATCAATGCTATTGTTAACACATGAACATTTTGCTTTTTTGTATAAATTAAATTGCTGTTTCACAGTAATCTCAGAACGTTAGCTTACAACTTCTCGTTTTTTTTTTTAATATGTATTATTAAATTATCAATAAAGGACTAATTTATTGAACTGCAATAAAATAAACAATTCATTGTCATTTTTTGTTCACTCCAAAAATTGCATCGCTTTTTTTCTATCTGGTTCTGTTTTTGTTTCGTATATTTTTAATGACTTTTCATTGATTTCGATAACCTGAGGCAGTCAATCTTCGATATAAATTAAGCAATCAAATATCATCATCGGCTCAATTTGCGTGGGCTCATCAGAAAAAAGCGATTGAAGGTTTAGGGTAGTGGTATCCTTCACTTTTTGGAGTTTGATACACCGGCGGCAAGTATGTTGGTGCTGGTGCTGGTGTTGTGGTTGTACTTGGCGGCAGATAGGTTACCTGAAAATGACAATTGTTTGGTTATCATTGCTTTTAAGAGCTAAAATTAATAATAATTTCAATAAATTCCATTCAACATTCACATTCTCCAAGGAAATACTCGGAAAAGTTTCTCTTATATACTTACAATTGGAAGTGATTTTTGTGTGGTGCTTGTTGATGGAGGTAGGGTGAATTTGATTGCAGGTTTAGGGTATACATATCCAGTTGGTGGTGGATTGTATGTTGGCTGGAAGAAAATACAAGAATTTTGTGAAATTTCTATTCTGTTTTGAACTAAAAGTAAGATAAACTAATCACTATCTGATTAAGTGAAGCTAAAGCTCTCTGTTTGAAGGTGAAATGGGAAAATACAGGCTCCTTGGCGGATATAAACTGGTAATTAACGCATTTCAAATGTGTCAACTTAGTGCAACCAAGGTAAAACTTACTGCTGGTGTTGTTGGTGGTAGATATGTGCTTGGAATTGGTTTTGGAGTGGTTGGTTTGTAGCATGATGGGAAGGTTCCTCTATAGCCGGACGGACATGGAGGTAATTGACAGTTTGGATATTCACCGACCAGTGGTGCTTTGCAAACTGGTCGTTGGGTTGTGGTTGTAATTGGAAGTGACTTCTGGGTGCTGTATGTGAAAGGCTTTGCCGGTATTGGATATGAATAGCCAGTTGGCTTTGGTGGCGGAATATATGTTGGCTAAAGGGA